ACACACATTTCTCCTTACTTTTTAGGAGGGAAAAAGTGAGTCTCGTAGAGCAAAAAATACGGTATGTTTAATTTTTGTTGAAAATGATATGTTGAAAAACTAATAAAAAATTATATAATAAAAAAAACACAGTGGAGCATCTGCAGCGGCCAGGCCTAAGGATCAGCACACCCCCCCCCAGCAGACACAGGGCAACATGGGCTATAATGGCTGGATGAAAGAAGAACAAAGGAATGAGCCCTGCCAGATCAGATCAGCGACTCATTTATATGCCCTTTGGGAAGTCTGTAAGCAGGAACTGAGTGCAAAGGAGCTCTCCTCATCTGTGAGGCATTACTGCCTCTGACAGAGGAAGTCAGGAAAAGTTCTGCTTCACAGCTACCATGCACAAGCAGACCCTCAGATTAACACAATAAGAATCTGCTCAATGACTGACAGCTGCTTCAGTCTGGCCATACTGGCCTGGGTAGCTGGAGGGCACCGGTTTGGCAAAGTGTCTCCTAAAAAGCTAACACGGTGTTAAGAGATTTGTGGCTGGGGACCCCTAAACTCTCGAAATAAATGGTAGGATTTTGATGCTTTGGGTTGTGAAATGAGAAATACAAACTGCAGAGGAAATCCTGAGCAAGCTTATGCAAAACGACCTGGCCATCAAGAAGCAATACAGGGCCATTGAGAGCCCTTGACAATGCAAGAGAGCTATCCTCCCCACTGTGACTGGGGATTTGGAAGGTTGCCGCAGTAACTGGGTGTGAAATGGCAGGAAAAGAGAGGTTTTTAGCAGGGTGTTCTGGGAAGAAGAAGAAGAATGGGATCCATCTTGGGCAGGCTGGCTGAAGGCTGGCTGGGAGAGATGCACTGCTGTGGAGTACAAGGCTCTTGAAAGGGCCATGCTTTAAGATCTGGACTCCTCCCATGCAGACAGAAGGTGTAAATAGGCAAATAAACCACATTTCTTAAAGCTATGACAGTCTCTGTTGTGTCTCTGTTCTCCAAAGGAACGCAGACCCTGGGTGAGTGCCAGGACCCCCCATGAATCTGGTAGAGAGTAGGGGTGGCACCCAACTTTTGAAACAATATTTATTGCAGCCTGACCTGTTCTAAGCTTGTCACCACGCAGGCATATCCCTCCGAGAGGTTCCCTTAAATACTAATTTCCATGAAGGTTTGTGCAAAGCTTTCTCCGCTGAGCATCAAAACCACGATCTGTAGCACTGTCACGCCAGTGTGTGAGAACCAGAGTTCCCCTTTCCAGCATTATCGCATTGCCTCAGTGTTACAAAGAACTCGAGGAAACTGGAATTCAGGGTTCTGAGAAAAGCCCTTCCCCAAATTTATATCTTTGACTACAAGGTAATCTTTTGTTCCTGGGTTGACGCATTGAGGCTGACTGGATGACATGCAAAAACAGCTTCTTTGAAGAAAGTCTTCTTCGCCAGCTAGCCATTGCCAAGAAAAGGAGCACATCTCTCGCAGCCACAAGGCCTCTGTCCTGAGATCTCAGAGACCTGCTGAGAATTGGACAAGTCAGTCGTGGGCTACATAAGACAGATGCTCTCACTCAGTGTAAGTCAGGTTCCTAAGGCGTGATAGAAGCCCTAGGCAGAGAAATTTTCACTGGAGAGAGCAAGACTCAAGTCCTTGCTCAGCACCAGCATAAGTGTAGCCATATTGGAGTTCACCGATTGGGTCTGCGTTGCTCCCGGACAAGAGGAAGGAAGTCAAATGACACTGAGGGTTGGTTCAGAGAAAGAGTTCTTCATTTCTGCTCTCCGGAACAGCAGAAAAGCACCTGCGTGGTCAGTCCACAGCAAATCCAAAGAAATGAGAGATTTCATGCAGTATATATATCCTCCAGGCACCCTCTCCCTCCTTCCCCTGGAATCCAACCACGTCAGTCTATACACGCAGGTTGACATCACATATGTTCCTGCTTCAGTATTCTTAACCATAAAAGGGTATTCCTTCCTGTACTTCTGACCATAAAAGGGTATTCCTGTTCCTACTCTTATCTTGGAGCAAGAGGTCACCAACTCCAAGAACACACTCTGGCGCTGTTCCCGGACTAGGTCTGTGCATCAGGTTGTGAGATAAGACCTAGACATGTCATCCCTACTCCACTGGAACAACCAAGGTCATCCTTGCCGTGACTGATAAAGGAGAGAGCAGTTTATACAGCTGTGTCCTTGTTATGCATTTGCTCAACAGCTCAAGTTTATGCATTTTAGAAATGCTAAGAAGAAAAGGGGGGGGGTTGAGTCAGTTTTAAACTGACTGCACAGAAACCCATTCCTTCGTAAGTACATAAGAAGAGCCTGCTGAATTAGGCCAGTGGCCCATCTGGGCCAGGATCCTGTTCTCACAGCAGCCAGCAAGATGCCTGTGGGAAACCTGCAAGCAGGACTTGAGCACGAGAGCCCAATCTATTCACTTAATATACATTTCTTACTTTCACTATTACATTTAAATCTCATAACTAATATCTCTATTCTTTCCCTACTCTGCAATGTTTCACGTATTTCTACTTACAAAACTTCTTGTAGTCCGACTAGCGTAATTTGTTGATTACAGTTGCTCTTCAAATAGTTCGTATATTTCTTCTAATCTTCTGTGAATCTCTGGTCCCGCAGGTTTTGAATCCTTCCTGTCATTTTATCTAACTCTGCATAGTCCGTTAATTTCGTCTGCCATTCTTCTTTGGTCGGAATTTCTTCTTGCTTCCATTTCTGGGGATGCTCCACTGTCTTTTAGACAAAATCCCTGGCGTCCCCTTATTTCTCAGCTGCCTCTGAGTTACAGTTCCTCCACCAGATTGGAATCATAAAGTCATAGAATTGTAGAGGTGGAAGAAACCCTTAGGGCAGTCCAGTCCAACCCCCTGCAATGCAGGAGTCTCAAATAAATAGAACTATGGAATAATTTCCTGTCCTCTGTGATGATCCTCAGTGCTGCCTTTCAGCCTATCCCAACTAGGCAGCAGAGCTCACTGATTGCCTATATGGGACTGAACAGCTGGAATTTGCTCAGCCCACGATGGAGGCAAGTTCTGCCTTTGGGGAGAGTCAACTTCCTAATCGCCACACATTTTTTTAATGATCCACTCAGAGCTTTTTCCCCAGATGAAGAGTCCCATACAGTTTGTAATGCGCTGAACTTCTTTGCCATCAATCTGGTTTTGTGGTATATTGATCAGCTTCATAGTGACACTGTAATAAAAGGGTGGCCATGAGAATCTTATTCTTAGGGTCACTGGTTGGAGAAGCATGTTGGGTGAAAGATTCCTGCATTTCAGGGGATTGGACTACAACTCCCATCAACCCTAACACTGACCTTGCTTGTGGGGGCTGCTGGGAGTTTTGGTCCAGAGACATTTGAGAGTCACAGGGTCTCCACCACTGCTGTTGAACTTTGATGCGCAGAGTGGGGCATGTGAATTTGGCTGGAGACCTCGTTCTGCCTGTTGCAATCACACCACGAGAGATACAGCGGTAAAAAGGTAAAGGACCCCTGACAGTTAAGTCCAGTCATGGACGACTCTGGGGTTGCGGCGCTCATCTCGCTTTACTGGCCGAGGGAGCCGGCGTTTGTCCGAAGACAGTTTTTCCGGGTCATGTGGCCAGCATGACTAAGCCGCTTCTGGCGAACCATAGCAAGAGCAGTGCACAGAAACTCCGTTTACCTTCCCGCCACAGTGGTACCTATTTATCTACTTGCACTTTGATGTGCTTTTGAAATGCTAGGTTCACAGGAGCAGGGACCGTGCAATGGGAGCTCACCCCATCGTGGGGATTCAAACCGCCGACCTTCCGATTGGCAAGCCCTAGGCTCTGTGGTTTAACCCACAGCACCACCCACGTCCTGTCCAATACAGCAGTAGAGAAAAGTAATTGAAGCTGTTTATTGTCGGATAGGACCGTTTCTCCGTTTTTCTGGAGAAAGTAAAAGCAGCTGTGCTTGCTCATTTCTTCTCAGACCATGGAGACCTCTCATCCCTAGCCATGAGAGAGGAGAGGGAAAAGGAAGTTGTAAACAGGATGAAACCTAAGATGTATCAGTCTAAACTTCAAAGGATAGAATCACAGAATCATGAAATTGTAGAGGGGAAGTGTGGGTGGAGCGCTTTATTTTAAAGATTCACCCACCACTATTTACATGGAGATTCCCTTGTACAATAAACGGTTGTGATTCAGGCTTCTCTTCTTGCTAATTCTATTTGCATATGTTGCTTGTGTTTTTGGTGCTTCCCTAACTTTTAAGGTGGCCAAGGCCGCCAGATGGGATCCGTGCGGCGTTAAGGAGCCACTGGCTAGAGAGGCGCTGTTCTGGCGGACATGGAGTTGGCCGGAGGGTAAGGGCTGGCGTGGAAGGGGTTCCTTCACCACTGTCCCACCCTCCGGTGGCTTAAAGGGGCAGCGCCGGAGGGCTCCACCCCCATCGTTCAGCCCGGACACTGAGATCCAGCGCCGAGGGCCTTCTGGCGGTTCCCTCACTGCGAGAAGCCAAGTTACAGGGAACCAGGCAGAGGGCCTTCTCGGTAGTGGCGCCCTCCCTGTGGAACCCCCTCCTACCAGATGTCAAAGAGAACAACAACTACCAGACTTTTAGAAGACATCTGAAGGCAGCCCTGTCTAGGGAAGCTTTTAATGTTTGATGTATTAGAGGATTTTAATATTTTTTTGGAAGCCGCCCAGAGTGGCTGGGGAAGCCCAGCCAGATGGGCAGGGTACAAATAAATTATTATTATTATTATTATTAGCAGCCGGCGCCGGCGGTAGCAACCGCATTACCAGGGCTTTGTTACATGCACACGCTTTTACCTCAGGGCTCTTCCCGCCTGTGCGTTTCTGAGCCTTGCGCCTTGCGGGTGGGCCAGGTTCAGATCTGGCAGGCCGGATTTGGCCCGCAGTCCGTAGTTTGAGGACCCCTGTTCTAGATCCTTGCTGGGCTGGTTGTTGTTGTCTTTTTTTAAACGTTATATTTCTTCTAATTTTCTTTTTCAGACAACAGATTTAATCAGCACAGCTGGTTACGATGGCATCATCCAGCACCTCAATGATGGCAGGAAGAACTGCAAAGAGTTTGAAGACTTTTTGAAGGAAAGGTATGCGCTGAAGACTTATCGGACTTGCTCCGTTATATATTATTGGTTTTACATAAATTTATGCACAATAACTTTAACCATTCCAGAACACAAAAAGGAAAAGGTTCTTTTGAACCTTTGGACCTCCTCCTCTCCCTCCATGGGTTCCATTTCCCCAAGGCTCTGAAACTCCCTCCCTGGAGAACCTAGACCAGCTCTCTCCTTAATAATAATAAATAATAAATTTTATTTATACCCCGCCCTCCCCTGCCAAGACCAGTCTCAGGGCGGCTAACACCAGATATAAAACAATTGACTGAAATACAATTTAAAAAACAAGATTAAAACAGAACGTTAACATGCAGCCTAATTTCAGCAGAAATTCAAAAACCTTTTTGGGGATGAAAACATCTTCACCAAGGCTAACTATCCAGACTGGTCCTACGTGGGCCAGAAAAAAGGCAGGGAAGTCCCCAAATAGGAGTTCCATCACAGGAGGAGAAAGGGAAAAAGAAAGAGGGGAAGGGGATCAAGTTGATTCCAAGCCAAAGGCCAGGCGGAACAACTCCTTGTTGTTCTTCAGCTGGCAGGTGTTTTGTTCCAATAGGCCTTTGTTTTTTTGTTTTTTTTAAGGAAAGGGGTTTAATTATGTTGTTTCTCATTATCTGTGCTTTGGTAATTTTTTTTTAAAAAAAATATTGTTTCAATTCTGTTGAAACTAACGCCTCTCCTTCATGGAAATTTCTAAGCACAGGTTGGATGGCTACCTGTCATAGTTGCTTACCTGAGATTCCTGCTTTTGCAGGGGGTTCGACTAGATGACCTCTGGGGACCCCTTCCAACTCGGCGATTCTATGATTCTATTACAGTCCGAATTACTTTGTACTTGTTAATCTTCTATATGTTTTATTTTTATTTTTTTTACAGATGGCCACCCAACCTGTTTATTTAATTTAATTTTTAAATTTTTTTTATTGATTTTTCTTTTTCATTCACGACATACATCTCAAATTCTTAACATTTACTATATATTCCTCCCTCCCTCCCCTCCAAGGCTTCCCCCAACTTCCGCTTCTGGTTTGTTTCTCTTTTCGCCCACTTTGCGATCTCTTAACAGAAAAAGTTATCAGTAACATAACATCAAGGCTAAAAGCATAAAAATAAAAGTACTACTACTACTACTAATTTTTATTTATACCCCGCCCTCCCCAGCCAAGGCCGGGCTCAGAGTGGCTTACAAGCAATAATAAAAACAAGTTGAATTATTACAACTTAAAAACAAAATTAAATAAATTTTAAGATTAAATAAAAGTAAATGCACCATAATAATATTTCACTACCTTCTAAACATTTTCTAATGCTAATAATGTGAATGTTTATTTAAATCCTGCCATCAAGTCTATCGACTTTCTTTGTTTCTGCAAATATAATATGAATGGTTCCCAATCTTTTTCAAAGTCTCTGTTGTCTTTTTTTCTGTCATTTTTGCCAGTTCTGCATAGTTCATCAACTTCTTTTGCCATTATTCTACATCTTCTATATGTTTTAGCCTTTCCCGTACAGTATTTTATATGTGTTGCTTTCATTTCAAGTCCCTGGCTTGTGGGGGGGGGGGAGAGGCAGGATATGAACAAACAAATAAATAAACAAACAAAAACTTTCTCTTCCCACGCAACAGGGCTTCTATAGAAGAAAGATATGGCAAGGACCTGATTAATTTATCACGGAAAAAACCCTGTGGGCAGACAGAGCTGAAGTGAGTGACTGCTGTCCCTAAAACAGTGTTGTTGTTTGTGTATAAAAAAAGGGGGGAAACCCCATTTTTGGCTCAGTCTCTAGACTTCCTTTGAATGAAACTTGGGGAAGATTCCAGCAACGTACCGGTACTTACATTAGCGCAAGACATTCTAGCTGTGTGATGGAAGGCGCTTGGGGAAGGGTTCCAGGTTCAAATCCTGGCATGTCCAGGTAAGGCTGGGAGGAGGTTCTGCCTCGGAAGCACTGGACAGCTGGCTGCCAGCCCGTGTGGGCAATTCTGGCCTGTGGAGTCTGCCTTGGAATAAGGCAGCTCTCCTTTTGCCCTTGTGAAGGTCCCCTCCTCTTCCTGTAAAGGTAAAGGGACTCCTGACCATTAGGTCCAGTCGTGGCCGACTCTGGGGTTGCGGCGCTCATTTCACTTTATTGGCCGAGGGAGGCAGCGTACAGCTTCCGGGTCATGTGGCCAGCATGACTAAGCTGCTTCTGGCGAACCAGAGCTGCACACGGAAACGCCGTTTACCTTCCCGCCGGAGTGGTACCTATTTATCTACTTGCACTTTGACGTGCTTTTGAACTGCTAGGTGGGCAGGAGCAGGGACCGAGCAATGGGAGCTCACCCCGTCATTGCGGGGATTCGAACCACTGACCTTCTGATCGGCAAGTCCTAGGCTCTATGGTTTAACTCACAGTGCCACCCGCGTCACTGGAAATCTCTTCTGAGGGGTGTACCCCTGCCCTCTGGAGCAGATTTGTGGTGTGAGTGGGGGTCCACATGGGGAGAGGAAAGTTCAAGCATACCCTCCAAAAACCACTTTGCGAAAACGGAACTGCTTTGCAGAGGACATGTCTGTTTTTGGTCCAGAATTCGGACAGCCGTCTGCTCCCAGTCTAAAAAGTCCCTGAGTCTATTGTGAAAGCGAGGAGGGTTTTTGCTGGAAAAACACTCGCTGGTCTAAAAAACCGTATGTGACGTAACCGCAGTTCCCTTCATTTCTGCCCAAGTAGGCTCTTCCAGTAATCATCGTGGCCCGTGCTCAGAATTCAGTTCCTGCTTTAGTGGAAACTAGAAAAGGCTGTGGCTTAGGGGAAGCTCCACTGCTTTAAATTGCTCACGGTGGCTGGTTTTGCCGTATGGCGAGGCAGCCAACTTGGGAGGCTGTAGGTAAAAAAAGGAGGGATCCTTCGGCTTTTGTGGGTTCAGATTTGCTCGTAACAAGTGCTGGATTTACGTATAAGTTAAACAAGAGGGACGCGGGTGGCGCTCTGGTCTAAACCACTGAGCCTCTTGTGCTTGCCGATCAGAAGGTTGGCAGTTCGAATCCCCACGACGGGGTGAGCTCCCGTTGCTCGGCCCCTGCTCCTGCCAACCTAGCAGTTCAAAAGCACACCTGTGCAAGTAGATAAATAGGTACAACTCCGGTAGGAAGGTAAACGGCGTTTCTGTGCGCTGCTCTGGTTTCGCCAGAAGCTGCTTAGTCATGCTGGCCACATGATCCCGGAAAAACTGTCTGCGGACAAATGCCGGCTCCCTTGGCCTGTAAAGTGAGATGAGCTCCGCAACCCCAGAGTCGTTCATGACTGGACTTAACTGTCAGGGGTCCTTTACATTTTTAAACAAGCTATAGCTTAGGGCCCCACTCTCTTGGGGGCCCCAAACAGATTTAAAGGGGGGAAAACCTGGATGTACATTTCCAAAATATAAGATGAAAAACAAATAAAATAAAACCTACATACAGCAACAGTGTTTTGTCTTGTGTAGGCTCCTGTGATGTAAGTCATGGGCCCCGCCTGCTAACCTGCTCCCTAAAATAAAACTGGTTTGCTCATTTCTATATATAGGGTAGGGACGCGGGTGGCGCTGTGGGTTAAACCACAGAGCCTAGGACTTGCCAATTGGAAGGTCGGTGGTTCTGATCCCCACGACGGGGTGAGCTCCCGTTGCTTGGTCTCAGCTCCTGCCAACCTAGCAGTTCGAAAGCATGTCAAAGTGCAAGTAGATAAATAGGTACCACTCCGGCGGGAAGGTAAATGGCGTTTCTGTGCGCTGCTCTGGTTCGCCAGAAGCGGCTTAGTCATGCTGGCCACAGGACCCGGAAGCTGTACGCCGGCTCCCTTGGCCAATAAAGTGAGATGAGCACCGCAACCCCAGAGTTGCCCGTGACTGGACCTAATGGTCAGGGGTCCCTTTACCTTTATATATAGGGTGCCTACATTCTGCATGGACTGGCTGCATGGCAACATGTGCAAATGGCTTTAGATACCTATTAGGTCCATAAATTACCATATATTCCACACACAAAAACAGTGACCATTTGTTGTTGACAAAGGACAGCTGGACAGATAAAGGGCCCCATTACCTTCAGTTGCTTAGGGCCTCATCAAACCTAAATCCGGCCCGGCTCATAACCCTTGTGATTACCCCTGAGTTGTATCTTGTATTTTTAAACTCCAGCTTATTCTAAGCAGAGTTACGTGACCATTGGGGCATGTGCTGGGAGCCATAGGAAAAGCTCTTAGGAGGTATTTCCCAGTGACCTGCTGACACAAATAGGATTTGTAACTGGGCACACCCTTTTTTGGTAGCCACAATCAGTGGCGTAGCGTGGGTTGTCAGCACTCGGGGCAAGGCAAGTAATTTGCGCCCCCTAACCCCTGGATTTGCGCCCCCTAACCCGTGGATTTGCACCCCCTAACCCTAACCCCCAGATGTTGCGCCCGGTGCGCCCGGCCCCCCCTGCACCCCCCACGCTACGCCACTGGCCACAATAGCCCCTTTAAGAGGACTGGGGTCTCCGAAACGGAATGTGCAATTCATGGTGAGTTGGGAGCCACAGGAAACATTGGGAAATCCAAGGGTGTTCCTTCGGGGCTCAGGAAGCTCTCAGAGACATCAGTTGCCACAATCCCATTGTAGCGAGTGAAGGTAGCCTTACCACTGATGTGTTTTTATTTCATTTAGAAATATTGAGACATCGCTTCATCAGAAACAAAACGCCTCTAAGATGTTTACACCCGCTAGTATAAAATAGTTACTTCCAAAAATAGTGACAAAAGCCAGACATTAAAAAAACAGTAAGTGTAATTAAAAATATGGATAAAATCAGCAAGTATTTATTTCTTATTTCTTTTTAGGTACAGTTTATTTTAGTCATCATTTGACTATTTTAAAATGACCAATAATTTTAACGTTTTCTTTATTTTTTAAAAAAAACCAACCAGAAGTTTGGGGTTTCCCCTCTGCAGGAAACCACTTTGATTAAATTGTAGAAATTTGGAAATATTTGGAATTATTTTGATATTAATTGGAATAACTGTACAATTGGCAAAACTGTGGTAATATTGGGTAAATATTGGAAAATTAATAAAAAAAAATTTTGTGCAATCAAGTGATATATAAAGTTAGTTAAATTAATTTTTTTTAAAAATGCAACAAAATTGTGCACTAGGCCTGCCTAAAACAAAAGGGTTTTGTTAACTCCTCTTTCTAGATCTGGGCTGGCCTCTTCCTAGGTATATAACAGAGCAGCATTTATTTTTTACAGGTGTTACAGTGGAAAATGGGTGGATCTGCGCTACGGGGTACAGCCTGCTTATGGGGCAGAGTCCACTGGGAAGGTCTCTTGCACAACCCCCTTGCAGTCAAGAGGAGCTGTGCAGGAGACTTTCCCAGTGGAGCTGCCCCATGTTAAATCATCTGCATGTATGTGTGTGTGTGTGAGAGAGGAGTCTTGTTTGGATTTTGAGCCTTGGATTTTGAGCCGGCCCCTCTTGAGAAATCTTGGCATATTTACCTGGCCGCCAAGTGCTTTTGAGGAGGTCTCTGGCAGCGGAAGGAAGAGAGGCCCAGGACCTCACGCCCAGCCGTAAAAATTTGTCCTCTGAATTTCAAAGGTTGCATCACCGGGTGTTGAAACAAGGCCAGTTTATGCAAGTTCACAAGGAAGTCTTGTTCTGGCGTGTGGCATAAAAACAGATTTGATGATTTCTTCCTCTCTCCAAGGTTTCCCAGATTCTAACTGTTTCCTCCTTTCTCTCTCCCCCCCTCACTTTTTCTGCATTTCCTCCAGCACCCTGAGAAGAGCTCTTGAGGTTTTTAAGCAACGTAAGTAACTTTTAACGGTCTCCACAACCTGCAAAACTGTGGCTCGGGTTGTGTGTGAAGCTAATGTGAAGAGATGTACAAACACATACACAGCAGAGTGAAATCACTGGCTCGAAATACTTTGATATTTGCAGGTTACCTTGAGGGGAGAAAGCCATGTATTTTTAGCTAATTCTCTCTCCTCTCCCCTCCTCCCCACCCTGAATTTCATGGAACTCTCTGGCATTTTAATTTCCTTTACTCCATTTCCTCCCTAGAAGACTTACAGCGATTGCAAAGTCTTATTTACTCTAAGAATGTGGCAGTTCATTTCACAGCTGTAAACTGCCAAAGCCTTCAAAAAGCTGTGCTTATTGGGGAGGGGAACCCAGTACCTTACTTTTTCTTTACCTCCTTATTCCATTTATATTCCACCTTTCCTCTGAGGCGCTCAATGCGGCACACACAGTTTTCCCCCTCCCCATTTTATCCTCACAACAACAACAAGCCTGTGAGGTCTGGCTGAGAATGAGTGACAGGCGTAAGGTCACCCGGCGAGCTTGGTTCCTGAGCAGGGATTTGAACCCAGGTCTCTCAGGTCCTAGTGCAACACCCTAAACCACTACACCAGGGGGCCAGTAACCTTTTTCAGCAGGGGGCCGGTCCACTGTCCCCCAGACCTTGTGGGGGGGCCACCGGACTATATTTTGGAGGGGGAAAATGAACGAATTCCTATGCCCCACAAATAACACAGAGATGCATTTTAAATAAAAGCACATATTCTACTCATATTCTACTCAAGCTATGGTTTTCCCAGGAGTGATGTATGGAAGTGAGAGCTGGACCATAAAGAAGGCTGATCGCTGAAGAATTGATGCTTTTGGATTCTGGTGCTGGAGGAGACTCTTGAGAGTCCCATGGACTGCAAGAAGATCAAACCTATCCATTCTTAAGGAAATCAGCCCTGAGTGCTCACTGGAAGGACAGATCCTGAAGCTGAGGCTCCAATACTTTGGCCACCTCATGAGAAGAGAAGACTCCCTGGAAAAGACCCTGATGTTGGGAAAGATGGAGGGCACAAGGAGAAGGGGACAACAGAGGACGAGATGGTTGGATAGTGTCTTCGAAGCTACCAGCATGAGTTTGACCAAACTGTGGGAGGCATTGGAAGACAGACGTGCCTGGCGTGCTCTGGTCCATGGGATCATGAAGAGTCGGACACGACTAAACAACATCTTATACTGAGTCAGAGGATCTCAGGGAAGGGCAGAGCACATCCTTTGTGTGGACGACTTTGCCCATTCAGCTCTGAAGCTGGCATCTCTAGTCCCCTATCTGACACCCTGAACTATTCAACCCCCGGCACAAAAATGGAAGCAAGAAGAATTACTGACGAAAGAAGAATGGCAAATGAAATTAATGGACTATGCAGAATTAGATAAATATATATATGTGTTGTTTAGTCATTTAGTTGTGTCCGACTCTTCATGACCCCATGGACCAGAGCACGCCAGGCTCTCCTGTCTTCCACTGCCTCCCGCAGTTTGGTCAAACTCATGCTGGTAGCTTCTATCACACTGTCCAACCATCTTGTTCTCTGTCATCCCCTTCTCCTTGTGCCCTCCATCTTTCCCAACATCAGGGTCTTTTCCAGGGAGTCTTCTCTTCTCATGAGGTGGCCAAAGTATTGGAGCCTCAGCTTCAGGATCTGTCCTTCCAGTGAGCACTCAGGGCTGATTTCCTTCAGAATGGAGAGGTCTGATCTTCTTGCAGTCCATGGGACTCTCAAGAGTCTCCTCCAGCGCCATAATTCAAAAGCATCAATTCTTCGGCGATCAGCCTTCTTTATGGTCCAGCTCTCACTACTGGGAAAACCATAGCTTTAACTATACGGACCTTTGTTGGCCGGGGTTGTGCTGGGGTTGAATAGTTCAGGGTGTCAGATAGGGGACTAGAGATGCCAGCTTCAGAGCTGAATGGGCAAAGTCGTCCACACAAAGGATGTGCTCTGCCCTTCCCTGAGATCCTCTGACTCAGTATAAGATGTCTCTGCTTTTTAAGATGCTGTCTAGGTTTGCCTAGGTTTGCTGTCTAGATTTGTCATTACTTTCAGTATAAGATAGCATCCTTTGTTTGCTTTTTGTTCCTTTAAGAGAGGCTAAGGCGTCTCATAGCATAGTCCGCCCAGCCTCCGATTCTGCCACGAGCTCCTTGCCTTGGTTTGCTTAATGACTCTCTCAGGCCTTTTAGTTGGAAGCGCTCCTGTCTTTGCGCCCTGGGTACCTGGAGCAGAGTGTTTTTATAAACACTCGCACCGCCCTTGACAGGCGGCAAGAGACATGGGCGCAGAAAAACTGGTACTTGTTAAGGATCCTTGGACAAAAACAGAGAGCAGTGCGACGCCAGGAATGTCTGCGTTTCATAATGCATTTGTGAGACCTGAGCAGGGTTTCTGCAAAAGTCCACGGGGTTTCTAGGAACCCTTCTTTCCTGCAACATGAAATGTGGGTTGGTGTTTTTTTCTGGAAATTCTCAGGCTTGGAAGGCTTCCAGCTTGATAGACAACCTTGAGGCAGGGGAGTTTCCCACGTTGCCAGTTTAGTGGCATTTTTTTGGCGTTGGCTGGACTGACCCTGGAATTCCCAAAGTCTGCTTTGTTCCTCACAGGGAGGAGCTGGCGAACAATGGTGAAAATGCAACAGGGGTAGCATGAGAAAGGTCTAGTGGGAAGCAAGGGCTCCTTCACCCTCGTTTCAGGCATCTGAACGGATTAGAATAGAATTTTATCAAACCCCTTTTGGCTGTCCACCATAGCCTTTTAAAAATAAGCATCAGTGAAGACTGTACAATAGGACAGAAAAGGCGAGCGACTAAGGATTCGTTTATTTATCCGTTCGAAATTCTGCCCTTTTCATGCCATTGCTCAGTGATTCTCAAACTTTTTTTGGGCACTGCTTCCTGAGTTCCATAAACTCATCCCTAGTAAAGTAAAGGTAAAGGGACCGCTGACCGTTAGGTCCAGTCACGGACGACTCTAGGGTTATGGCACTCATCTCGCTTTACTGGCTGAGGGAGCCAGCGTACAGCTGTGGCCAGCATGACTAACCCACTTCTGGTGAACCAGAGCAGCGCACGGAAATGCCGTTTACCTTCCTGCTGGAGCGGTACCTATTTATCTACTTGCACAGGTGTGCTTTCGAACTGCTGGGTTGGCAGGAGCAGGGACCAAGCAACGGGACCTCACCCCGTCGCGGGGATTCGAACCGCCAACCTTCTGATCGGCAAGTCCTGGGCTCTGTGGTTTAACCCACAGCGCCAACCCTAAAAATCATTATTCAGAATAGCGGTTTGCATGGCCTACGAAGGACAATAATAACATGAGAGCAATCCGAACAGTAGCCATTAATTGCATCTTCATTCCAAATTCCAGTTAGAAACATTAAGTTTAATTCAACAAAATTTGTGAACTTGAACGCATGGTACCAGCTTTGGTAATCCCACTGCCTCCCTGGGGCACCTGTTCTCTCTGTTCAGCCCCATATTAATTTGGTGGGGGGCAACTTAGCTGGATGGGAACATCTCTACTAAACGCTTCTAAACCCTGTCCCTGCAGACTGGTGTTTCCTTAGGGGCTGTATTCTGCAACATGTGATTGACGGAACAATTGTGTGTTAGTGGTGGATTTACAGTGGTGCCTCGCAAGATGAAAATAATCCGTTCCGCGAGTCTCTTCGTCTAGCGGTTTTTTCGTCTTGCGAAGCAACCCTATTAGCGGCTTAGCGGATTAGCGCTATTAGCGGTTTAGCGGCTTAGTGGCTATTAAAGGGCTTAGCGGCTTAGCGGCTATTAGCGGCTTAGCGGCTTAGCGGCTAAAAGGCTATTAGCGGCTTAGCGGCTTAGAAAAAGGGGGGGAAAGTGAAAAAAATTGCAAGACTCGCAAGACGTTTCCGTCTTGCGAAGCAAGCCCATAGGGAAAATCGTCTTCCGAAGCGCATCGAAAAACGGAAAACCCTTTCGTCTAGCGGGTTTTTCGTCTTGCGAGGCATTCGTCTTGCGGGGCACCACTGTATACTGGAGCCTTCACACGGCATCCTGTTTTGCTAGTTGCTCTGCAACGTTTTCCCAACATTTTTATTGCCGCTATAGAACAATTAAGCAAAAAATAAAGTAACGAAAACTGCAACATTCACTGTATAAAAAAAAATCACAGCGTTTTAGTCAGAAACTCCGCGTCAGATGACCTTGGGAATGTTGCTGTTGTGCTTCAGCCTCAGTTTCCCTTCTGCAAAGCGGCAGTAAAAGTGATGTTCCTTCCAGAATTGGGTGGCTAGGAGGAACAAAGCCTGCCTTTACATTTCCTCCCGGTGATTCTTTTGTTACACCGTTCCTTGCTTTCATTTTTTTTAAAAAGAATAATACTTTATTTAAAGGTAAAGGTAAAGGTACCCCTGCCCATACGGGCCAGTCTTGACAGACTCTAGGGTTGTGCGCCCATCTCACTCTATAGGCCGGGGGCCAGCGCTGTCCGCAGACACTTCCGGGTCACGTGGCCAGCGTGACAAGCTGCATCTGGCGAGCCAGCGCAGCACATGGAACGCCGTTTACCTTCCCGCTAGTAAGCGGTCCCTATTTATCTATTTGCACCCGGGGGTGCTTTCGAACTGCTAGGTTGGCAGGCGCTGGGACCGAGCAACGGGAGCGCACCCCGCCGCGGGGATTCAAACCGCCGACCTTTCGATCGGCAAGCCCTAGGCCCTGAGGCTTTAACCCACAGCGCCACCCGCGTCCCGCTAATACTTTATTTAGAATTCAACAATAACAAAGGAAAAAACCACAGTAGTTGCTACATCAATTCATTACAATTAAACAATTTTAACAATATATAAATAGTAATAGGAAAATTGCACAACATCACTTTTAACTTACTGAAGTTTACACATATGACACTTTTATCTCTTTATCTCTTTCTTAACATATCCTTGCTTTCAGAGGTGGACACTGTCGGGCAGAGCCACATCCAGTTGGCCCAAACGTTGCGTGAAGAGGCGAGGAAGATGGAGGACTTCCGGGAGAAGCAAAAGCTCCATCGCAAAAAGGTCAGGAGCACGAGAGGGTTGGAGAAGGTCCTTGGAGACAGATGGGGGTGGCCGGTCCCATTTTGCCGCCTGAGGCATGTCCCGCTTCTTCCTAGAGATACGGCATTCTGCAAAATGTTGTCACTTGGCTTCTCCGCTCGGGACACGAAAGATGAGCGACAAGATTGGGGAAGGGGGAGGGTGGCCCAAGGTTCACGTCTGCAATAGGTCATATATACAGTGGTGCCCCGCAAGACGAACGCCTCGCAAGACGGAAAACCCACTAGACGAAAGGGTTTTCCGTTTTGGAGGTGCTTCGCAAAACGAATTTCCCTATGGGCTTCCTTCGCAAGACGAAAGCCCATAGGGAAATCTCCGGGACAGCGGGGAAGCGCAGCGCGTCTTCCCCACTGTCCTCGGACCTCCTCCGAAGGCTGGCGGCGGGGCGGAGAGACCTCCTCCCGCCGCCAGCCTTCATTTCTCCGCTATCCCGGACGGCTTTTGAAGGCAGGCAGGGGGGAGCAAAGACTTTCGCCCCCCGCCGGCCTTCAGAAGAGGTCCAGGACCTCTTCTGAAGGCCGGCAGGGGGCAAAAGTCTTTGCTCCCCCCTGCCTGCCTTCCCGGGAGAGCGGAGAAACGCAGCGTGTTTCTCCGCTGTCCCGGACGGCTTTTGAAGGTCCTGGACCTCTTCTGAAGGCCGGCGGGGGGCGAAAGTCTTTGCTCCCCCCTGCCTGCCTTCCCGGGAGAGCGGAGAAATGCAGCGTGTTTCTCCACTGTCCCGGACGGCTTTTGAAGGCAGGTGGGGGGGAGCAAAGACTTTCGCACCCCGCCCGCCTTCAGAAGAGGTCCTGGACCTCTTCTGAAGGCTGGCGGGGGGCAAAAGTCTTTGTCCCCCTGCCTGCCTTCCCGGGGGCTTTTAAATCACCCCGGGACAGCGGAGAAGTCCCCCGCTGTCCCGGGGCTTTTTAAAATGCTGGCGGGCGGCAGCGGAGGCTTCGCTCCCGCCCGCCAGCATTTTAAGATCGCCCCGGACAGTGGAGAAGTCCCCCGCTGTCCCGGGGTTTTTTTAAATGCTGGGGGTGGGAAGAAAAGCCCTTGGTCCCCCCCCCAGCCTTCAGAAGAGGTCGGGGGACAGACTGTCTCCGGACCTGGTCTGAAGTCGGTTTCCATAGGAACGCATTAATTGATTTTCAATGCATTCCTATGGGAAACCGTGCTTCGCAAGACGGAAAAATCGCAAGACGACAAACTTGCGGAACGAATTAATTTCGTCTTGCGAGGCACCACTGTGTGTGTGTGTGTGTGTGTGTGTATATATATATATATATATATATATATATATATATATATTGGTTTTGGTGTCCTCGGGTGTCTTCCCGTGTAAAAGTTGGGGTGTCTAGGCGACGTTTCGACGAGGTCTCACTCGTCATCTTCAGGCTGGTGCTTTCGGCTTCTTGTTACTGGAACAGAGCTCTGTTCCAGTAACAAGAAGCCGAAAGCACCAGCCTGAAGATGACGAGTGAGACCTCGTCGAAACGTCGCCTAGACACCCCAACTTTTACACGGGAAGACACCCGAGGACACCAAAACCTGCATTCCTGTACCCGTGAAAATCTACGAAAACAAATATATATATGTTGTTTAGTCATTTAGTTGTGTCCGACTCTTCATGACCCCATGGACCAGAGCACGCCAGGCCCTCCTGACTTTCACTGCCTCCCGCAGTTTGGTCAAACTCATGCTGGTAGCTTCTATCACACTGTCCAACCATCTCGTTCTCTGTCATCCCCTTCTCCTTGTGCCCTCCATCTTTCCCAACATCAGGGTCTTTTCCAGGGAGTCTTCTCTTCTCATGAGGAGGCTAAAGTATTGGAGCCTCAGCTTCAGGATCTGTCCTTCCAGTGAGCACTCAGGGCTGATTTCCTTCAGAATGGATAGGTTTGATCTTCTTGCAGTCCATGGGACTCTCAAGAGTCTCCTCCAGCACCAGAATTCAAAAGCATCAATTCTTTGGCGATCAGCCTTCTTTATGGTCCAGCTCTCACTTCCATACATCACAACTGGGATAACCATATATATATATATATATATATATATATATATATATATATGCCTGATATTTACTTCTCCAGATCCCAACAACTCAGGGAAACTATCCAGCTCAGCCGGATAAGATATAATCAGGCATGTTGGGATATGTTACTTTCAGCCATCCTAACGAGAGGTCATAAGAAATTTTGGAAGGCTGTAGCAGACTCCCCACAGACACAGGATGATACGCTGACATTGATTCCATCTTTATTCCCTCTCTTTTTAACCTTTTTCTTAACGACCTCGTGTCGTCACTAAAACAGGTGGACGCCCACAGCCCAAAACTCAATGCATTAAGCATTCCCATCCGCCTATAGGCAAATGATACAATTTTGCTTTCACGGACAAGAATTGGTTTAAAGCGATTGTTAAATTCCTGTATTGACTATCTGTCCAGAATGAAATTGTGTATGAGCTTTGATAAAAGCAAAATAATGGTTTTGGGGAATTCACACAAGACTTTATATTGTAACTAAACACAGAGCCACATGCAGCCCAGGGATTGCTGAGCTCAGGCACGCAGATTGTGATGTTCAGGTACAGGTAATCTCTGCCATCTTTGGGTGCAAATAATAAATAGGCTGCCACTCCGGGGATTGAGCACACAAACACACACACTTGTGCTTGCCACACCACCCCGCAGGTGTCAATTCCAGTTCCCTTTGTGTTTGGGAGCCCTAAAATGTGATGAACTCTGGTTCCAAGAAGAAAACAACCTCCATTCAGCACCTGAACTTCTCCACCGCTGATGGACAAAGCAGAGTTTCTTGCCTGCCCATTTTAATTTCCTCATTCCTTTCACAACTGCTCCTCCCTCTCCTCCACTAGTGGAACAAAATTCAGCTTGCACCTTAACTGCATAGGGCTCAGACCAGGTAACACAGCACAGCTTCCTTGTTTGAGGGCGATATCTTGCGTTTCTGCATTTCAAAGCTCTGGAGGAAAAGCTTTTGGTTTTGAATTTCCTTTTCGAGCTGAGAGCTTCCATAATTGTACCCTCCCCGACTGAAAAGCGTAGGGCAGGATCCAGCTATGAATCCATTATTTTATTGCACGTATCAGTTGCTTTTTTAAAGGAACAGTGAACTCAAAGCGATTTAGCAATAAAATATTAAACTTTGGAACCAATAAAAAATAAGAAACATAGTAGTGTCGGGAAACTCCCCAAGATCAAGCCCAAAAGCCTGGCTGAAAATCCTGTCTCCTCTGACCTGAATCAACAGGGAAACTCAACTTTGGTTAAAACCAAGTTTCTAGCCGCCATGGGTCTGCAAAGAGAATGAAAGAATTTCCAGTATACATGAGGAAGCAAAGTGAAGCTGCTGTGCTTTCGGCATGATTGAATGTCTTTTACTGGCGTTCTGCTTCGGTTATTAGGAAATACAACCCTTTAACAAACCTCAAAATTCGGTGGAATTCAGATTCTCTGTTAGGTGTCCAAATCGGAGGCCTGTAGCAAAGACATGACAATTACAGTTTTGCAAGATGAAGTGGAAGACGTTCGCGGTAATTCCTCTCCTTGTAAAATGTGTGTGGCCTTCTATATTTAGAAAGGGGAAACAGATTTCTCTTTCCTTCCCTGTTCTGCTGAGGAGCAAAAGGCTCCACTAACCCTGGTATTTTTTCCGCAGATTGAACTCATAATGGACGCGATTCACAAAAACCGGAATCTGCAGTACAAGAAAACCCTGGACGTGAGTTAATTCTTCTCCCCTGGTTCTTAAAATACCATGTGCCCTTGCAGATCGCCTCTATGGCAGTCGTGTGGTGAAGCAGGTTCAGCTTCATTCAGCGAGACGAGCCTGAGTGCAGAAAGCCTCAACGCGGTTTGCAGAGAGAATAAAACAGCGCCTGCCTGGTCATCAAGAGGCAGGGAGTTCCAAAGATCAGTTTCTTACAAAAGCAGAGCAGGTATTATATGTGACGCCTGTGGCTGCGTTGCTGCCACAGATCGAAGCAATCTAGAGAACATTTATAGGACAAATCGGGTCCTCCCTTAAAGAGGGCACGTAGTGTGGTGAGGCCTGGACAACCAACACCCTGTGTTGTGGTGGGTACGTAGGTCAGCCACAATACCCGATTGGTAGGTCCCTCAAGCTGGGTGCAATCTGGCCAATGGGACACAGTCTAAACAGTTCGAGGGACCTATTTATACCCATGCATGGACGCGGGTGGCGCTGTGGGTTAAACCACAGAGCCTAGGACTTGCCGATCAGAAGGTCGGCAGTTCGGATCCCTGCGACGGGTGAGCTCCCGTTGCTCGGTCCCTGCTCCTGCCAACCTAGCAGTCCGAAAGCACGTCAAAGTGCAAGTAGATAAATCAGTACCGCTCCGGCGGGAAGGTAAACAGCGTTTCCGTGTGCTGCTCTGGTTTGCCAGAAAGCGGCTTTGTCATGCTGGCCACATGATCCAGAAGCTGTACGCCGTCTCCCTTGGCCAATAAAGCGAGATGAGCGCCGCAACCTCAGAGTCGTTCACGACTGGACTTAACTGTCAGGGGTCCTTTACCTTTATGTTACATGACCCAGAGCTTCTTCTTTTGGCGTGTGCATTTGGAACACCTGCCCACCTCTCCCAACTTTTAGGGCTTTGCGCTTGACCTTGCTATGCCATCGTGTGTCATCTGTCGTTGGGACAGGGGCACGGCAGGAATTTCCCCCACTTGGCTGATTGGCTGTTGCCATTTGGGTTTCGCCTGCTGCATAACAAATCATCACAACTTGTAAGGTTGCGGATAGGCTCTGGTTCAGGCGATAGGGATGGGAGAACGCTCTCGCCATCCCTATGTGAAGGGTATTCCGTCAAAGGAATCCAGGGACTCGATGGTTTGGTCAACCCCTGAGAGGGGGTTGTGCCCATGCCTGAGTCCAGGGGGACATTTGGGTGGCGGAGATAGCCTGTTCCTGGCTTTCCGCTTATCCAGGTGTTCACCCTTGGCAGACCTATGCTGGTGCCCTGGGTCAGCGCTACCTGCATGGCAGGGAGCTAGTCGAACCAGAGCCTATGCAGCCAGTCACTTTCTGTAATCAATAAAGTTGTGGCCTAAATTCTGCCAAAAACCAAATCTAAAATTTGAGTCAAGTGTGAATTTATTTAAGGGGGAGGTTTCTGGGTCTGAACATGCAAGGCCAATCTCATAGGTATCCTGGTCCCAAGTTGTTATGGTCTCTGTTGTAACCCTTTGATGTACATCCTTTGCAACCTGTTGCATCCCTGGTTTCCCTCAGGCCAAGAGGCTGTATGAGCAAAGGTGTCGGGACAAGGACGAGGCAGAGCAGGCCGTCCACCGGAGCGCCAACCTGGTCACGCAAAAGCAGCAGGAAAAGGTTAGGAAGGTGCAAGAGGGATCGTGGGGAGAGGGAGCTGGGTCGGGCCGAAGTATGGCCCTAAATGAGGCCCAAAATATGGAGATGATAGAGGGAGGACCATAGCTCAGTGGTGGAGAGCTTTTGGTTTCTTAACAAATGTATTTTTCAACATTTTCTTTAACTCATTATATATCATTTCCCAGAAAGCCTTATGTACCTATTTGCAGGTAGACCACATGTGGTAGAAGGTACCTTATAAACAAAATGGAAGTTCTAGGGAAGGCTGAGGTCAGGCCCCCTTCCCTTAACCAAGATGGCGGTTGGAGACCCATCTGCCCAACACTTCCTCACAGAGCTGCTCTCCTGGCTGGCCGAACGACGATTGACCTCCTTTCTTTTGCTTCCCTTCCAGCTCTTCGTGAAGTTGGCTCAGACAAAGACAGCCCTGGAAGATTCAGGTGAGTTCACTTCGCCCGAAAAGTTGGGTTGCCAACTTTTGCATGGACCTCTGCTCCACTGCCTTTAGCTGCAGCTTGATCTGTGGTGGCCCCTTCCAACTCCACAATTCTGTGATTCCCTTCAGATATCTGAAGGGTTAACAACATGGTGGAAGGAGCGAGCTCCTTCTCTGCTGGATTTAGGTTACAAGAAAGGAGATTCCGACTCAACTTCAGGAAGAACGCTCTACACAGCTGACTGTCCCCCCAAATACCTCATTAATAAGATCATTAAGTTTGCAGATGATACAACTGTGGTTGGTTTAATCATGGCTGGAGAGGGGGAGGCGGCCTATAGGAAGGAAGTTGAGCAGTTGGGGGAGTGGTGCAGGAAAAACAACTTACTCCTTAGCTTAAAGGAAACAAAAGAGATTATTGTGGACTTTAGGAAATGTAAATTGAATAGTCAGTCACTTATTATTGAGGGAAAGTGCGTGGAACAGGTCTCCGTGTTTCGATTTCTAGGAATGGAGTTGAGAGATGACCTAACCTGGGGAGAAAACAGCAGAGGTTATATTTTCTGAGAATCCTCCGGAAAAACAATCTCTCAAAGGACCTGTTGATGGCATTTTACCATTGTACTGTGGAGAGTGTATTAACTTATGGTCTGTGAGTGTATTAACTTATGGTTTGGGAGCTGCACGGCCAGGGGAAAAACAATGCTGTCCAGGGTTGTAAAGACTGCGGAGAGAATAATTGGGAGCACTCTTCCCACCTTGGATCAAATCTATGCTGTCAGGTGTCATAAGAAAGCTGCAGAGATAGCACAGGATAGTGCACACCACGAAAATGAAATGATTTCTGTCAGCTTCTGCCTTCTGGAAGAAGGTACAGGGTTGTAAAGACTAGGACTAGCCACCTGAGAAACAGTTTCTACCCAAATGCGATTTTGGTTTTAAACGCATTGTAAGGAGTCTGTAAGGGATGCAGGTGGCGCTGTGGGTTAAACCACAGAACCTAGGACTTGCCGATCAGAAGGTCAGCAGTTTGAATCTCCGTGATGGGGTGAGCTCCCGTTGCTCAGTCCCTGCTCCTGCCAACCTAGCAGTTCAAAAGCACGTCAAAGTGCAAGTAGATAAATAGGTACCACTCTGGCGGGAAGGTAAACGGTGTTTCCGTGCGCTGCTCTGGTTTGCCAGAAGTGACTTAGTCATGTTTGCCACATGACCCAGAAGCTGTACGCTGGCTCCCTCGGCCAGTAAAGCAAGATGAGCGCCGCAACCCAAGAGTCGGTCACGACTGGACCTAATGGTCAGGGGCCTCTTTACCTTTAAGAAGTATATTGTATTTAAAAATGGTGTATCAGAGTTTTTAGGGGGTTAACCAGGTTGGGATAGCTGGGATAGCAGGCTTGTTGGTTTTGGAATGTAAGATGTAGATTTTTCAATTTCGTTGTTCTGTGTGGGGCAATGACAATAAAGATTAGCGTATCGTAAATTTCTGACGGAACGAGCCGTTCGGTGGTAGAATGGAGTCCCATGGAAGGTGGTGGACTCTCCTCCCATGGAGGTCTTAAAACTGAGGTTGGATGGCTAACCGTCAGAGCTTCTGTAGCTGTGATTCTTGCACTGCCAGTGGGATTGAACTTGACCCTTGTGGTCCCTTTCCAAATCTCCAATTCTATGTTTCGCCCATCTTTTCTTGACATGACCAGATTTCTCTTTTTTTTATTTCTCCAACTGCAGACAGGGTGTATCAGACGAATGTTGGTGCCCTGGAGAAGATCAGGGAAGAATGGAAGAATGAACATGTCAAGGCGTGTGAGGTAAATGCGAATATAACAAAGGTTTGGCTGCCTCTTATGGGAAAGATAAGATGAAATCGTGAAACCAGTAGAATTGGAAACAAACCTCATAACGGGAAAGATTAAGAAAAGTGATGGATAATGAAAATAATATGTATAAGGAAACTAATATAACTAACAGTAGCTGTAAATGAATACAGACAGACAACAAGAATTGTATAAACACGAGGATTTATTTGTTTATGGATAAAATGTGGACAAAATATGGAAAATGAATAACAATATACAAAATGGAAGAAAATAATGTGATTAAAATTATATGGGACATAAAAAACCAGAAAAAGGAAGGAGGGAAGTCAGCTCTGAAGAGCAAGTATAAAGGTAAAATGTAATACAATATGTGTATGTGGAGTATCTAATTGAAAAACTAATAGAGATTATTTGGGGGAAAAATGGTTTGGCTGCGTCTCCTGAGGCGACAGGATGCTGGGGCAGGCAGTACAGTGGTACCTCGGATTAAGTACTTAATTCGTTCCGTAGGTCTGTACTTAACCTGAAACTGTTCTTAACCTGAAGCACCACTTTAGCTAATGGGGCCTCCCGCTGCTGCTGCTCCGCCGGAGCACGATTTCTGTTCTTATCCTGAAGCAAAGCTCTTAACCTGAAGCACTATTTCTGGGTTAGCGGAGCCTGTAACCTGAAGCGTATGTAACCCGAGATACCACTGTATAGCTCAGAGAGTGTTGTCGTCACAGAAATATTTTGTTCAATTCACCTCACTGGTGTTTTTGCCTGACTGGAATATGTCCTCGAAACCTTGATAATGTCTCTTCCTTGCCTGGTGTGTCTCTGGAGAAACTAGCCTACTGTTTTTTGCCCTGGCCACTTTTTGTCCTCGCCCCTGGCATGCGGCCCCTGCAAGATTTCCTAGAAGGGAATGTGGCCCTTGGGTCTTAAAAGAGGCTCGCCGCGCCTGTGAGAAGGGGTGTCTGCCACTAGCCGCTAGTTCCCCCCCTAAAAAAGCTGAATGGGTGGAACTGAATGTGGCCCCTGGAAGGGCACTCACAAGGAGATGTGGCCCTCAGCCTGCAAAAAAGGTTGCCCTGACCCCTTACCCCAAATACTGGGTTCTGGGTTCGAATTCTGAACACTTCATGTCGAAAAGAAATAGGGCGGAGGAATCCAGATTAGCTAGTAGCAGCCAAAAGACAGAAATAAGTGTGTGGAGGAAACTTCATCCCTCGCCTTTGAATGTTGTGAGTTTTGGATTGGCCTTTGGGTGTGCGTACGTGTAACAAAACAAAGGATTGCCAGTCACTTCCTCAAGCGGGTGAGGTTTCTTTGAAAAGCTGCAGGGAGGAGACCCACCCTGCCCCGCGGAAAAGGGGGCAGCCCACAAGTAAAGTCAGAGTGTTGCAAGAAAACTATTTGCTGGGCAGGGATTGCTTTTTAGATGCCCTCGAGTTCTCGATTATCTGCATTCTTTCTTGGGGAACCGGAAATAGTGTTAAGATTATTGCATTTAAAGTATGTATAGCTGCCGTTTCCCTTTTTTTAAGGGAAATTCCCTTATTCCGAATAGGATTCCTCACAAGAAAAGGGAAAAGTTGACAGCTATGCTTCAGAGATGCAGGCAGGATTTAGAACAAAATGTTTTCAAGAATGGGGCTCTTTTCAGGTATTTAGGTGCATGTAGCACTGGCCTGGGCTGATGGGAGTTGTAGTTCGATAACATCTGGAGGGTGCCAGGCTGAGGTAGACTGTCACAGCATGATTTTTTTGTGGGGGAATGTTATGTACTTTTATTTAGAATGCCTGGCCAGAGCCCCCAATTGCTCATGTTCAGACTCTGTTCTGGCTTTTCAGTCAGCCTGAGCGTATGAAAAAGAACTGGATTTCAAGAGTATAAATTGATGGCTCGCTTTGCCAGTTCTAATCAGATCAAAACCCGGCAGCGGTTTTATGGAGCTGCTTCAGCGTAGGACTAGCTGTGCTTGACTAAGATCCGGGAGACCAAAGTTATGTAACATACATAAATAATTTTATTCATATGTATGTTATGTACTGAGTTGAATAGGATCCAAAAGGCAGCAGTCTGATTGGTCCTAGAACAATAGGATCCAGAATGCAGCAGTCTGATTGGTCCTAGAACAATAGGATTCAGAATGCAGCAGTCTGGTTGGTCCACAGGAGCCACCCAATCCAGCTCCAGGTGGAAGTGAATCCGCAACCTGATTGGCCTACAGGTGAATCCCGGACTTAGCCAATCACATGGGGCCCATTGTGTAAATAATGTATATAAAGCAGACATTCTGGGGGAACTTCCATTCCTCCTCACCGCTATGAGCTGAATAAAGAGCATGATATCCACTCTCGATATCACTTTCTACAGTTCAAACAATGCACAAGGCAGCTTACATCATGGAAGAAGACCACATAACAACAACAATAATACCTTTATTGTCAATGTACAACCTGTGTACAATGAAATTAACTGCGCCTCCCTCCCCCACCCCCAAACACTCAATCTCATTGCACTCTGTGTGCTTGTCGCACAACACACCAACCCCGAAATTCAGTTAGTTGCACTATATTATTTTCTGTTCAGCAGCCTAACAGCCCATGGATAGAAACTGTTTTTTAGCCTGTTGGTACGTCTGATTATACTTCTATATCTCCTGCCGAGGGTTAAAGAGGTGCTGGCCGGGGTGTGAGTCGTCCCTGAGAATTTTCCTCGCTCTCCTAAGGCAACGATCCCTTGCGATGTCATCTAGCGGACTCAGGGGACAGCCCATGATATCATGTGCTGTGTTCACCACCCTCTGTAGAGACTTTCTGTCCATGGCTGTCAAGCCAATGTACCACACTGTAATACAATATGAAAGGACACTTTCTATTGTGGACCGCTAGAAGGAGGTCATAAATTGTTGTTTAACATTGTTCTTTCGCAAGGCCCTGATTGCAACGTAACAAAAGTAGTCAATAGATCATCAGAAAATACACAGTTATACTGAACAATTTCCACATAAATCGTTAAGATCTAAAATAAATATTTTTTAAAATGACATCAAAAGGGCAAAATAACACCCCAGTTCAAGAGTCTTAGCTTTTGTAGCTGGAGTCAGTCCGGGCCCTTGTGGGACAGAAATGTAAGGAAGAACGTTATATCTGTAATGATATGGTAACAGATAATCCTAACAATGGCTGTGTGTGGGTGTTGAGTAACATTCCTAAAAACAATGACAGGTGGAGTGTGTTGCTTATGTCACAGTGCATTTTTCAAAGAGTTTTAGTTATTTTGACAAATAATAAAAACAGGCGGTGTGGGTAGAGCCTGTTCAGAATCTGGAATTGATACTTCATTGCCTCCTTATGGCTATCTCTGAGAACACAATTTTATTGGTTGCGTCAGTTAAATGCTGTCTTGCAATTCCTCCCCCCTTGCACTAGTGAGTAACATGTTGCACAGCACCTTTTGCATGGGGACCTTGATGCCCCAGGGGTGACGAACATCACAAGCTGCACCTTCCGAGACGTTTGCACAATGTTGGGATTGCTTTTGAAAAGTTAGATTGACAACTCGCTGCCGTTTCTCAAGTCCGATGCTGATTGCTTCATTTGCTGATGTTTTTTAAAGGTGGCGGGGGTTTAGTTTAGTAATTATTATCCGTGCTTAAGGTTATAATTAAGGGACGCGGGTGGCGCTGTGGGTAAAACCTCAGCGCCTAGGACTTGCCAATCCCATGGTCGGCGGTTCGAATCCCCGCGGCGGGGTGCGCTCCCGCTGCTCGGTCCCAGCGCCTGCCAACCTAGCAGTTCGAAAGCACCCTCGGGTGCAAGTAGATAAATAGGGACCGCTTACCAGCGGGAAGGTAAACGGCGTTCCGTGTGCTGCGCTGGCTCGCCAGATGCAGCTTGTCACGCTGGCCACGTGACCCGGAAGTGTCTGCGGACAGCGCTGGCTCCCGGCCTATAGAGTGAGTTGAGCGCACAACCCTAGAGTCTGTCAAGACTGGCCCGTACAGGCAGGGGTACCTTTACCTTTTACCTTAAGGTTATAATTACTCCCAACGAAGGAGAAAAGACCAAAGCAAGGTTCTTTCCAAAGGAATGAGATGCTGATATTTTGCCTCTGAATTCAGCCTTGTCCTCTGCTTCTCTCCCCGCAGTTCTTCGAGAGCCAAGAGACCGAAAGGATAAACTATTTCCGGAATGCTCTGTGGCTCCACGTCAACCAGCTCTCTCAGGAATGTGTCAAGAACGACGAAGTAAGTAGAAGACCGCATTGTCTGCTTTCTCCAGTACAGGGCTGGAGACCAAGAACTGCTCCCATCAGTCCTGGCCAGCATGAACAATGGTCAGGTTCGGTGGGGCCTGGAGTCCTTCAACATCTGGGGGACCACTTAACTCTGGAGATCACAAACGTACATCTCCTGCTTCCGGTTTGCTGTGACCCTCACTGTTCAGTGCCAATAAGTTTGGCTTTTTTAATGGATGGAGACAGAGGCGTTGGTGGGAAGTAGAACCCAATGGACTGGCAGGGACTGAGAGAACCTGGATTTGCCCCCGATGATTTTGTTCCCTCTCAGAAAGATAATTTGACTTCTTGTGACATAGTCACTTTCGAAGATGAGGTGGTGTGCCCTCTTTCTCCCTGACCCCTTGTCAGAATATTTCTTTGGAGCCACTGGGATAATAATAATAATAATAATAATAATAATAATAATAATAATTTATTACTTATATCCCACCCATCTGGGTGGCTTCCAACAGAACATTTTAAAACACGATAAAACATCAAACATTAAAAACTTCCCTAAACAGGGCTACCTTCAGATGTCTTCTAAAAGTCAGATAGTTGTTTATTTCCTTGATGAGAGGGCGTTCCACAGGGCAGGCGCCACTACTGAGAAGGCCCTCTGCCTGGTTCCCTGTAACCTCACTTCTCGCAATGAGGGAACCACCAGAAGGCCCTCGGAGCTGGACCTCAGTGTCCGGGCAGAACGTTGGGGATAGAGATGCTCCTTCAGGTATACTGGACCGACGCCGTTTAGGGCTTTAAAGGTCAGCATCAACACTTTGAATTGTGCTCGGAAACGTACTGGGAGCCAATGTAGGCCTTTCAGGACCGGTGTTATGTGGTCTCGGCGGCCGCTCCCAGTCACCAGTCTGGCTGCCGCATTCTGGATTAGTTGCAGATTCCAGGTCACCTTCAAAGGTAGCCCCACGTAGAGCACATTGCAGTAGTCCAAGCGGGAGATAAGCAGAGCAGGGGTCTGCAAGCTTTTTGGGGGGTGGGCCAGTTCACTGCACCACAAACATCCTGGTGGGCCGGAGTGCGTGTGTGCATGCACGCATGTGCACACAGCAGAGGGGGCTTCTCTCCCCCTCTCCCCCAGCCCTCCCATCCCCCTGCCTACGTAGGGTGCTGCCAAGAGGTAGAGGCTACAAACTCTAACAGAGATTACAAACTCAAACTCATAAGAATATGTATAATACAATAATTCGTTACAGAATTAGAAATAAGAGTTTATGAGTAGAGATGAGATCATGTTAGTCCATAGTCAGATTCGACGTGAAGGTCTTAGTTTCAATCATTGATCAGAAGTCAGAAGTCAATTATTTGAGTTTGTAATCCTTGTCAGAATACATACTTTTGAATGGATTAGTTTTTGTTACAATTGACTATTGATTTGTGAGTAGGGACCACTCCCACTATTGAAACTTACATTGGCCTGAGTTCTTGGTGTGCTTTTTTCTTGGGATATTTAATAACAAGAACTCCAACTTATTTAACGAGAGGCAGAGGTTGGTGGTGTCAGCATCAGAGGAGGAACAAGCAGCCCAAAAGGGCTGCTTTCCGGCTGCTCATTCCTCCTCCGATGATGACAACAGCCTCTGCCGTTCGCAAGGGCAGGCACAGGCACCACGCTTGGCAGAGCGGTGGCGGCGGCAGCGGCAGCGGCAAGCAGCTTGCTCCGCCAAGGGGCTGCTGAAAATGCGCTCGGCCAGCTCAGCTCAGCCCAGCCCAGCCCCCTTCCTCCTCTTGGCCACACGCAGCTGCCACTTGCCCATTGGCCAGGGCCTCAAACCTTAGCAGGCGATTGGCCAGCAATTTGCTGCACCAGGAGGAGGAGGGAGGAGGTTCCGCCGCATTGAGGGAGAGGGGGGAAAATGTTGGTAGGGGAAAAAATTGTGTCCATACCACGAAAAAGAAAACCACAGATTCCCCTCGCCACTCCCAGTCACCAGTCTAGCTGCCGCATTCTGGATTAATTGCAGTTTCCAAGTCCCCTTCAAAGGCAGCCCCATGTAGAGTGCATTGTAGTAGTCCAAGCGGGAGATAACTAGAGCATGCACTACTCTGGCGAGACAATCTGTGGGCAACTAGGGTCTCAGCCTGCATACCAGATGCAGCTGATAAACAGCTGCCCTGGACACAGAATTGACCTGCGCCTCCATGGACAGCTGGAGGTCCAGAATGACTCCCAGGCTGCGCACCTGGTCCTTCAGGGGCACAGTTACCCCATTCAGGACCAGGGATGATTCCTTCTGTTTTGCACCTTGTAGAACTACGAGGAGATACGCAAGAGCCTTGAGCAGTGCAGCATCGAGAAGGACATTGAGTTTTTTGTGAATGCCCGCAAAACAGGGACCGTCCCACCAAGTAAGTGGACCCATATCAGACTCTGGAAGCACAGAGAACATCACAGCAGTGGGTAAACCATGTCCCTTTTCGGTATCCGTTTTTTCTGTAAAGAGAGAGAGGGGGAATGTCACTATGTGTGGGTCAAAAAGTTGCATGCTGTGGTGCCGACTCCTCCTTGACTGGGCTGTCAAGGAGGAGGAGGTCACAGTGGCTGTGGTAAAGTGGTCGCAATACTTTGGGTACACAATAACCATGAAGCAGTGGGAAAACCTGTGGAAAATAAACTGGAAATTTACAGTTTGTTATGCTTTGAAAGAGAATTTACTTAAAATGTGGTATCTAACTCCCTGGAAACATTCAAAAATGTACAAAAGCATCTCAAGTAATTGTTGGAGGTGTAAAGAAAAGCCAGGTACTTTATTCCACATGTGGTGGCAGTGTAAAGAAATTAAGGTCTTTTGGGAGGGCGTCCATATAGAATTTGAAAAAAATGCTTAAAATATCCTTTAATAGAAAACCAGAAGCTTTCCTTTTTGGGAATCACAGATTCGGATATTCCCAAAAAGGTAACAGAGATCTTTTTATATGCCACGGTCGCAGCAAGAGTTCTCATTGCGGCAGATTAGAAGAGTGACAAAGTTCTGTCAAGATTAGAATGGATTCAAAAATTGGCAGGATATCCGGAACTAGATAGTATGTCAGAAAAAAACCAAAAAACAAACCAAAACAGGCATTTATTTCAAAATGGAAAGTCTTTAAAATCGATTTGAAAAATAATAATTGTAGTTTAAGGTCATTTGCAGCATTCGAATAATTTCAGTAGTAGTTTTGAGAATGATATAAAATCTAAGAATGGATTAAAGATTATTAAATTATAAAAAAAACTTGTTATGTAACGGCAGTGAACAAATAATGAGAATTTGAAGAAAGGAATAGACAGGAAGTCTGGTCGATAGAAAAAGACCATTTTTATTTTAAGGTTTAGAGACTACTACTTGACGTATCAATTTTTTTCCTTTGTTGTTTTGTGGTGATGGATATTTGCTTTCTTTTTCTGTATGGTGTGTTAAAGTGAATGATAACAATAAAAATCTTTTCCCCCCAAAAAAAGTTGCACTCAGGGTGGGGGAAGGGTTCTGTCTGGGTCTTCCTCCCAGCATGTTCTACTCCCCAGCTGTAACAATTGTAGTGGCTTTCCTGTCCAAAATTTGGCCAAGAAGTAAGTGGCTTTTGCCGATGGTTCTGCAGCCTGTTTTACAAAACAATGGCCACTTTGCAATCTGCCTGCTCTCCCTTCCTCTCTCTGCAGATCCAGTGGTCTACGAAAACTATTACAACACTCAGAAGAATGCAGCGCCAGGGAGAAATCAAGCCCCCGCCCCCGGGAGGTAAGGATAAAGGAGGGAATCGCAAGCTAACTAATGGATTAAGTTGCATCAGGGGACTCCAATGTGGCGGCAGTAATCGCAGTCATTTTGGTGGTGCGCTGCCTTTGCGCAAAAGGAGCGACTCGCAGCCGAGAAAATGGGAACACATCTAAAAACCAACTGTCCTAAGAACAGTTTCATAACAGTGCAATAAAACAGCAGTTTAATAGCTAATGTAGCAACATGCAAAAAAACTAAACAAACCCTCAACCTTTCAGTAGTATAAATATAGGATTGTATAAATGGCATTGCACCTCCTGGCAAGAATAAAAATAGAAAAGGCGCTTCATGGTTTCACTAGCGCAGACTGTCTGTCTGTTGCTGGGTTAACATGCAGGTGTGATTATGGATCAATTTTATAGTTGTTGCTGCAGGAATTTATGTATAGGTTGGGGGGAGGTTGCCCCTCCAGCAGATATCATGCACATGCAGCCCACTACCAAAACCAGCACAATCGCTTTTGTGACGTTTTTGATTTGTCCCCACAAAACACTTCATCACAGTTTCTTGCTATTTATTCAAAGGGCCTTTTCTGCACCAAATGTAACAATTCACTGATAAATGTATCTATGTACTGCCTCGCCGGGAAAACTTCAGAAATTCATATAGACATGTGAGCTCAGCTCCTCAGCAGCCCCTCTGCCTGAGTGATAATCCCTGGCATCCTGATACCTGAGTGCCAGAACAGGTAGCCATTCCAGAAATAACAAACCCAGATGAAGACAAAAGGGTGTGATTCACTTGGCTGGGAAACAGGGAAATGTAAATGATGGGTGTTTGGTGGAGGGCAAAGGGAACTATGGGGCAGGGTCCAGGATGCTCAGATTACTGCCACCAGACCTCCCCTTTCATGATGTAACCATGATGTAACCATGATGTAGTTTTGGGGGGTTTAACATGGGGATTAGCAGCTAATAAAAGTTTGGGGGCTCTTTTGCTCAGGGCTTCCATCTTGTTCCACCTTGTGGCAGGTGGGAATCCTGTCGCGACACTCTTCAATAAAGACCAAGCCTACTGGCTGCTGTTTTGCTCTGGTATTCCTGGCTGGTGTCCTTGTTTTTTGTCCAAGGGAGCCCTCAGATTGCTCCGTTAACATTGTAAACCGCTTAGAAGGCTTTTTGACATACGAGTGGAAAAACAACAACAACCCTAAAAGCTGAATTCTATTAAATATTTTAATAAACCTCTAGGTTAGATTACTGCAACACATTATATGTAGGGCTGCCTCTGAAGATGGTTCGGAAACTTCAGCTGGTGCAAAATTCAGCGGCCAGGTTGCTCTCTAGAGCAAGATGGTTTGAGCATATTATACCGATCGTGGCTTAACTGCACTGGCTGCCAATTAGCTTATGGGCCCAATTCAAACTGCTGGTTTTGACCTATAAAAACTTAGACAGCTCAGGAGCGCAATACCTCAAGGACCGCCTCTCCCCATGAGAACCAACCCAGACCCTGCAATCATCACCCGAGGCCTTTTCTGCAGTGGCTCCCCATTTGTGGAACACTCTCCCCAGAGAGGCTCACTTGCCACCTTCACTGAATTTATTTAGACCCTCTTCTCCCAGGCTTTTGGCTAATTAAATAATCTATGGCCTTTTTAAACTGTGTATGTGTGTGCGTATTATTGATTGGTTTGTTACCGTGTTTTGTATTTTTATACCACAAACAGCTCTGTGATCCTAAAATGAAGGGCTGTATAGAAATTCAACAAACGGAAAAATAAATGATTTTTTCTTCTCTCTCTCTGCAGGAGGCCAAAGTTACCTATTCCTTCCAGCGGGCCATGTAAGCAACCAGAAGTTTTCTTCCAAACCAGCTGCATTTTTTGAGAATTTTGCTGCTGCTTCTTTTTATGTTGGGGGGGGGGATCCAACACAGACCCCCACCATCTTGCTCTGCCCTGAAACTCTGGGAATTCCTGTAGTATGATGGTGCTGTAAATTCTCTGGTCGCCTCCAGACTATCAGCATTTTCTGGGAGAGATTGAAGTGCATACCAGAAAATTTAGGTTTGCTCGCACACTTTAATCTGTCACCCACGTGCAACAAACCCGCTTTCTTTTAAGGTTTAGAAATTGATGGGGAGATTCACTGAAAAAATGTGAGTCAAGATGAATTCAGGACCACTGCTATTTTTTCGTATAACCTCCCTGCAAGCAAATCCCAACAAATGCTCAGTAATGACCGGACAAAGCCGAACCCAGTGATTCCCAAAGTTTTTGGAGCCACCACTTTCTTGCTTCCATAAACTCATCTCTGATTCCAACCCTGTAAAAAGCACTGCTTAAAATAATGGTTTGCCCAGCCCACTGAAATATACTCGGAGTCGAGCATGGATTTCATGCTCTTTATTCAGCTCATAGTAGTGAGGAATGCCAGTTTCCCCGAAATGTCTGCTTTATATACATTATTTACACAATGGGACCCACGTGATTGGCTAATTCCACGATTCTCCTGTAGGCCAATCAGGTTGCGGATTCACTTCCACCTGGAGTTGGATTGGGTGGCTCCTGCGGACCAATCAGACTGCTGCAATCTGAAACCTATTGCTCTAGGACCAATCAGACTGCTGCATTCTGAACCCTATTGTTCTAGGACCAATCAGACTGCTGCACTTTTGATCCTATTCAACTCAGTACATAACACCACTAAGGAAGAGAACCACACTGCAAAATTCAAAACAACTGCACATTCGTTCAAAATCCAATTGAAACAATTTAGTTTAACGGATTCAACAAGAGTGATGAATTTGATCCAGTGATACAAAGACTGATGTTCAATTACACCTCCAGCACCCGGTTACCCCATTGTCTCTTAGCGTGTGCCCCCCCTAAATAACTGTCCCATTTCGGGAACTGCTGGCCTAACCTCTGCGTAAGCCGGGCTTGTCCAAAGTCCATTTCGGGGGCCTAATATCTGGCCCGCCAGTTTGTTTAATCTGTCCCCCATTGCAGTATATGTCCTGGGGTAAAATCTTTTTAAAAGTTCAGCAACTTCAATCCTAAAAAAAACTCAACAACAAAAAGCTCAAGCGACTTCATCAAATTTGGCTCTCTTTGAAAAAAGTTACGGGACAAGGATAACTGTGACTTTAAAGATGAATGGGAACCCTTTACAAAGTATTTGTAGACGCAACAAAGCGAACTGGACTCCTTGGCTGGTTTTGAATAAACATTCACAAACTTTTTATTGACAATTATTACTTAAATAGTTTGAGGATCTATACAACAGTGTAACATGCAGAAAACAGCATTTTTAGAGAAATCAAAGCCTGGAACTGAGGGAAGTTGGGGAGTGGGGGTGGGGGGGTTCTGTGGGGGGAGGGAGGGGGAGGGAGGGGAGGGAGGAAAAAAGGGGGAAAATAAATGTGATATGTTTCTGAATAATATGTTTTGTTTTAATTTTGAATAAAAAGAAATTAACAAAAAAGAAAGAAAGAAAGAAAGAAAGAAAGAAAGAAAGAAAGAAGGAAGGAAGTTTGGGAACCCCTGGCATAAGCTAAGCAAGATGCATGCTCAATAAACAGATCCCTTTGCTAGAGGTCAGGAGATTCCCCTCTCAGGACCGCATTTGTGGGATTCCTGAGTCGAGTTCGGGATTCCTGGCAGTTGCGCCGACTTGTTGCACATGCGCCCTTTCCATCTTTTGCAATGCTAATTTATTGTTCATCTGCTTCTTACAGTAGACCCTGAATACGCTACGGTGGATGGATACAGTTTAATACATCACCACTAGCCCAGAGAGTGTAAGTTTGCTCATTCCAAAAGGGACTCGTTGAGGGTGGGATGCAGCAACGGCAGGACTAGATTCCGTTCCATCATTCATGGCTTATTTTTATTACAGTGGTACCTCGGGTTAAGTACTTAATTTGTTCTGGAGGTCCGATCTTAACCTGAAACTGTTCTTAACCTGAAGCACCACTTTAGCTAATAGGGCCTCCTGCTGCCACCGCGCCGCCAGAGCACGATTTCTGTTCTCATCCTGAAGCAAAGTTCTTAACCTGAAGCGCTATTTCTGGGTTAGCGGAGTCTGTAACCTGAAGCGTATGTAACCTGAAGCATATGTAACCTGAGGTACCACTGTATTTATTAAATTTCTTTACCACCCTTCACCCAAGGGTCACAGAGCCGTTTACAAAATAAAAACGCTTTCAGTTATCTGTATTATACTTTCTTTGGGGTTTTCAACCCTCAGAATCAGGTCATCCGCAAATGCTTTGATCTTATATTCCTTTTCCCCTAATGAGATACCTTTTATTTTATTATCATTTCTTATAGCATTCATCAATTATTACAGTACCATAATAAATAGTAATGGTGACAACCTTGTCTTGTCCCCCTCTTCATACAAGATTCTTCTGTTATTTCGTTATTGAAAATAAGTTTGTTTTTTTGTTTCCTATATATTGCCTCTATAGCTTTAATATAATCTTCCCTCAGTTTCATTGAGCCAAATGGGGAGGGCTGGCGGGCCAAATTTGTCCCTTCGGTCGGCGGTTCCGAACCCCTGTAAGAAACCCTCCAGCTTGGTCCCAAAATGAATTAGAAGTCAATTCATTCAGCACAGAATTGATTCCCAGCAACCTCCAGGATGTGGACTCTGCCATTCTGCACTCTCAGGAGCCTGACTGCCTTAGAAGTTTCCTTCAGTTTAGATGCACTCTGCTCACTTTCTGTATCCTTCTTTTCTCCAGATCTTGAAGCCCTTCTGCCCAGCTGCCCCTCCTTGAGGAAAGCAAGTGAGAAAATAACAGCGTATTAAAAGCTGTGGCTTGCTCTCCGCTCTCACATCCCTGAAGACTTGTTATTTCGGCTGGACTGTTTAAAAGCAAGATTTCCAGAGGAGATTATTTCACTCACAACGGAGGACGTGTGCCAGCGTCGGAAAAGACCTCTGGCTTTTCTCACAACAAATCTGAAAGACTTTTCATTTGAGGGAGTGGGGTATACCCTTAAGTGCTCAGCAGTTGATGTGGCATCATGTCTCAGCCGTTGGGTTTGTTTGTGTGAATCCTGAATTCAGATCCTCATCTAATAGTGAAAATACATAAGTGGAAGACCTTGGGCACATTGCTCGCTATCTCCTGACCTACCTCACAGGGTTGTTGTGAGGGTAAAGTGAGATAATCCCATTATGTTGTCCTGAACTCTTTTCAGGAACAGTGAGATGCTAATATGATGGCTAGTTTTGCTAGGATTGAAAAAGTCAGGGTGGAATCGGAGAGAGGGAGATCATCTTGATTTTTCTTTTTCTTTTTAAAGCATTAATCTGAGTCTAGTGAGGTCCAGAACTGAAGGACTCTCAACAATTCAATCATTTAAATGATTCCATCTTTCGATGGCTGTAAGTCAAAATCAGATAACGGCACTAACATCTGGGGTTCTTCATATTCTCCACAGCTGTGTGAACTCTGGTGGTGCAGAACGCAGCTTTCTAATAATAATAATAATAATAATAATAATAATAATAATAATAATTATTATTATTATTATTATTATTATTATTATTATTTATACCCCGCCCTCCCCTGGCCAGAGCCAGGCAGAACAGCTCTGTCTTGCAGGCCCTGCGGAAAGATTTCAAGTCCCACAGGGCCCTAGTCTTTTGTGACAGAGTATTCCACCATGTTGGGGCCAGTGCTGAAAAGGCCCTGGCTCTAGTTGAGACAAAACTAACCACCTTGTGACCTAGGACCTCCAAAGTGTTGTCAATTGTGGACCTTAAGGTCCTCCGTGGGACATACCAGGAGAGGCGGTCCTGTAGGTACATGGGTCCTAGGCCACGTAGGGCTTTAAAGGTCAAAGCCAGCACCTTAAACCTGATCCTGTGCTCCACCGGGAGCCAGTGCAGTTGGCAAAGCACTGGATGAATGTGATCCTGCGGCAAGGACCCCGTAAGGAGCCTCACCGCGACATTCTGCACCCGCTGAAGTTTCTGGGTCAGCTTCAAGGACAGCCCCACGTAGAGCGAGTGACAATAATCAAGCCTGGAGGTGACCGCCACACGGATCACTGAAATGAGCAAACGAGTGATTGTGGCAACCAATGTCTCTGAGAGCTTCCTGAGCCCCGAAGAAACACCCTTGGATTTCCTAGGGTTTCCTGTGGCTCCCAACTCACCGTGAATTGCACATTCTGTGTCAGAGACCCCAGTCCTTAAGGTCCTCCGCGGGGCATACTAGGAGAGGCGGTCCTTTCATTTTAAAGAAGGGTGGCTAGTCTTCCTGGTTTTTGAGGGGTGGAAAATGTGTGGCTGCGGCTTGTTGAAGGAAGAGGCCGGCAATCCAGAGAAAACCGCAGAGTGAGGCTTCCGTCCTCTCTCCCCATGGCTTCTAATCCTTTCTCCTGTGCCCAATTTCATTCTCTAGCCCTGGCAATGCCCTGTCTTTAAAGCATTGCCTTGTGAGAGAAACGGAGGAAATGTTGTGGAAATGAGGCAGCTACTGGTTATCTGGCACAGTTGTGGGGCTTCCTACTTTTGTTGCCTGCATAAGTTTGGGGGCTGATGTGCCACTTTGTGTCCTGCTGGAATCCTGCAACTTTAATACCAGAAAGATTCCGTTTTAATTTTGTTTGTCCCGCTTGTGTTGCAAGAGCTCCCCTCCTGGCAGCAATAGTGTGACAACGTTGGGGTGGGGGAAGGAAGCATTGCAGCCCAACCAAGGAAGCAAAATGATGTGCAGAATGATCTATAAAGGTAAATGTAAAGGGACCCCTGACCATTAGGTCCAGTTGTGACTGACTCTGGGGTTGCAGCGCTCATCTCGCTTTATTGGCCGAGGGAGCCAGCGTACAGCTTCCAGGTCATGTGGCCAGCATGACTAAGCCGCTTCTGGCGAACCAGAGCAGCACACAGAAACGCCGCTTACCTTCCCGCCGGAGTGGTACCTATTTATCTACTTGCATTTTGACGTGCTTTTGAACTGCTAGGTTGGCAGGAGCAGGGACCGAGCAACGGGAGCTCACCCCGTCGCAGGGATTTGAACCACCGGCCTCCTGATCGGCAAATCCTAGGCTCTGTGGTTTAACCCACAGCGCCACCCGCGTCCCTAGAATGATCTATACAGTCTAGCTTAAACCCACCGCAAATGCACTATTTTACTGCATCAACGACATGCTGCAGAATAGACCCACAAAACAAAGACAAAAGCCTCCACTCTGGAGGGGCACTTGCTGGTATCTTGCCTGTGACTCAGAGCATTCCAGATTCTTCATGGGGGAGAGGAAGGACTGATACCTCCATCCAAACCAAACCTGTTTGTGCAAGCAGGCAAACCTTTATTTCAGTTGCAGAACTTGGTTATCCTGACTGCAGTTCCCCATCCACCTCTCTCTTTAGCAGTGGCAGCCGTTTTCTGAAAAATGAAGTAGTGTTAACACTTCCCTTGGCATTTTAGAACAAGGAAACAATGGTTATGTGTGTTGTCTGGGCAGTTTGCATTAGCTCTCTGCCTGGCCTCTGTGATCAATTTCCCCAACTGGATTTCAGCAGCTCTGGGAAAAGAGCTAGGATGATTTCCCTAGGATGTTTCTCAACTTAGGTCCAAACTGAGAGGCATATACTGAAGGTCTTGGATATATGCCCAAATCTCTCTGCATGATGGGATATCTTGTGGCCCCAAACACTGGGCAGGCAGGAAATGCCTTCTCAGGAATGAAGGTCACTAGAGGCTGGTGGTGCCTTATATTTATGGATTTATGTGGCATCCCTAAGACAGTTAGATGACGCCTTGTACGCCTCCTTCCAGCAACTCCTGCAGCCAAGCTGGTGCCAAACGTATTGCTCTGCTCAGCAAGGTCAAGAGGAGGGTCTTGTCATCTGGGGAGGTCAAGGAACCCCAGAAGCACTGCCCAGGTGTAGCACCCTGCTTGTGGTTAACGCTTAGCTGGAATGAAATATTCAACGCAGCAATAGAGAAATTAAAATAATAATTTATTTGTCAGACAAATAAATGATAGGCACAGTGGTATATGGTTACCAAAAGCTCTGCCCCCTCCAGCCCTGATGGCCAGCACTTATATTTCCTCAGCCCAGCCCCCTTGCTCCTCCTTTGGCTGCTTCTGTCCAATCAGCCTGGTTGAAATTCCTATTGGCTGTTTGCTAGAACCAATCATAAAAGATATACCCATTTCCTATTACCTTTTATGGGAGACAAAGAGCTATATTTCCTTCTATCCATAAATGGCAGACAAGTAGCCATATATCTTACATTTGCCTCGACAAGGCACCTTAATTACCAGATCACCTTTTGCCCTATTGCCCATCCTCCTTGGAGATCTTGGGGTGTTGAACTATTGCAGGCTTCCTCAACCTCGGCCCTGCAGATGTTTTTTGGCCTACAACTCCCATGATCCCTAGCTAACAGGACCCATGGTCAGGGATGATGGGAATTGTAGTCTCAAAACATCTGGAGGCTGAGGTTGAGGAAGCCTGAACTATTGGAACCTGCTGCATGCAAAACCTCCCCTTCTAGAAGCTCTCTGGCTATTTGGTTTCTATGAAACAGTATGGCCCAAGCTTAACATAACAGATTAGACAATAAACTTGGCTGGGTCTTCAAGTCAATAGAGAGACTGGTCTGACCACTTTTGCAGTTCCCTTTTCTGCTTGCAGAAATCCAGTTTAGAGGAGACCCCAAATTCCATTTAATCCAACCCCAAATTTATTACAGAAAGTAAAAGAGATGCAAGAAATGGATTTCTCAGAACTGGCTTCCCTTGATTGATTCCCCACCTCCACCCCTTTAATTATTTGATTTCTTTAATATGGTTGAAGGAAAGAGTTGCTGATTTGTTTCCCAGCTACTAGGGCTGGGGATGAATAAAATGTTGATTAAAAAAGATCTACACCAAGCTGTGAGACTTTGGTTAATTGAAATACTTTGCTGTGTTGAAATTGCTTCACGTAAGAGATTAATAGCCTGTGAGTTCCTGGCCGTGGAAGGAACGGGAATGTCTGGAAATTTCAGCCCTCTGGGCCTAAGGAGCCCTACTCTACCTAATGGGTGGCTGAAGGAGCAATAAATGGAAGAATATGTCAGGAACAGAGTCAGGTATATGTCAGCAATTTAAAAACCCACTGGTGTCAGTGAAGTTAACTCTTTATTCAAAACAACCCAAACAGCACAGGTCCTAGTGATCACAGGAACTCTTCCCGAGTAGGTCTTGCAGCTGCGAAGACTGAAGGCCCCTGCCTTCCCACTGCTGCCTAAGTCCCTTCCTCTCCAGGGTTTATTCCCAAGCAACTGGAGAACATAGCTGTCAACTTTCAGATTTGAAAATAAGCAGCCTCGAAAATAAGGGATCAGCAGCCTCACCAGTCCCGGGGACAGTCTACGGGATATCTAACAATCCGGGATAGCAGTGGGAAGCAGTGGGAAACAGCACTGGAATAAGGGAATTTCCCACAAAAAAGGGGAAGGTTGACAGCTATGCTGGAGACTGCACACAATCAATCTCTGCTCTTTTCATTTCTCTGCGTGTTCTGGGAGACCAGTGTGGAGGGGAGCTGGTTGCAGCAGGAGGGGGAGACTCCCTGGGTTTTTCAGCAGCCTGCCTCAACTCTGCCTCCTCTCCAGGTTCAGGGTCTGCACTGCTCTCTGCCACAGACTCCTCCTGCTCACTAAGCCCTGTTGCCTCTGCAGCTTCCGACACCACCTCCTCCCAGGCTTCTCCGTCTGACCACTCAACGTTGTTAACGGAGAAATCTGAGGGCTCCCTTGGACAAAAAACAAGGACACCAGCCAGGAATACCAGAGCAAAACAGCAGCCAGTAGGCTTGGTCTTTATTGAAGAGTGTCACGACAGGACTCCCACCTGCCACAAGGTGGAACAAGATGGAAGCCCCGAACAAGATGGAAGACCCCAACTTTTATTAGCGACTAATCCCCAAACTACACCCCTAGAACTACATCACAACTACATCACAAAAAGGAGGGGTTGCGGGAGGGGTTTGTGGAGGTAACCTGAGTATCTTGTCACCTGGCTTGTTCCTCCTTTCCCCCTCCCCATGAGTATTTTCCAGAGGACAAAGGGGAGCTGGCTTGTGTTCCTTTGGTGGTGAGAGAGGTTGGGGTTGGCCTAGGGTGTGATTGTTTGTGTGTGATTGGCTGTGGTGATCTTTGTTTTCGTGTGTGAGTGAGGTGGGTGGGTGTTTTGGATCAGGTTAGCCATATTGATTTGTATGCTGTTGGTGGATTATTGTCATTGTCCTGTTGGGCTGTGTATGTGATAAAGGGGAGCCATAGCGGGGTGAAGGTGTCTTCTGTTTGTCCCCGTGTCAGTTACAGTTTACAGTATTAGTTATTTTTTCTAGTAGGGCTGTTTCCCATACTATTTGGTACCATTGGTCCATGCTAACTCCTGATGAGTCTCTCCAGTCTCTGGTTATGGTGTTTCTGGCTGCTGAAAGTGAACAACACAAGCACGCTGACACCAAACTCTACATACATTAAGCATAATAGAAACACCGCTACCCGACCCCACCCCCATCCATCTCCCCTCCTTCCACCCCCCTTTCTTTTCTTTTTTTTCCTTCTCCCCCTAATGCCTCAACAAATGAAACGGATTTGTAAAAATGTTACATGGAAAAAAAATACACGAGGCATTACACTTACACTGTAAAACAAGAAAACCCTTAATAAAATATTTTTTTAAAAAAAGGGGGGGGGGTACCGGCAGTTTCCTGCCCCCAGAGGGAAGAGCTGATCATTGTCCTTTGTTCCAGTCCGTGTTGAATCCACTCCCATAAGCAAGTTCTTTGTGTCCTTGATGGTCTTCTGTCTAGGACCATCAAGGTTGGCATGCCAACTGGGCAGGGCTCCTACATACATGTTGGTACGCTCAAGGGATTATGGCCGTCCTGTATGAAACCATCCCCCTTTGATAGTCCTTCCTTCATGGAGCAAAATAAAAGTGGACCGCTGTAAATCCGATGTACGGTTGATTTTTCTATGAATTCATAACAGAAACATTGCATATGTCGTGTGTGAGTGTGTGTTGAGTTTGTACAAACTAAATGTTTGGGGGTGGGGTGTTCCTGCAACAACATTGACCCACCACCTGACTCCGAGCCTTCTTTCCCTGGGGGTGCCCCCCAGCTGATGCCTCCTCCCACTCCTCTGCACCCAGCCAGCCCATGACAGTTAATGCGGACAGCAAGCTTTCTGTACTTCCACTGATTCTCTGTTGTCCATTTTATGTTCTCCTCCAAATCACTGACTTCTCACACTTCCCCGGATTTTTTCATGGGTGCTCTGAAAATGAGAGGACATAAAATAAAACGTGCAAAAATGGCCGTGTTCATTGGCCCCTGTGCATCTTCCCAAAATAATCCTCGGGAGGTCATTGCAATAAATGTCATAAAAAATTCTACACAGCTTGGTTGTAAAAAATAAATAAACAAATAAAAGTGGAAATAAAATTTTTGAGCCTAGGCTGGGTTTTGTTTTAAGATGCTGCTATAACACGGCATCTCAGTCTTGGATTACTTGTCTCTGGGCACGTGCAGAGTTTCCTTTCCTGCACTAAGTATTCTAATCAGGCAGCCCTCTCTCTCTTTTTTTTAAAAAAATATTTTTATTAGTTTTTTAACATATCATTTCCAACAATTTAACATAACTTCTTATCTTATACAATATTTTAGACTTCCGTCAAAAACCTCTGAAGATATTCCGTTCCTTATCACTTATTCTACATTTCTTAATTTCTCTATTACTTTTAATTATCCTTAACTAATCATTCTTTTCAGTCTTCCTTGCAATATTTCACAAAGTCCTCCTTACAGAACTTCTTGCAGTCCTACTAGCGTGATCTGTTTATTACAATTGCTTTTCAAAATAGTTCAAATATTTACTCCAGTCTTCTAAGAATCTCTGGCCCCCTAGGTTCTGCACAGTCCATTAATTTCATTTCAGGCAACCCTTTTTCACATGCATATATAGGATTACAAGGAGATTAGTTCTAAAGTCTAAAGGCACGACTCTCAGCCTTCGACACCGCTTATCCTTTTTTTTTTTTATTTTGCAGAGCAACAGTAGCAGGGAATAATCGCTCCCGTTATAGACCTTCATAGAATCGCCATTCCCACCCCGTGCCGCCAGGGGTCGCTGCAGCGAAAAGATCGCCGGAACCGCGGGCGCTTATTTCGCTCCCTTTTACAACCCTCTTCGCTGCCCGTCTCTTCCGCGTCTCTCTCGGCAGCGATTGGCGGAAAGCAGAGTGGCCGTAGATGTACTAAAATATAGAGCTGCCGCAGCGACTCGACTTGGAGGCCGGGTTTCCTGGTTGCAGCCCGGCCCGTGAGCCTCGCAGTGACGGAGGTGCGGGGTGAGAAAAGCAACACCAGCAAATAAGAAAGAATTGGGGAGGAAAAGCGAGGGAAAAAAGAGAGAAAACCGCCCTTTCGGCGTGGCTATAATTGTGTATGGCAGCATCACTCTATTAGGCTTCACTTCGTATCTCTACGGCCCGGCGGGGAGGCGTGGCCTGGCGCCCACGTGACGCGGCGGGAGCCCAGAGCAACAACACTAGAGGAGGGGAGGGAGGAAGGGAGACCCTGCCTGGGCGTCGGAGGGCGAGGCGGGCGGCATGGCGGAGGCCGTCAAGCCCCGGAGCAGGCCGAGGAGCAGCCGGGGAAGGACCAAGGTAACCCGGGGAGCGAGCGAGGGAGGCAGGCGGGCGCCTTGCTGCCTCGCAGGTAGACTGCCCTTAGCACAGAGGCTCCACTGAGGCTTCACGCAGCTAGACTGCTGCTATACAGGGGAGGCTTCACTTAGGTATTTCAGAGGCTGGCTGCTTTTTAGGGGGTGGGAAATCCATGAAGGCATCTCACAGGTAGACTGCCCCCTAGCAGGGAGGCTCCACTGAGACTTCTCACAGGTAGGCTGCTGCTTGACAGAAGAGGTTGCATTTAGGTACAGTATTTCAGAGACTGGCTCTCTTTTTTGGGAGGTGGGTGGGAAATCCATTAAGGCATCTGATAGGTAGACTGCCTCTTAGCAGGGAAGCTCCATCAAGGCTTCTCACAGGTAGACTGTTTATCATTAGGGGAGGTTCCATTAAGGTAGACTGCCCCCTAGCAGGGAGGCTCCACTGAGGCTTCTCGCAGGTAGACTGCTGCTTGACAGAAGAGGCTGCATTTAGGTACAGTATTTCAGAGACTGGCTCTCTTTTTTAGGAGGTGGGAAATCCATTAAGGCGTCTTACAGGTAGACTGCCTCTTAGCAGGGAAGCTCCATCAAGGCTTCTCACAGGTAGACTGTTTCTCATTAGGGGAGGTTCCATGAAGGCATCTTATAGGACAGGTAGACTGCCCTCTAGCACAGAGGCTCCACTGAGGCTTCTTGCAGGTAGACTGCTGCTATACCGGAGAGGCTCCATTTAGGTATTTCAGAGGCTGCCTGCCTTGCTCATGTTTGGGGTGGCATCTCACAGGCTGCTCCTGGATAGACGAGGCTCCATTTAGGTGTTATAGAGGCTGACTATCTTTTTTGGGGGGGGCTCTATTAAAGCATCTCACAGGTAGACTGCCTCTTAGCAGGGAAGCTCCATCAAGGCTTCTCACAGGAAGACTGTTTCTCATTAGGGGAGGTTCCATTAAGGCATCTCACAGGTAGGCTGCCCCCTAGCAGGGAAGCTCCACTGTGGCTTCTCACAGGTAGACTGCCGCTTGACAGAAGAGGCTGCATTTAGGTACAGTATTTCAGAGACTGACTTTGTTTTTTAGGGGGTGGGGGTGTCCATTAAGGCATCTCACAGGTAGACTGCCTCTTAGCAGGGAAGCTCCACTAAGGCATTTTGGAGGTAGGCTGTTTCTCATTAGGGAATGCTCCATTAAGACTTTTTACAGGTAGACTATTTTTTGCCTCCATCACGCAGGTAGACTGCCTCTCAGCGGGAAGGATCCATTTAGGTGGCTGGTAGCCTGTTTACCAATAGGGGCAGCTTCATTAAGGCCTCTTGCAGGTAGACTGCTTCTCAACAGAGAGGTTCCACTTAGGCAGCTGGCAGGTGGTCTGTTTCTCAATACTGGAGGCTCCATTTAGGTATTCTGTAAGCTGCCTCTCAACTATGCCTGTCAGCAAGCAAGTTCCATTCTGGCGGCTCACAGGTAGACTGCTTCTGGGTAGGGAGGCTCCGTGTAGGTATAACAGAGGTAGACTGCCTCTCAGCAAGTGGGGTGAGGGAGCTCTCAATTCAGGTCGCCCACAGGTAGACTCATTCTCTACACAGGAAGGCTTCATTTAGTTATTCTGCAGGTAGACTGTCTTTAGGCAAGGAGGCTCCATTTAGGCTGTTGACAAGCAAAACTGCTGCTCTTCCATAGGGAGGCTCCATCTTGCCATCCTTGCGAGAGCTTTGAAAAGTCTGGCTAGCCAGTGTTTGAAACAAAAGGCTAGGCTATGGCCTTCTAGCCTGATCTAGCAAAGCAGCTTTTACGTTCTGTCCACATTTATGGAATTTTACTCTGGCAACCCTTGATGGCCATGGAGATGCAACCAGATGTTGCTGCAACGCTGGATTGTAATACCATTCTTTGTATCTGGGAAGCGCTTGTTTATTGATGGATTAAGTGGAAGTTCTAGCGCTGCTACGTTGCTGCTGGTCATCAGCATGCCTGGAATTTCATGGAGTTTCGTAAGCAGAGAAGTCGGTTTGCAGCTCTACAAGACAGCAACCATTTAAGCGTTGGAGGTATTGAGAAACCACGAAGCTGAGGGAAGGATGGAGGAGGCAGTTCGATGCATGGGCTTGGACTTTCACTTGCACTTGGGGAAGGAGATCGAAGGGACGGGTGGGTTTTGAGGCAAAGCAAGTAAATACACAAAATGCAGACAAAAGTGCCAGAAAAGTACAAAGGCATTTGGAGGAGTTTGGGGCCAGGTCAGGCTTTAGCGTTCTGCTGGTGGGCTTTGAAATGCAGTCATACCTCTTGTTACGTTTGCTTCATGATATGTTTTTTCAGGTTGACGTCCCGCGGCGACCCGGAAGTACCAGAAAGGGTTACTTCCGGGTTTCGCCACTCGTGCATGCGCAGATGCGCAAATTGACGTCACGCACATGCGCAGAAGCGACGAATTGCGACCTGCACGTGCGCAGACGTGGGCTGCGTTTCTTTCAGGTTGCGAACGGGGCTCCGGAACGGATCCCGTTCGCAACCAGAGGTACCACTGTGGTTCATACTGTAGATGCCTAAGAGAGAGAAGGCTTGTTCACACATTATACCAAACCCAACTGCTAGCTGTCTGTATAATTATACAAGAGTATATATGAAGGAGCTCATGCTTGTTGACTTTATGCAGTTCAGCGACTGTGTACACAGGTACAGATTTTACATGTGTTGCATGTAACGGGCGAACACTCCTAGAGTCAGAAGTGAGACTTAGAAGAAGCTCCTTGCTTCTAATACTTGCGTATTCCTGTCTCTTCTCTCTCTCCTTTTCTCCCTGCTGCCTCTGATTCTCTCTGTGTCATTGTGGCCAGTGCAGGTTCTGCCTTGCTTGCTCCACTAGTCTATATACCCCAAGCCCTCTGTGAAAGCAGCTTTAGCAAAAGAGAGAGGAAAAGGGATCGGTGGGACTTGATGGCCAAGTTCAGTTGTCAGAGAGGATTAAAAGCCCCTTAGCTTTTCATAAGTATACGGCTGCAGTCATAGGGGCTAGAAACTTACTTGTTGCTCAAAAGGACAAGGAAGCTTGGATCCTTTGGAATCTGATGGACACACCCTGGATTTTGTGCTGAAATGCTACGGCTGCTTTTTAAGGCTTCCCCTCCTGGCCTTTGTGGATAAGCGTTATTTTGCTGCTGGAAAAGGTCAGATAAGGTCATATATGACTGTCGGAGGCAGCGTGATCTCTGGCATCCTTTGCCAAGCTGGTATCTTGCAGATGTTTTGGGTTATTCTCCCATCAGCCCCAGCCAGTGTACCAGCAGGGTACCAGTATGGCGAAAACTGAATCTGTGGCATTAGTTAACCTCGAGTCTTGGTAATAATGTGACTCTCACATGGCATTTCCTTCGGCTCTTGGCTCACATTCAGCATTTTCGGTTTGTGATCTCCCCCGCTCCCTTCCAGAAAGCGCTTTCATTAGTTGGGGAAGTGTTCCATGATGTGGCAAGCCAAACACTTCTGCAAGAAAGGGGTGAGAGTTTGTTTGTTGTCGGTATTCTTATCTCACCTGTCACAACAGCTTCAAGGTGGCTTGCAGTGAAAACATTAAAAATACAACAAGACTCGAACACACAAACACACACACACAACCCAGCTCTAACAAGCAATCAAAGAGCAGATTGCAGCAGGGGAACGCACACAAGCGATAGACTCTAAAGGGGCGAAACACTCTAAATAAAACATCAATTTAAAGGTGTACTTGAGTAAAAGGGGAGGATTGGTAATAGTTGTAGCAGTGAGCTCATAAATGTTTACATTCACTGGCTTTTGGTATAGGCTAATTGTATTGCTTTGATGTTACCCTTATCTGTGGGGCTTGAGGTGCTGAGCTCTGAGCACAGAAAAGGGGAGCTTATCTGTAAGGTTTGGATATTTGGCACCTACGCCCTCAGCTAGTCAGGTGAAATGATGTACAGTAGTGCCTCGCAAGACGAAGTTAATCCGTTCCGGGAGTCTCTTCGTCTTGCGGTTTTTTCGTCTTGCGAAGCACGGCTATTAACGGCTTAGCGGCTATTAACGGCTTAGCGGCTTTAAGAAAAAGGAAACAAACTCGCAAGAACTCGGAAGACGAAACGTCTTGCGAAGCAAGCCCATAGGGAAATTCGTCTTGCGGAACAACTCAAAAAACGGAAAACCCTTTCGCCTAGCGAGTTTTTCGTCTTGCGAGGCATTCGTCTTGCGGGGCACCACTGTATGCTTCTTTGCTGTATAAAGAATGTATAAATATTTGCTTAGGTGCAGACAAGGCAGCTCCTGGTTGCAAAAGCTAGGAGAACTGGCAGGCTGTTTTGTTCTAAGTCTACACCTTCTTTAATAGAGAATAACAATAATAATATTTATTTATTTATTTATTTATACCTCGCCCATCTGGCTGGGGTTCCCCAGCCACTCTGGGCAGCTCCCAACAGAATATTAAAAACTTGATAGAACACCAGACATTAAAAACTTACCTAAACAGGGCTGCCTTCAGATGTCTTCTAAAAGTCAGATAGTTGTTTATTTCATTGACATCTGGTGGGAGGGCGTTCCGCAGGGCAGGTGCCACTACCGAGAAGGCCCTCTGCCTGGTTCCCTGTAACCTCACTTCTCGCAGGGAGGAACCCTCCAGAAGGCCCTCGGTGCTGGACGTCAGTGTCCGGGCTGGACGATGGGGGTGGAGACGCTCCTTCAGGTATACCGAACACTCTGGTGTTTTGGCATTCTCCTTTGGTATCCCTGCATCCAGTCACTCCCACGAGCCCTCCTCTGGGCCTGTAGATCAGGATATCTATCTATCAATCATCTGTCTCTATGTGTGTGATTGAGCAGCTCCTTCAGTGGTAGAGTATCTCCTTTGCATACACAAAATCCCAGGATCAAGCCCTCGCATCTCTAGGTGAGACAGGGAATGCCTTTTGTCTGAAATCCCAGATAGTTGCTACCAGTCAGTGTGGCCATTGCTGAGCTAGATGGATCAATGGCCTTACTTCATCATTCTTCCCAGCCACTGAGGTCCAGTGCCGAGGGCCTTCTGGCGGTTCCCTCACTGCGAGAAGCCAAGTTACAGGGAACCAGGCAGAGGGCCTTCTCGGTAGTGGCACCCGCCCTGTGGAACGCCCTCCCATCAGATGTCAAAGAGAAAAGCAACCACCAGACTTTTAGAAGACATCTGAAGGCAGCCCTGTTTAGGGAAGTCTTTAATGTTTAATAGGTTATTGTATTTTAGTGTTTTGTTGGAAGCCGCCCAGAGTGGCTGGGGAAACCCAGCCAGATGGGCAGGGTTTAAATAATAAATTATTATTATTACTCCCCATACGGGACCATCTTACGTTCCTATGGGTCTTTTGTTCCTCAAATCTCATTCTTCAGTGTTGCTGTCTCTCTCCCCCCAATTCTTTCCACTAGGAAAAAAAGAAAAAAAGCGAAGAGGAGGAGAGCGTCGCCTGTCAGCTGTCTCTTCCAGATTCAGTTAGAGATGGAGAAGAACCATCTCAGTCCTGCGACACCCAGGGAGAATGCCTTCCAGAGCCCAGGCTCTGCAACGAAGCCAAAGAGATAGAAAACGTGAAGGATGCCTGTGATGTCCCACCGAGTACAGTAACTGTAGAAAATGAAGGATCTCCAGAAACTGCCGCGTTGGAGCCCCCGATCCAGGGGGAAGAATTTGCAGGCAGAGCTTTGCAGGAGGAGAAAAGTACCGGGGGAAACCCAGCCAGTCCTCGGAGCCTCGTCGAAGCAGTTGCTTCCTGCGACCTGTCGGAAAGCAATGCTCCTTGCGCACCGCCTTTGCTGGGGAGTGCGCAGGACCCAGAGACTGAGACCGTACGCAGTGACAAACAGTCTGTTTCCCATCCTTCGGAAGAGGTTCTACCCGCCGTCTGTGCCCCCAGCAAAGAGGAGATTCAGAAATCCGCTCCCAGAATGCTCTATCCGGATCTCCCACTGGAGCTGTTCAGGGAGAGGCTGGCGGCGGTTGCGGTTGCTCCCTTCAAACCGAAGGAGAGGCTGTACCCTGAGATCCCGGCGGAGCCGGAACTGTTGCCTTTCACCCGAGAGCAGCTGAAGGTCTTTGAGCCCTGCTCCTGGCTGGAGAACGTTGACGCCTACGTGGAAGAGTTTGGGACTGTGGCGCACCAGGACAGGCACGAGTTCTTTGAGCTGCTGCTGAACTACTGGCGATGCCGCAAGCAGCTGCTCCTTGCCGAAGCGGAGCTGCAAACCATTGCCTTGGATTGCCAGAACGCCAGGAGCCGCCTGTGGACTTTCAAGGACGAACAGCAGCCCATCCAGGTGTAGTAACCGAAGCATGTTTCTAAAAATTGGTTCATACGTTCGCGTAAAATCAATTGGTTCAGCCCTCCGGAGACGTAACGTTTTATAAAGAATCAGAGATGCAGTGTGGCATAGGGGCTAGTGACACTGTGGCGCTGTGGTCTAAACCACTGAGCCTCTTGGGCTTGCCGATCGGTAGGTCAGCGGTTCGAGTCCCCGTGATGGAGTGAGCTCCTGTTGCTCTGTCCCAGCTCCTGCCAACCTAGCAGTTTGAAAGCACACCAGTGCAAGTAGATAAATAGGTACCGCTGCAGCGGGAAGGTAAACGGCGTTTCCGTGCACTCTGGTTTCCGTCACGGTGTTCCGTTGTGCCAGAAGTGGTTTAGTCATGCTGGCTACATGAGCCGGAAAGCTGTCTGGGGACAAATGCTGGCACTCTTGGCCTGAAAGCAAGATGAGCGCCGCAACCCCATAGTCGCCTTTGACCAGACTTAACCGTCCAGGGGTCCTTTACCTTTTCTTACCTTTTTAGAGCAGTGTTTCCCAAACTTGGGTCTCCAGCTGTTTTTGGACTATGGTTCCCATTATCCCTGACCACTCGTTCTCCTAGCTACGGATGATGGGATTTGTACTCCCCCCAAAAAGCTGGAGTCCCAAGTTTGGGAAACACTGGGTTAGAGTGTCAGACTAAGACCTTGGGAGGCCAGGGTTTGAATCCCCACTGGGCCAGTTGCTGCCTGTCAGCCTAGCCAACCTCACAGGGTTGTTGTTCTGGGAGTTAGTTAAATGAGGAGGGCCAGAACTGTGTGTGCACCACCTTGAGCTCCCTGAAGAGAAAGGCGGGATATAAACACAGTTAAATAAATGTGTTTAATTTGCTGGAAGCTGCTCAGAGTGGCTGTGGCAGCCCAGTCAGATGGGTGGCATATAAATAAATTATTATTAATAATAATAATAATTATAAAACACAGCTATTTCAGAATGCAGGTATTAGTGGTGTGGGGGAATTTGGTTGTTTGAATTTCCCCTCCCAAGAAATGGTGAGGCCTAACGTGCCTTGTTGCTTAGCCTCCTAGACCAGAGTTTTTCCATAGCTTTCATCTTAGACTTGCGGAAGCCTCTTGACTTGCAGAAATGCTTCTGGAATGGGCTCCTGAATGAGCATCCTGAGAGGACTGTACCACACGCTTTAAAGGAATGTCTTCAATCAGCTCCGGAGCGCCCACACTCAGCTACGGACTTTTTGAAGCTTTCTGTTTCTCTCCTTTAATTAGTACTCCACCTTTCTATATTATTGTTTGGGACGCAGGTGGCACTGTGGGTTAAACCACACAGCCTAGGGCTTGCCAATCAGGTGGTCAGTGGTTCGAATCCCCGCGATGGGGTGAGCTCCCGTTGCTCTGTCCCTGCTCCTGCCAACCTAGCAGTTCGAAAGCACATCAAAGTGCAAGTAGATAAATAGGTACCGCTCCGGCGGGAAGGTAAACAGCGTTTCGTGGCGCTGCTCTGGTTCCCCAGAAGCGACTTAGTCATGCTGGCCACATGACCCGGAAGCTGTACGCCAGCTCCCTCGGCCAATAAAGCGAGATGAGTGCCGCAACCCCAGAGTCGGTCACGACTGGACCTAATGGTCAGGGGGTCCCTTTACCTTTACTTACACATCTTAATAGCAAACTGATCTGGTACAAATAAATCAATAAAAAATAATGAGGGTTCTTAACCTATCAAATAAAGTAATATGTAATGACCCATCAGGATATAATAGCGCACAACAAAATGAACTCTCAGAATATCAATAAATAATTGCACAGAAATTCACTCTTGACAGTTGCAATCATCATAATAAAAACTGCGATACCTAAAATGCCACAACACATTGAAAAAGTCATGTTAGGAGATCGAATTGTGCAACAAGGTCACTTAATAAAATTATTAAAAGGATCCCACCCCGCCGGCCTTAACTCCTCATTTTGAACATTGCGTCCCTTTGCAGGGCGTCTGTGCTGATCAATGCAAAGTGTCCGGCCACCATCGCTACCAGACGGTTGAGATGAACGAAGGTGCTTTGGGAGACCTGAAGAGGCTCTTCGAAGCCCAGGCTGAGCATGTGCACCAGACCCTGGCCTTGCACTTGTACACGTCTGTGTTGTCCCGCCTGCAGGTGGAATCTTACATCTACAGGCTTCTCAGCAGCTCTTCCTCGCTGAGGTCTGTGGGACATTCAGCAGCAGCCACCGCCAGGTGCGTGTATCCGAGTTATATTCCAATTAACTCCCCATGGGCAGGGAGCATCAGGGACGCCATGTGCAGAAAGCGGCAGAATTCCGCTCCCGTTCTGCAACCTGCATAAATTACGCAAGCGAAGCGCATATGCTCATTTGACGTACTTGATTCCGGGGAGGTTCAGACTACCTTCTTGTACGTTCTGGCAATGCACGATGGGTTTTTGCTCTCCCTGCCCTCCCACTATCCACACAGTGTGTGAGAGAAGGGGCTGCACCATACATATTGGGGTGTTGACGTAGAACCCCTTTGTGAAAATGGAGGGGGGGATTCTGTTTGGCAGCTTCTCATGCTCTGGGCACCTGGGCAGTGGTTTGTGGCTGCTGAGAGCATCTCTCTGTGTGTGTGCATGCGCAACTCTGCAATTGTGTGCTCCCTTCAGCCAAGGAGGGGTACTGCAGTCGTACCTTGGTTCTCGAACGTAATCCATTCCGGAAGGTGTGACTGTATTTATGTCATTAAATTGCATCTGCCCCCAAATACCCCAGTGGGGTGATGGTTATCCCATTCCCACCCCTTTACAACCACCAGAGTCAGACCAGGAGACCAAAGATCACATCCCTACTCGGCCATGAAGCTCACTGGGTGACCTTGTATTTAACAATTTAAACAATTTAATTATTTGTACCCCACCCATCTGGCTGGGCTGCCCCAGCCACGCTGGGGGGCTATTCCCCTCTCAAGCCTTACCCTAACCGACCTCATAGGGTTATAGTGGGGATTAAACGTGGAGGGGGGAAACCATGTGGACCACCTTGAACTTTGTGGAGAAAAGCTGGAATATAAATGAAATCAGGCCATCAGTAAGAGGCAGCAACTTGGTGCAGGCCTCCTCATGGCTAGGCAAGGTTTCGAACCCAGTGCAGGCTTCCTAGCAGAGGCCCAGTACAGTGGTACCTCGGGTTAAGAACTTAATTCGTTCTGGAGGTCCGTTCTTAACCTGAAACTGTTCTTAACCTGAGGTACCACTTTAGCCAATGGGGCCTCCCGCTGCCGCGCAATTTCTGTTCTCATCCTGAAGCAAAATTCTTAACCCAGGGTATTATTTCTGGGTTAGCGGAGTCTGTAACTTGAAGTGTCTGTAATCTGAAACATCTGTAACCCGAGGTACCAGTGTACTCTGCATTATTTCACTCCAACTGTGAGGTCACTTAATCCTTTTTCTCCTCTCCTCATTTGCAGTTCTTAAACAGGCTGAAAATGTTTCCTTGGACGTGGGTCCCTTGAAGGAATGCATCAGCGTCCTCTTCAGTTTCATGCGCAGGGTCATTGAGGATCCTCAGTTTGAGAGCGACGTGCTCTCCTGGCTGCAGAGGCTGGTGAGAAACAGAGGGAGTCAGATCTACCCTAAATCTGGTGCTAGGGCAATCCTTTTATATCTATACTGCCTGACGTACTCTGGTCCATGGGGTCACGAAGAGTCGGACACGACTAAACGACTAAACAACAACAATCCCCCAATTGATCTAGCAAAAGAAAGTCAAGAATAGCAACACAAGGAGAAGAGGGTCTGGAATGGGGAGCTTTGAAGAGGAACCGTTGTGGCGATCACACAGGGTCCCCAGACGTTTTACTGTCTATTGATCCCTGTGCCACCACTTTATTTCTCGCTGCCACCACCCAGGCCCTACCTGGGACAATACTGAGTCCAGTCAGGGTTAAATTGGAACATAATCTTCTGTTTATTTATTGCAGTTTAACAAGCATGTGGTTTCATAAACGGTATTGGTCAATTACAATCATGGGGTGCCTATCCAGACCTATAACTTCCGCTCCCTGCTCTCACTCACTAAACCACCTCTCAGATATTTACTTGTTTTCCTAGCCCCTAACTATTCCTTACTCAGCTTATTTTGCTACACTAACTCAACCTACCCACAGACTCTATCCCAATTCACTCCCACTCCAACCAACCACCCAACTCCCAACGAACTCTGCTTTCGCCCCTCCCCTTTTATAGTCCCTCTGACTCTACCCGCTGGGTTCTGATTGGGTAACTTGTTTAACTATTTCACCTCCAGCACTCTCATATGTTAACGTCACAACCGTATGCTTCTGTTTTAAGAGATCCGTCTTAACTGTGGCTTTGCAGTCCTTCCCTCCCTTAACTGCCTTTGAAATTGTCTCCTGTCTCTCCAGGTGTCTGTCTTGCAAAAGGTTGGTTGTCCAGGGGACCACATTTTCCTCTTAAACCACATCCTCCGCTGCCCGGCCGGCGTTAGCAAGTGGGCTGTTCCTTTCATTCAGGTGCGGATGTTTAATCTTTGCTTCTTACGGGGATGTGCTGGGGACCCAGATCTCGCTGTCTCTTGGGCAGTTGCACTTTAGGAGGCAGGTGTGGGGGGTCTTGCCCATGGGTCAGCAAACTAAGGCCCGGGGGCCGGATCCGGCCCAATCGCCTTCTAAATCCAGCACACGGACGATCTGGGAATCAGCATGTTTTTACATGTGTAGAATGTGTCCTTTTATTTAAAATGCATCTCTGGGTTATTTGTGGGGCACAGGAGTTCGTTCATCCCCCCCCCAAAAAAATATAGTCTGGCCCCCTACAAGGTCTGAGGGGCAGTGGACCAGCCCCCTGCTGAAAAAGTTTGCTGACCCCTGGTCTTGCCCCACAAGAATGCCCCAAACTGGGGTGCCAAACCGCAAATGAGTTACAGTTTTTTAGATTAGTGAAACCTTTTAAAGGGGGGGGGCAGGAGGACAAATGTAGTCATTCTAGGGCCACACCATTACACATTGTTCGGGGGGGTGTGATCCTCGGATGAAGAGTAATGCAATGATAATGCAGCATGTTTGAAATTTGAATGTGCAAAGGCTAGCCTTTTTTTAAAAAAGGGAAAAGCAGTTTAGCTTTCCCTTGCCCCTTGACATGATTGTTTTCACAGGCAGGTGTGTTTTATCTTAGGGAGCATTAAAAGTATAATTCTCTCTACCTGAGGTCTGAAATGGCGCAGTCTGGGACGGGCTGCACCAACATCTTTTCCCTGCATATTCTAATCTGCTCTCAGAGCTCGTTTTGTGTTTATCTGCCTTTGAACATCTCACCTCAACGCTTGTGGAAACTGTTTTTCCCCACCTGTATCTCCATAAATTGGACGTATCGGGTGCATTTCCATCTTGATTACCCAGACACCCGGGTTTGAGTAGCACCTTTTATTTTATTTTTTAACTCCCTCATTCAATTTCTTGTTTGCTTTCAGATTCGGGTTCTGGATAACCCCTCGGGGCTCTTTCACTTCATGCAGTCCCTTGCTTTGCTTATGTCTCCTGCCAAGTAAGTATACAAAAGAGCCGCTCTTCCTCTCCGTGGTGCTAGCGGTGTTATTCTGCTTAGCCCTGTGCAGGGAAGATGTGCTTCAAAACCAAGCAAAAAAAGTTATTTCCCCCCTGTGCAGGTAACCTCATAGCTACCCACAAAATGTCAAACTGGATATATACAGGACTAGCGATGTGAGGTGAGAATATTCTCTGGAGAATATTCTCCACAAACTGTAAATTCTGTGTCATCTACACAGCTGCTTTAAATTTCTTCTTTCCATCCTTGGGCTAGTAACATCCATGCAGCTGTTGTCACATACATAAAATGTATTTTCTGGCCTTTTGGAAACTGTTATGGGTTTTGTATACTAATACAGCAGTATACCTCGGGTTACAAACGCTTTGGGTTACAAACGCTTCAGGTTACAGACTTTGCTAACCCAGAAAGAGTACCTCGGGTAAAGAACTTTACCTCAGGATGAGAACAGAAATTGTGTGTGGCGGTGGCAGCGGGAGGCCCCATTAGCTAAAGTGGTACCTCAGGTTAAGAACAGTTTCAGGTTAAGAACGGACCTCCGGAACGAATTAAGTTCCTTACCAGAGGTACCACTGTAATAATAATAATTTTTATTTATTTAAATCCTGTCCTCCCCAGCCAAAGCCAAGCTCAGAGGGGCTAACAACAGTAAAAATAGCACCGTTTATGTAAAATCACAATCAATTAACTGAAATACATTCTAGTACAGTGGTACCTCAGGTTACATCCGCTTCAGGTGACAGACTCCGCTAACCCAGAAATAGTGCTTCAGGTTAAGAACTTTGCTTCAGGATGAGAATGGAAATCGTGCTCCGGCGGTGCGGCAGCAGCAGGAGGCCCCATTAGCTAAAGTGGTGCTTCAGGTTAAGAACAGTTTCAGTTTAAGAACGGACCTCTGGAACGATTTAAGTACTTAACCCGAGGTACCACTGTAGTAACTAATAGTACTACATTCTAGTAGTAACTCTTGAACCTGGTCCAGTAGCAAATCAGCCAGTGCAGATTTCTGAGCACAGGTGCTGAATGCTGACAAGGCCTCACTCCTGCCAGCCATTGCGCTGCAGAATTCTGCCCTAAGTGCTGATTCTGGATCAAGCGCAAGGAAAGCCCATTCCCTGTGACTCACCTTCCCTTTTGGCCTGGCTGTGTTTGCAGTTGGGTCAGCTGCAAGAGGGGGTCGCTGAGGCAATTGAGAGCTGCTGACCTTGATCTCCCCTCTCCCTTGCCCCCCCCCAGAACGCTAGCCAGCAAGGACGCAGCCTCCTCCCCCTCTCTTGGTCTCTGTGACCCAATTTTCACGGCTTGCTGCGTTTTGCGATTCGCAGAAATCGTGCGGAGTTCATGTGCCACATGAAACCGAGCGAACGGAAGGCGTCTTCCTCATCTGGGCAGGAATCTGGGAACTGGACTCTGGTGGATGAAGGAGGAGAAGAGGTACCTTTAAAGAGGGATGGCACTAACAGGGAGGATAAGAGGAGATATGGTACAAAAAGTGAATAAAGAGTGAGCTATCTTTAAGGAATTAAGGGACGTGGGTGGCGCTGTGGGTTAAACCACAGAGCCTAGGACTTGCCGATCAGAAGGTCGGTGGTTCGAATCCCTGCGACGGGGTGAGCTCCCATTGCTCGGTCCCTGCTCCTGCCAACCTAGCAGTTCGAAAGCACGTCAAAGTGCAAGTAGATAAATAGGTACCACTCCGGCGGGAAGGTAAGCGGCGTTTCCGTGCGCTGCTCTGGTTCTCCAGAAGTGGCTTAGTCATGCTGGCCACATGACCCGGAAGCTGTATGCTGGCTCCCTCGGCCAATAAAGCGAGATGAGCGCCGCAACCCCAGAGTCGGCCACAACTGGACCTAATGGTCAGGGGTCCCTTTACCTTTTATGTGTTTTATATGTTAATAAAATTTAATTTAAAAAAAATTAAGAGAGATGGCACTGTGCACTTCTGGGACAGCGGGAAATGCAGCCTTTTGATGCGCTGTTGTCTTTTGTCCTAGGACGAAGATTCTGAGACTAGCTGGGTCCTCCTCCTGGAAGACGACTTGATCGCGCTTCTGTCCCAGTTCCCCTTTCACGAACTCTTCCAGCACATCCTTGGGTTTGATGCTAAAGGTGAGCGAAGTCCCCAAGGGATGTGCGTCGGGCAGTATAGAAACAGAAGTAGCTGGTATATATGGAAAGGCCGCAATCCCCAGCATCTCCACGTAGGCCTGGGGAGAAAGATGGCTGTATAAAACCCCGAAGGAGCCGCTGGCAGCCAGTGTAGACTAAGTTAGAGGAATCAACACTCGAACTCTGCGCAAGGCAGTTTCCTATGTTCCTACTTAGTAGGTTGGGAACAGGAGTGAGCCTAGTTCAGTAGGACTGGCTCCCATAACTAAGACGGAGGTTAAGATTAATTTTCTAAATAATAAATAATTTTATAAGTGGTGTGTCTTCGTTTCTCAATTTGATCCCTTTACACGGTTTTGCATGCATCATATTTTGACTTGCAGTTATTTTTATTGATCGTAGTTCAGTAATTATTTATTGCAATTGTTAAGAGTGAATTTCAGTTTAGCTGATGTTTTTGCTGATGTTTGAGAGTTAATTTTACTGCGTACTATTATATTCCAATAGATTATTGGAGATTACTTTATTTGATGTAGGTTGTTCCGTTTTAAAGTTATGTTTTATCATGAATTTTTTATTGGATCAGATTATTATAAGGTGTGCTGTATATTTCACCGCTGTAAACTGCCTTGTGTGTGGTAATGTAGAAAGGCGGTATACAAATTAAAAGTGAAATGAAATGGAAAAATAAGAAATGCTGGAATATATATGACAGCACACTTGCCGTAATCTGAACTATATTGCAGTTTCAACAGGACATAATAATAATAATAATAATAATAATAATAATAATAATAATAATAATTATAATAATTTTAATTTATATCCCGCCCTCCCCAGCCGAAGCCGGGCTCAGGGCGGCTAACAACAATAGAATAATACAACATTCTAAAATCATTTCATTATAAGATTAATTCAAATCAAATTGATGGCAACCATTGGGCTAGAGTTCTGTGAAGATTGCCAGAAGACCGCCACCTTTGCCAATCCTGATCTGTTTTATCTGTCACGAAGGCATCTACGTTCCTGAGAAAACAACGCCTCAAGAGATGATGAAGGTCTTTGCGTTTGCAAACTCTTTAGTGGAACTTCTTGCCGTGGGACTGGAAACCTTCAACAGAGCCCGCTACAGGCAGTTTGTGAAACGAATCGGCCACCTCATCAGGTAAGGAGCATCGCTTGGTAGCCTCAGGCAGCAACAGAGGCCCCTTCTTGGCCAACATGGGATTGTGGAGGTCGCTGTTTGTCCAGCTCGCATTGGCATCCCATCCCAGTTTGTAATTGCCACTTTGCTCCAAAGGAAACACCTGAGCGATCTTGTTCTTCTGCCAGCGTTAGATTAGCGCCTTGATGTATAGATCTTTGTCTGCAGCAGCAGATGTCAGGTGAGCACCTGTGTGCAAGGGAACTTTCCTGTTGTGCTGTGGGGCTGGGTGTACAGGTGGTGTCAGAGCCAGCAACAGGCAGTGAGGATATTTCACCCCTCCCATTGCAAGAATCTGCTGATTTTCCAGAGAGGAGGGGGCGGATTGTGCTTGCTACTTATTCCGCTCCAGCCTCACTTCAAAGGGGGAGACTGAGTGTTATGTCTGTGTAGATAAGGTCGCTGCAAAAGCAGCTGTAACACTCAGTGCAGTCCAGCGTCTCCATAAAGCCTTGTATATAGTTTGTATAGTACAGTAGCTGTAGAGAATAAAAGAAGATATTCTTCAGCACTGTCGTCCGAGTGATTTATGCTCTGCTGTACTCTGCTGACTTCTGGAAGTGAGTTCGGTGCTCACAGCTCTGAGTTGTGAGTCCACAGTACTTAGACCTGTTCCTGCAGAAGAAGGTCTCTAGAAGTGCTACCCCAGCTCGCCTGGCCCAGTAGGAGCTGAAGTGGTTGAGCCCAGTCGGTGGCACTGGCTCAAGGGCGAAGCTGACAGGCAGAGCCAACTGATTCTGGCTTTATCTCCATCCTTCTCTCCGCTGAGTCTTACAAGGGCAGCACCGAGACTCATCTACACTCTCCTTTTGCCCCATGCTTTCTAGGCACAGGTCCACATGGGTGGCGCTGTGGTCTAAACCACTGAGCCTCCTGGGCTTGCCGATCGGAAGGTTGGCGTTTCGAATCCCTGCGACGGGGTGAGCTCCCGTTGCTCTGCCCCAGCTCCTGCCAACCTAGCAGTTCGAAAGCATGTCAAAGTGCAAGTAGATAAATAGGAAGCGCTCTGGCGGGAAGGTAAACGGCGTTTCCGTGCGCTGCTCTAGTTCGCCAGAAGCGGCTTAGTCATGCTGGCCACATGACTCGGAAGCTGTCTGCAGACAAACGCTGGCTCCCTCGGCCTATAGAGAGATTGATTGTTGAACCACTCTGGGAACTGTATCTGTGAGGGAAAAAGGTGCCTCCTAACAACAGGGGATGCGGGTGGCACTGTGGTGTAAACCACCGAGCCTCTTGTGTTTGCCAATTGGAAGGTTGGTGGTTCGAATCCCCGCGACAGGGTGAGCTCCCGTTGTTCGGTCCCTGCTCCTGCCAACCTAGCAGTTTGAAAGCACACCAGTGCAAGTAGATAAATAGGTACTGCTGTGGCAGGAAGGTAAATGGCATTTCTGTGCGCTCTGGCACTTGTCATGGTGTTCCGTTGCGCCAGCAGCGGTTTTGTTATGCTGGCCACAAGACTCGGAAAGCTGTCTGTGGACAAACTCCGGCTCCCTTGGCCTGAAAGCGAGTCCTTTGACTGGACTTAACTGTCCTGGGGTCCTTTACCTTTTTAAAGAATTGAAACATCATAGAATTGTAGAGTCGGAAGGAGTCTGAGGGCCATGCAACAGCTTCTTATGGTTCTTTGCATCTTTCCAAAGGGGCCTTTGGTATGTGTGGTTCAGCAGCTGTTGCATCATCCTAATCATTTACAGATCACAGAATCAGAAAACCGTGGAGCTGAAAGGGACCCCGAAGGGCCATCCTTTGCCTTTCAGGGATCTCAGCTAAAGCATCCTAGAGGGATGGCCATCCAGCCTCTGCTTCAAAACCTCCAAGGATGCAGAGTCCACAGTGGTTGGCCACCGTGAGAGCAGGAGGCTGGACTGCAATGCACCCTTGGCCTGATCCTGCTGCAAGGCTCTTCTTGTGGATATTTTCACCCCTCCCATTGCAAGGATCTCATGGTATTTTCAGAAAGGAGGGGGCGGAATCTGCTCATCGCTTCTTCCGCTCCTGCTTGACTCTGTAGGAGTCTGAGTGTTATCTGTGTAGAGATAAGATGACTGCGTAAGAAACTGTAGCACTCATGCAGTCCTTTAGTCTTTAGTTTATTTTAATTTGCAGTAGCTGTAAGAGACATGGGGTACATGCAGTAGCTGTAAGGGGACATGGGTGGCGCTGTGGGTTAAACCACAGAGCCTAGGACTTGCCGATCAGAAGGTCGGCGGTTCGAATCCCCGCAATGGGGTGAGCTCCTGTTGCTCGGTCCCTGCTCCTGCCAACCTAGCAGTTCGAAAGCACATCAAAGTGCAAGTAGATAAATAGGTACCACTCCGGCGGGAAGGTAAACGGCGTTTCCGTGCGCTGCTCTGGTTCACCAGAAGCGGCTTAGTCATGCTGGCCACATGACCCGGAAGCTGTACGCCGGCTCCCTCGGCCAATAAAGCGAGATGAGCGCCGCAACCCCAGAGTCGGCCACGACTGGACCTAATAGTCAGGGGTCCCTTTCTTTACCTTTAGCTGTAAGAGAATAAAGAAGTTATGTTTCAGAGCTTTCGTTCGTGTAATTCATACTCTGCTGAGTTTGGTGCTCACAGCTCAAAGTTGTGGGTCCAATGCACTTAGACCTGCTCTCCTGCAGTAGAAGGTCTCTGGAAGTGCTTCCCAGCTCGCCCTGCCCAGTCGGGGCAGAAGAGGTTGAGCCCAGTCGGCACCGGCTCAAAGGAGAAGCTGACACTGCTTATGTACTTAAATGATTTGTAGACATTCAGATTTTCCGCATTGTCCTGTTCCCCCTCCCCGTTTCCCCCCCTCGCCTCCTGCTGATAGGATGACGCTTTGCTATGTGAGTGACCACTGGGCCCAGTATGCCAGCCAGGCCAAAGGCTATGGCTACGAGATGCACCCTTACTCTGTTGAGAAACTGCAGGTGGAATTCGATGAGCTCTTCCTGAGGGCTGTCCTCCAAGTCCTGAAAGCGAAAAGGTAGGAAACGAGGGGCTGTGCCGGGGGCGGGGGCGGCATTTGTGGCAGTTGGGGAAGTCTAGGCTGCGTCTAGAAGAGAGCTGTGAAGTCAGGTGGGACCTGATAGAAGGCCAGAACTCAAATCCTCAAACCGTGGAGGGAAATGGCTTTTATCGGAGCTTTTTAGCATGCAGTTAATTGCCAGGGTTAGGGTGATATGCGTTTCCTCTGCGGGAGAGATGTGCCGAAGCCGACAAAGTTAGTGGCTGGACCATTTGAGAATCCTCTCTGCCTTTGCAGCAATGGTAGCTGCCCGTGCACTGTCTCACCAGAGTGGTGCATGCTCTGGTTATCTCCCACTTGGACTACTGCAATGCGCTCTACGTGGGGCTACCTTTGAAGGTGATCCAGAAACTACAACTAATCCAGAATGCGGCTGCTAGACTGGTGACTGGGAGTGGCCGCCAAGACCACATAACACCGGTCCTGAAAGACCTACATTGGCTCCCAGTACGTTTCCGACAATTGTACACTCACTGACAATACAGGTTGTACACTGACGTTTCCGAGCACAATTCAAAGTGTTGGTGCTGACCTTTAAAGCCCTAAATGGCCTCGGCCCAGTATACCTGAAGGAGCGTCTCCACCCCCATCGTTCAGCCCCGCCACTGAGGTCCAGCTCCGAGGGCCTTCTTGCAGTTCCCTCACTGCAAGAAGCCAGGTTACAGGGAACCAGGCAGAGGGCCTTCTTGGTAGTGGCGCCCGCCCTGTGGAACGCCCTCCCTTCAGATGTCAAAGAGATAAACAACTATATGACTTTTAGAAGACATCTGAAGGCAGCCCTGTTTAGGGAAGCTTTTAATATTTGATGAATTATTGTATTTTAATATTTTGTTGGAAGCCGCCCAGAGTGGCTGGGGAAGCCCAGCCAGATGGGCGTGGTATAAATAATAAATTATTATTATTCCTGTGCCCGAAACATTTCCGTTTGGTCTTCCCTTTCCCAACAGGCTAGGGGTCTGGCTCTTTATGTCCGAGATGCCGTACGGGACTCTGTCCTGCAACATGCTCTGGAAACTGTTCTCCATCATGCACTGCGCAGAAAGCGAGAACCTTGAGAAGCTATGTGCCGCGGTGCAGCTGGCCGACTGCAAACGCCAACTCAATGGTAGCGTCTCAACGCCCCCTTCTCCCTTTCTTTCTTTCTTTGGTCATTTGCGTGTGGAATTTCAGCCAGGTATATTTGGATGCTCATCTGCCTTTGGTGTAAGCATCAGGGCCGGTGTCCCCGGACCAAGCAAGTGGCCACGCAGGCAAGCGCTGATTCCTTCTGAATCCATCACTGCGATGCAGCCCTCTGGCCATCTTCCTGTGATGGTTGCGGTGCAATGTTGGGGAATCTTTTTTGGCCTGAGATCCACATTCCCTTCTGTATAACCTTCTGAAGGCTGGTGGGTAGATCTGCTTTGGGGACAAATGGCTGGGCTTAGAAGAAGAGTTTGGATTTGATATCCCGCTTTATCACTACCCGAAGGAGTCTCAAAGCGGCTAACATTCTCCTTTCCCTTCCTCCCCCACAACAAACACTCTGTGAGGTGAGTGGGGCTGAGAGACTTCAGAGAAGTGTGACTAGCCCAAGGTCACCAGCAGCTGCATGTGGAGGAGCGGGGAAGCAAACCCAGTTCACCAGATTACGAGTCTACAGCTCTTAACCACTACACCACATAGGCAGATGGCTTTTCTTTTTCTTTTTTTTACAGCTGTTTGTATGCTTCCACTCCCAATTCTTTGCCGCTAGGAAGAGACCTGCCCGCCTCCACCCCATGCTAGCTGCTGTGTGCAGACTTGGTTATGCTGGGCAGCCGTTCAGGCCCCTTATCTATTTAGAACACAGCAGCGGTAGCCAATTTGGAAATAAACAACTATCTGACTTTTAGAAAACATCTGAAAGCTGTGTTGGGAAGTTTTTTTATGTCTAACCAATTTTTATGTGCTGTAAGCTGCCCAGAGTGGCTGGAGAAACCCAGCCAGATGGGCAGAGTATAAATAAAATAATAATAGTAATAATAGTAATAATCTATTTTAATAAATAACTATTTTATTTTTAAAAGACAACTGAAGGTGGCCCTGTTTAGGGAAGCTTTTAATATTTGATGAATTATTGTGTTTTAATGGGACGCGGGTTGCTCTGTGGGACGCGGGTGGCACTGTGGGTTAAAACCTCAGCGCCTAGGACTTGCCAATTGAAAGGTCGGCGGTTCGAATCCCCGCGGCGGGGTGCGCTCCCATCGTTCGGTCCCAGCGCCTGCCAACCTAGCAGTTCGAAAGCACCTTCGGGTGCAAGTAGATAAATAGGGACCGCTTACCAGCGGGAAGGTAAACGGCGTTCCGTGTGCTGCACTGGCTCGCCAGATGCAGCTTGTCACGCTGGCCACGTGACCCGGAAGTGTCTGCGGACAGCGCTGGCTCCCGGCCTATAGAGTGAGATGAGCGCACAACCCTAGAGTCTGGCAAGACTGGCCCGTACGGGCAGGGGTACCTTTACCTTTTTACCTGTGTTTTAATATTTTGCTGGAAGCCGCCCAGAGTGGCTGGGAAACCCAGCCAGATGGCCGGGGTATAAATAAATTATTATTATTATTATTATTATTATTATTATTAATCATTATCCTCATCCTCCATATGATGCTGGACTCGCTCCCCTTTCCCCCAGACAGCAGACTCCATTTCTCAGGGACTGTGGGTGTTGCGGTCAGACAATATCTGGAGCTTACTGCTGTGACGCAGAGTGGAATGACACGCCCATGAAAGGAGGACCTCCGATCTTTGCCCTTGAAATAAAACCAGCCCCCTCTTTTGCCACCGGCAGACCCAGCCCACCTGGAGAATTTCGAAAAGTATCTCCAGTCGATGAACAGTTCCGAGGAGATCTGCCTGCTGACGACGTTTGCCCAGATGGCTCAGGCGAAACGCGAGGATGCTGACCAAGACTTTGTCAGAGTCATCGTGCTGGAAATCTATGAGGTGAGCCAGGAGCAGTTCGATAGGTGAGAGGGAGCTGCGGTGTTGGGCGGAAAGCTCCGACCCATGAGTGGCTTCTGCACTGCAGCTGCGAGGCGGAGTTGCGAAGCAAGCAGCCTCGGGTTCGAATCTTGCCTATGCTCCGAACTTGCTAAGAGATGGCTGTGTGTCGGCCTCCTTTTCCTGGTCCCGGCCGGCCATTCGTCTGTCGGAAGTTGAGCAAGGCTGTTTGCTGGGAAATGGCGTTTTGACTCCATGCCAGCATTCGAGTGACAAAGGAAGTAAAAGGAGGTGGACAACAGTTAAGGATTTATTATGTTTGGAAAATTTATATAGAAATGTTCATTGTTTTGGGTACATTCAATTGTAAGATAAAACACACGCGAAGGGACTTGACAGGAAGTCAAAATTGAAGAAAATATTTTTTAAGATAAAAGGGGAAAGAATATTTATTTTCATTATTATCATTATTAATTTTTTCTTTTTCCCTGTGTGTGTGTTGTATGGAATGGAATGTTTGGGAGGAAATAAGACGGTGAATAACAAATAAACAAAATATTGATGTATGTCATTTTTATTTCTCAATTGTATTTTGTGGTAGTATGGTTGTAATGTTTTTTGTAACATAAAATCATTCTGTAAAAATTATTTTTTTAAAAAGAGAGAAATGGCGTTTTACCAGGGAAAGCCTCAGCGGGCGGCTAAAAATGAAATAAAAACCACTGTATTTCTCCAGGTGTCTTACGTCAGCCTTTCCACCAGAGAGACTTTCTCAAAGGTCGGCCGGGAGCTCCTGGGCGCCATCACCGCTGTCCACACCAGCATGATCTCTGTTCTTCTGGACCGAGTCAAAGAGACCATTGAAAAGGTTGGCATGGTAAGAACCACGCCCATGCTGTGCTGCTGCTGTTGCTGGGCCCAGTTGATGGAGAACGTCCTTTGGCCATGTGCAGACCGCGACTTAAAATGCTCCCACCAGAATTGTATGCCAGGCTTGTTGTTTTGCATTTATTCTGGTTCGGAATGTGAACAGCAAGGACTTCAGCCTCACCTGAATGATGGAAACCTTGTATACTCATGCCCTAATATTTCACTGCCTGCCACCTCCCAAATGCACACCTTGCAGCTCTTATCTGGGTAAACAGTAGGGACTAGAAGCATGTTCTGAATCAGAGAACACACACAGGCTTGTTGGAGATAGGAGCTTGGAGGACCCAAGGGCCATAGAGCCCATACTCCTAAGAGTCACCTTAGAAGCCCATGAGCTGAGAGCCAAGGGGCAGATGGGGCTCAGCAGCCCGGGAAAGTAGCCTATGGTGGGAGAATGAAAACTCTCATCCTAAACCTTCGCTGCCTTGCAGGATATCGTTCGGAAAATGAAATGAAATGAAATACTTTATTGTCACTTGTACAACTTGTATATAGTGAGATTAAGGTAAAGGTAAAGGGACTCCTGACCATTAGGTCCAGTCGTGACCGACTCTGGGGTTGCGGCGCTCATCTCGCTTCATTGGCCGAGGGAGCTGGCGTACAGCTTCTGGGTCATGTGGCCAGCATGACTAAGCCGCTTCTGGCGAACCAGAGCAGTGCACGGAAACACTGTTTACCTTCCCGCCAGAGCCGTACCTATTTATCTACTTGCACTTTGACGTGCTTTCGAACTGCTAGGTTGGCAGGAGCTGGGACCGAGCAATGGGAGCTCACCCTGTCACGGGGATTCGAACTGCCGACCTTCTGATCGGCAAGTCCTAGGCTCTGTGGTTTAACCCACAGCGCCAGATTACACAATAAATAATAATAATAATAATAATAATAATAATAATAATAATTAATAATAGGCTAGGGAGTAAATCCTGCACAAATCTGGAGCTGAGTCCCTGAGACGGTTGGATGGCGCCTTGTTCACCTCCTTCTGGCAACTCCTGCAGCCAAGCTTTTGCCAGATGTCTTGCTCTGCTTTCCTTTGGATCCCATCAGAGAGGCTGGGGGTGGGGTGGTCTTGTCGTCTGGGCAGCCCAGGACCTCCAGACACACTGGCCAGTCTTGCGCCTGAGGAGCTCACTTCGGTGCTGCTAACACAGCAGTTTGACTTTGCCCCTGGAAGTACACTCCCTTGTCTCTTGAGATAGGTGGATGCCAACAGAGGCTTGTATATAAGTGGGTCCAAGATTTCCATTCTGTTGCTTTATGAGCCTTTATTTTTGCAAGATGACTCACTCCCAACAGCGTTGAAAAAGACTTCCCTGGACCTTTGAGATGGTCTTGTTTATTATATTTTTTATTAGTTTTCAGTTACATTCCAATAACAGCTTCATTATAACAATACCAATTTATAATACAGTTACTAATACCAATTAGTTACAGTTACCAATACCAATTATGAGGGACGCGGGTGGCACGTGGTAAAAGCCTCAGCACCTAGGGCTTGCCGATCAAAAGGTCGGCGGTTCGAATCCCCGCGGCGGGGTGCGCTCCTGTCGCTCGGTCCCAGCGCCTGCCAACCTAGCAGTTCGAAAGCACCCCCGGGTGCAAGTAGATAAATAGGGACCGCTTACTAGCGGGAAGGTAAACGGCGTTTCCGTGTGCTGCGCTGGCTCATCAGATGCAGCTTTGTCACGCTGGCCACGTGACCCGGAAGTGTCTGCGGACAGTGCTGGCTCCCGGCCTATAGAGTGAGATGAGCGCACAACCCTAGAGTCTGTCAAGACTGGCCCGTACGGGCAGGGGTACCTTTGCCTTTACCTTAATACCAATCGTTCAAATACCGAATTATGTAATTTAGGTGTCCCCCTGTGTGATAGAATTGATGGTTATATGCTTTCCTTTATTGCTGCATTCCAAAATCTTATTAATTTCTATTACATTCCAGTCATCGTAATAATCCCTTATACAACAACTGCAATATTAATAACTTCTATTTGTGTTGGCACATTAAATGTTTCATAAATCTACAAGTGAGGCACTCAAACTATATCCGTATTCTTCCTGTGTGTGGCAATTATTCTGTCCGTGGTGTTTCCTCCTTTTCTTGTAAAATGTTACGTCTTATCTTTTCCCGGTTGTCGCTCTACTCCAGCATCTTCATCGGCATATCTGTCACCTTTTTCTTCTTAGGTTTCTCTTTATTTATTTAAAGAGCTGCCCATGCACCTCTGGAAGCCGTCTTCATCCGAGGTAGCCCTGATCCGCAACTGGCTTCTGAATCACAGCCTCACTGAAGTGGAGAACAAACTCGCCTGCATTATCCTGGAAGGACTGAACTGGGGACTCGGTGAGCAGGTGCGTGTGGAGAAAGAAGGCTGCAGCTTTTTAATCAGTGAATCAAACAATGCATTAAAATTTCCAGTTATTTTTAATACCAGTACTTTGGGGTGGGGGGCGGGAACTGCAGGTGGCAGGCTCCATTTTTGAAGACACCCACCACCCCACAAACACACACACTTGTGAAGGAGTGAAAAGCTCCTTTAAACGGGCTTTTGCTACGTCGTAATGAATGCATGAGCTGATTGCAAAGTAAAACACCGGTCTTGAAAGACCTACACTGGCTCCCAGTATGTTTCTGAGCACAGTTCAAAGTGTTGGTGCTGACCTTTAAAGCCCTAAATGGCCTCGGTCCAGTATACCTGAAGGAGCGTCTCCTCCCCCATCGTTCTGCCCGGACACTGAGGTCCAGTGCTGAGGGCCTTCTGGCGGTTCCCTCACTGCGAGAAGTGAGGTTACAGGGAACCAGGCAGAGGGCCTTCTCAGTAGTGGCACCCACCTTGTGGAACTCCCTCCCACCACATGTCAAAGAGAAAAATAACTACCAAACTTTTAGAAGACATCTAAAGGCAGCCCTGTTTAGGGAAGCTTTTAATGTTTACTAGGTTATTGTATTTTAGTCTTTTGTTGGAAGCCGCCCAGAGTGGCTGGGGGGACCCAGCCAGATGGGTGGGGTATAAATAATAACAACTTCTTCTTCTTCTTCTTCTTCTTCTTCTTCTTCTTCTTCTTCTTCTTCTTCTTCTTCTTCTTCGTATTATTATAAAACCTGGTTTCAGTCCAGAGGAAGGTTTGTGGAGATTTCATAGAGCCCTTTTCTACATGTGGGCTGCATTCTCTTATGGGCAATTTTGTGAGGCCAGTGGATGGGCGGGGACAGAGCAGAAATGGGCGGAGCAACAAATGCAAATTTTACCTCTCTGCAAAAGGCTAGTTTTTATCCACATTGCAAATGAGCAGCCCAAAGGCTTGGGTAAATGGAATTTTTTTACCCTTGGCCTCTGAAAACAGACATAATAATAATAATAATTTATTATTTATACCCCGCCCATCTGGCTGGGCTTCCCCAGCCATTCTGGGCGGCTTCCAACAAAATGTTAAAATACAGAGGCATGCCTCTGCAAGCCACCACTGTTTATTTGCCAGCATGCTGCCTTCTGGGTTGTTTTGCCTTCTCCCTGCTAGTGCAGAGAAGAAACAGGCCAGGGGCTGTTACTCCTCAAGGAACTCTGTCAGGAAGCCAAGAACAACCCTCAGTTCATTGGGACTGAGACAGACCGCAGTCCCTTGTTCAAACATACCTGCCCCAGGGACCACGGTTTACTGTGATGTGATGGGAGGGTTGTACATTTAAGGCCCGTGTCTTAAATGTCATTCATCATCAGGGCGGCCTTCATCTCGACCCAGCGGTCCACTCTGAAGTTGCGCTCATGGTCTTAGAAGCTTACCAGAAGTACCTCTCTCAGAAACCGTACAGCGGGCTCATTTCTGAAAGCATCAAGCAGGTACGTCCTTCTTCCTTGAATGCTTCTTGTTAGCTTGGCTTTTTTTGCTCTGAAGTTTTTTTTATTAAGTTTTCCAAAATTCACACATACATTTCAATACAGTGGAACCTCGGGTTGTGAATGTGATCCGTGCGGGAGGCACATTCGCAACACTCAGCGCCGCGTCTGCGCATGCGCAAAGTGCTCTTTAGTGCTTCTGTGCATGTGTGAGCGCCAAAACCCAGAAGTAACCCCTTCCGGTGCTTCTGGGTTCAGCGCGGTGTGCAACCTGAAAATGCGTAACCTGAAGCGTCTGTAACCCGAGGTACCTCTGTACATAATAAAAACTTTCCCCCAACTTCTCACCTGCTTTTCCATGGTGTTTCCATTTCTCAGCCCCTGCTGCACCCTGCCTTCTATCTCTTGAACCTTAACAAAACTGCCGTAATCTTTAATCCCTTCTATTGCTCACAGTGTCCAATCCTTCTTGTGTGTTCATCATATAATAATACTTCTTTATACAATCCTGTTAGCTTTGGGGGAGGCAGCGATGAGCTGGGTTCCCGTAAACTGTTGCTTAAAAACTGCCCTGCGCTTCTGTTAGATGGAAGGTTGTGCAATTGTTGCCTCGGTCCCTCCTGTAAATGTAGATGAAGCCTGTGGCCAATGCAGATTTTGCTGGACTACAGTTCCCATCATTCCTGACCATCAGCGGTGCTGGTGTGCTGATGGGAGTTGGAGTCCAGCAATCTTCAGGTTAAAGCAACGCTAAGTAACTTTGTACTGCTCGAAGATGCTGTGTAGACAAACCGGAAGTCCCGTATCTCTTACGGGACCGCCTCTCCCGATCTGCCCCATGGAGGACCTTAAGGTCCATAAATAGCAACACCCTAGAGGTCCCTAAGGAAGTCAGATTAGCCTCAACCAGAGCCAGGGCCTTTTCAGCACTGGCCCCAGTCTGGTGGAACGCTCTGTCTCATGAGACCAGGGCCCTGCAGGATCTGATTTCTTTCCGCAGGGCCTGTAAGACAGAGTTGTTCCGCCTGGCCTTTGGCTTGGAATCAACTTGATCCCCTCCCCCTCTTTCCTCTTTCCTTTCTCCTGTGATGGAACTCCTATTTGGGGACTTCCCTGGCTTTTTTCTGGCCCACGTAGGACCAGTCTGGATAGTTGGCCTTGGTGAAGATTTGACGTTTTCATCCCTCCAAAAGTTTTTGATTTGAGTTTCTACTGAAATGAGGCTGCATTTTAACGTTGTACATAATCTTGTTTCTAAGTTGTATTGTAATCAATTGCTTTTACCTGGTGTTAGCCGCCCTGAGCCCGGTCTTGGTTGGGGAGGGCGGGGTATAAATAAAATTTATTATTATTATTTATCATGGTCTAGGTCTCCTACCTGGCCAGCGTCGTCCGTTATGGAGAGACACCCGAAACCTCCTTCAACCAGTGGGCCTGGGGGCTGGTTTTGAGGCTGAAACTGCACGCCAACGACTACGGCATGCAGCAGGGCTGGCCTCCTGCTCCCGTCTCCTCTGCGGTGCTTGAGCTGGCGGAATCGCCTACGTATCACCCGCTGTTGAAGGCCGTCCGGTCGGGCCTCCCCATTGGCTGCTACCTGGCGTTGGCCATGACGACGGTGGGGCATAGGTGAGTGCCGGGAGAACTGTGCCTTGCCCTCTGTGTCCTCGGCAGTGCATTTCTAGGTTTACATGCATCCCCTGCCCTAGGCCTGCAGCTTGTTCACAGAAAGCAGAGGACTGGTAGTGCAATCATGGCTCAGGGGTGGTGGGGAAACTGTTGCTTGCATCACAGGAACATAGGAAGCTGTCTTATACAGAGCAAGACCATTGGTCTGTATAACTGACTGACAATGGCTCTCCTAGGTTTTAGGGTGGGGTATAAATAATAAATAATAAATTATTATTCTGGGAATGGAACTTGGCATCTTCTTCAGGCAAATCAGGTTCTCTGCCGCTGAGCAATGGCCCTTCCCCTTGCTTATTTGTTTATTTATTAAACTTACCACAGCCATACCTCGGGTTGCGAACGTGGTCCGTGCGGGAGGCACGTTCGCAACCTGCAGTTCTGTGTCTGCGCATGCGTGTGATGTGATTCGGTGCTTCTGCGCATGCGTGTGATGCCATTTTGTGTTTTTGCGCATGCACGAGCTCCGAAGCCCGGAAGTAACCCATTCCGGTACTTCCGGGTTCGGTGTAGTCTGCAACCCGCAGCGTTCGTAACCCGAGGTATGACTGTACAGTGGTACCTTGGTTTTCGAACAGAATGCGTTCCGGGAGCCCGTTTGATTCCTGGAACTGTTCGAAAACCAAAGCGTGGCTTCTGATTGGCTGCAGGAGTGTCCTGCAACCAATCGGAAGCCACAGAAGCCGCACTGGATGTTCAGCTTCTGAAAATCGTTCGAGAGCCGGAACAATAGCTTCCGGGTTTCGATCGTTCGGGAGCCGATCTGTTTGGGAGCCAAGGCATTCGGGATCCAGAGTACGGCTGTAGTTGCTTGTCATGCGAAAGTCTCCAAGAGAATTAGAGCAAAGATAGATTTACAGCACATAATATCATGGGGGTGGGGGGAGGGAGGTGCCCAATGCATCTTCCTGTCTGCCTCCCCATAATAGCTTTGAGGCAGGAATCCCCTCAGAAGAATTTGTGTCAGCTTCCTGTGTCAGCTTTCCTCTTCTTATCCTTCGATAGCGTCGAGAAGTTCTGTGCTGAAGGGATCCCACTCCTGGCCGTTTTGGTGCAGTCGCGGCATCTGAGAACAGTGGTTCACGTGCTGGATAAAGTCTTAGCGTTGTTCTACCCGTGCCAATATTACCTGCTGAAGAATGAACAGTAAGCCCAAGACTACTTGCCTTGCTTGTATCCCTTACCCATCCTTTCAAAATTCTGCTGTTATTGCATCTCAAGGCAGCCCTGTATAGAAAAGTTTTTAATGTTTAATGTTTTATTGTGTTTTTGAATAAGCTGGGAAGTGTGGCTGGGACAACCCAGTCAGATGGACAGGCGTACAAATATTATTATTATTATTATTAATTAAATAGGGAAGGCTGCTTTTTGCAGCTCAGCCAGAGGGCCCTTTCTGAGAGTTCGTATATGTCAGGCATAGGCAAACTTGGCCCTCCAGATGTTTTTGGCCTTCAACTCCCATGATCCCTAGCTAACAGGACCAGTGGTCAGGGATGATGGGAACTATAGTCCCAAAACATCTGGAGGGCCGAGTTTGCCTATGCCTGGTATATGTAGTGCACAGCGTTTGAAATTAGCTGGGCATTTTGCAACTGGTAACTGGTCTTTTGCAACAGGATTGATCTGTCCAGGTGCCACCTTTGGTGCCTAGCATATCCACCTGTCTGTGGGTGATTCAGGGGGCCTGCAGGTTAGCACGGCAGCAAAAGACATGCCTTTGTTTTTTGCTGTTGCTGCTGCGCTGCCGGGCAAGTCGGCTGTTTTGCGGGGTAGCGCGGTAGCAAAATACATGCCTTTTTGTTGGGTTGAAATAAGCGACAGACGAGTAGCAGGTGTCATCTGGGAGGCATCTCCCGAGCAAGTCTCGGGGAGTCTCTTTTATTGCATATTACAACATTGCCACACGTGTGCTTGTTTGCTGATTGGTTAACACAAGTACAAAGCAAAGGTGCACTTGTTGCTGATTGGTTAACACAAGTACAAAGCAAAGGTGCACTTGTTGCTGATTGGTTAACACAAGTACAAAGCAAAAGTGCACTTGTTGCTGATTGGTTAACACAAGTACAAAGCAAAGGTTACATATAGGCATTAATCACCAATAGATTAAAGGCTGGGAAAGGGAGCACAGAACTAGACAGGCATGAAAACCTCCTAATTAAATTATAACTAGTGATTGATATAGCAAAGCTTCAAAAAATTACATTCCGATAGATGTGGTCAACTATGCATTAAGAACAGGTCAGAGTGTAATGTTTTCATGAACTCAATATGAACTGAACATTCTGGGATGATGAGGGAATGTCTTAGTATTAGAACAGTTTGTGTAGCATCATGTGCAGAAGCAAAGCTTAGAAGCAAAGCTTCCCATCATGCCACAGTCATGTGCAGAAGCAAATATTCCTATCACCTTTTCCTGCTGTGCTACCTTGCAGACCCCCTGAATCACCTGGCAGCAAAAAAGAAAGAAAGAAAGAACTTTTTTTTTACTGCTATCTGTCTTTAAAAAAGAAATCCCAATCTATGTACAAAAAATGGCGACTAGACATTCTGTTTTGGTACCCACCATCCAGATCCCAGCAGCCATATGGCTCCTAGCTTTTGCATCCCAGTTTGTAACAATGGTAGTGGGGCAACTGTACCTTTTTGACCTGGCAACTAAATTGGCAACTTGTTCTTTATTCTGTCCCCGGACCACCCAGGTTTCTGTCTTGCCTCTATCAATTCCTTCAGCTGGACAGTGGCGTCCCCCAAGGGATGACCCAGCAAGTGACGCAGAAAGTCACTCAGCACTTAACTGGGACGAGTTACGGTGAAAACATCAAGCTGCTCAACTGCATGATTCAGGTCAGGAGCTAGAAGCATGTCTGCTTCGACCGTGGACCCTTTTAAGGCTGGAAGGGAACCAAGGGACCAAATCATCCATCCCTTTGCTTTGAGAGCCAGTGTGGTGTAGTGGTTAAGAGCGGTGGACTTGTAATCTGGTGAACCGGGTTCGCTTCCCCACTGTGCTGGACCCGGGGGGTGGGGGTAGGTTAGAGAGGCGTGGTCAGAGTCCGGTCCTGGGTCGAGGGTCTGCAGACTGTCCACCAAGGGCGAAGCGGGGTCCAAAGCAAGAAGCCGGGCGTGGTCAGGAACTCCGGAAGAACAGGTCTGGCTGCTGGCAGAAACAGGTTTCCAACCAGCTCCCGCAACCTGGGACTGGACTGACTGGCCTTTATCTCCTCTGAGGCCAGGGGCGGTCCCGGCCCACAGGTGACCCGCCTCTCCTGGCCTTAAGGCGAGCCCTCCTCCTGATAGAACTTAGTTCCCTCCGCCTCTCTGCTCTGAGCCTCTGCAGCTCAGGAGAGGCTGGAGGGTTACTGGACCCAGGGGGAGACTCACCTTCCCCTGACAGGGCTGGGAGAGGCGCACCTGCAGGCAATGGGTCCTCCATCACCTCCGGAGCCAGAGTGGATACATCTGGTGTCTGCTCCTCAGGACCCGGCACAGGTGCAGGCCCTTCAGATTCAAGCCCCTGCCCCGGCTCAGCCGGCCCTGGAGGCGGGGACTCCTGTGCAGGCTGGGACTCCTCAGGTTCATCTTCTGAATCAGATTCCCAGGCCATCACACCTGCTCTTCCACATGCAGCTGCTGGGTGACCTTGGGCCAGTCACACTTCTCTGAAGTCTCTCAGCCCCACTCACCTCACACAGTGTTTGTTGTGGGGGAGGAAGGGAAAGGAGAATGTTAGCCGCTTTGAGACTCCTTAGGGTAGTGATAAGGCGGGATATCAAATCCAAACTCCTCCTCCTCCTCTAAAGATCAGCCTACACGGTGCAAGACCAGAATGTGCCACAAGACGACAGCAAGGAGTTATTGACAGTTTTACCGCTTCCTTTAAACTGCCTAGAGGCTTTACGACAATCAAGCAGCATATGAATTTTTGTTAAATAAAATAAGGATGGTTGCCCCATGTAAATGAATGTTCGTGTCCCCGCAAGTGTGGAATCTCAGAATCATTGAATTGTTGAGTTGGAAATGACCCAAAGGGTCCCTTATTCCAAACCCCTGCAATGCAGGAATCTCAGCTAAAGAATCTCTGACAAAACATGTGTAGTATTGCAAGTGTATAATGCAGCTTTCTGAGAGTCTTGGCTCTTCCTTCCTTTCCCAAATTAAGCTTCTCATCCTTAGGCTTGACAAGATAGGCTTGAGGGCTTGTAGATCTGTATCTGCTGAAATTCCAGGAGTTCCAGGGATGACTGAATGAGAGCGACAGTGGTCAGGGTGGGGTTCAGGGTACATCAATGCAGCTAAAATGTCATGGCCCCAACCTCTGGAAGCAGCCAGGACTTTGATGCAGGGGAACAGAAGCCAGGACCAGCTGTGCAAGCAACATCAGACCACAAAACACCGGTCTTGAAAGACCTCCCAGTACATTTCCGAGCACAATTCAAAGTGTTGGTGCTGACCTTTAAAGCCCTAAACCACCTTGGTCCGGTATATCTGAAGGAGCGTCTCCACCCCCATCATTCTGCCCAGACACTGAGGTCCAGTGCCGGGGGCCTTCTGGCAGTTCCCTCGGTGCGAGAAGCCAAGTTACAGGGAACCATGCAGAGGGCCTTCTCGGTAGTGGCACCAGCCCTGTGGAACCGCCCTCCCACCAGATGTCAAAGAGAACAACTACCAGACTTTTAGAAGACATCTGAAGGCAGTGCTCTTTAGGGAGGCTTTTAATGTTTGATGTATTGCGGTATTTTAATATTTTGATGGAAGCCGCCCAGAGTGGCTGGGGAAGCCCAGCCAGATGGGTGGGGTATAAATAATAAATTATTATTATATATTATATTATTCTGGGTTCAGGCAGAGTCCCCAGTGCGAAGCCAGAACCGGCCAGCTGGAAGTGCCTTCAAGCGCCCCTTCACCACCGAGGCCAATTCCCCTGAGGGACAGTCTTTGTCCATTCCAGGAGCCTCACCCTTTCCAGTGCTTGTGTTTGGCAAGCACCGAGGCAACAACGATGCACAGCTGCAGGCTAGAGGACTTCACCTTTCAGCAAAAGGGTGAAGCCTGGGAAGGGTTCTATGACCTCAGCAAATTGCCAGCTTGGAACTGTCCAAGGTCCTGCAACGAGAGAGAGAGACTGGGAGTCTTGGTAGTAGACGACTGCGTCAAGGAAGCCAAGTTGCATGCAGCTGGGGAGCGTGGAGGATTGTAGAACTGCCAAGCTTTTCTGAATTTCTGACCATTCCTGATGCCATCCTCAGGGAGATTCTGGCGAAACATGAGGGAGAATTTTCAGACAGCGACAGCTGTTCGGCACTGGGATGGGCTTCCTCGGAAGGTGGTGGACTCCTTCCTTGGAGATTTTTAAGCAGAGGTTGGATGGCCATCTGTCAGGGATGCCTTTAAAGCCCTAAACGGCCTCGGCCCAGTATACCTGAAGGAGTGTGTCCACCCCCATTGCTCTGCCCGGACACTGAGGTCCAGCGCCGAGGGCCTTCTGGCGGTTCCCTCGCTGCGAGAAGTGAGGCTACAGGGAACCAGGCAGAGGGCCTTCTTAGTAGTGGCGCCTGCCCTGTGGAACGCCCTCCCACCAGATGTCAAAGAGAACAACAACTACCAGACTTTTAGAAGACCTCTGAAGGTAGCCCTGTTTAGGGAAGCTTTTAATGTTTAATAGGTTATTGTATTTTAGTGTTTTGTTGGAAGCCGCCCAGAGTGGCTGGGGAAACCCAGCCAGATGGGCGGGGTATAAATAATAAATTATTATTTATTATTAGTGGAGATTCTTGCATTGCAAGGGGTTGGACTACATGACCCTTGCGGTCCCTTCCGGCACTATAATTCTATGACCACCCTGAGTCTCCCATCAGAAGAAGCCTGCAAAAATGGTGGGCAAAAGATATAGGGTCAGTGAGTTGACTGTGCTGTGGATGAGTGAGAATCAGGCTCTGTTCTCTCCCTCCCTCCCTCCCTCCCTCTCTCTCTCTCTCTCTCTCTCTCTGTGTGTGTGTGTGTGTAAAGCCCATGCAGTGAGCACCTCCAATCAAATACAGTTTTGACTGCTTTTCTGTCGCCTTCAGAAATCCATCTCTAATTGTAGCAGTGTTTTAGTAAGAAGGGTTCTTCTCGCCCCTTGTTGCTGCCGTCCTGGTGTTTGGGTTCTCTCCGGCCCTGTTTCATCCTTCCACCCCTTTTCTTGGCAGACTCACATTTTTATGAGCAGCCTTCCCAACAGAGTTGGGCCAGCGGCCGTGTTGGAGTTCTGGGTCCAGGCCCTCACCAGCCAGCCGCTGTGGCACAAGGAGAGAGCCGTACTCTGCCTGATGGACCACTTGTGCCAAGCCGCTTTCCAGTTCAACCAAGAGGACTGTGTGCAGAAGCTGCTGTACCAGCAGCACAAGGTACGGACGCCCCATCCCTCTTTCCCTCCTGGGTTAGGAGATGCTTCAACTAGCAGTGTCTGTCTCGAGAGACAATGGAGTGCAATTCTTGGGGTGACCATCCCTGGAGGTGCAAGCCTGGAGGTCCTGGGTTGCCCAGACGACAAGATCCTCCTCTCTCAGCCAGGTTTATTGTCTACTCTCTGTTATATTAAGCTTGGGCCATACTGTTTCATAGAAACCAAATAGCCAGAGAGCTTCTAGAAGGGGAGGTTTTGCATGCAGAAGGTTCGAAAAGTTCAACCCCCCAAAAATCTCCAGGAAGGTTTGGAAGCATCTGTCCAAAACTGAGCTAAGTGTACCAAGATCTGACTCAGTATATGGCAGCCCCCTAAGATGAAGGGGGCAGATCTCTCCTCTCCCCAGGCTGCAGGTGACTGTCACTGGCAAGAGAACAACAGGGCTGGCAACTGGTGGTGTAACTGGGAACCGCAAACGGAAAGTGAGCCTGGTTTTGCTTGCTGTCCCAGATCCAAAGCTGTGGATTTGGTGGTCCCTCTAGAAACCCAACAGGGAAGTTAGGGGTGCTGAAGTGTTAATGCTTTAAGCCCTTCCATCTTATGCTCAGCTTGCAGTGCTTGCAGCACTAAAGTGTCTTCTCTGGGGCACAAGCCTGGGCAGTGCTTATGGGCTTGACCTGCCCAGATGACAAGACCCTTCTCACCAGCCTCGCTGATGTGGTCCAAAGGAAAGCAGAGCAACATCTTTGGCACCAGCTTGGCTGCAAGAATTGCTGGAAGGAGGCGTACAAGGCACCATCTAACTGTCTTAGGGACTCCACTCTGGATTTGTGTAGGGTTTTCTTCTGAAGATATCCAGCAAGGCAGCGGAGGTTTAAGATCAGAGTTCTCCTTCTCCTTGATGGGCTTCCTTTCCAGGCTGATGACGCCCATCTGCCCCTCGTATTTGAATAATGGCCAAGTAATGCGGAATGTGGAACGTGGGTGGCGCTGTGGGTTAAACCACAGAGCCTAGGACGTGCCGATCAGAAGATTGGTGGTTCAAATCCCTGCAACGGGGTGAGCTCCCATTGCTTGGTCCCTGCTCTTGCCCACCTAGCAGTTTGAAAGCACGTCAAAGTGCAAGTAGATAAATAGGTACTGCTCCGGCGGGAAGGTAAACGCCGTTTCCATGCGCTGCTCTGGTTCGCCAGAAGCGCTTTAGTCATGCTGGCCACATGACCCGGAAGCTGCACGCCTGCTCCCTCGGCCAATAAAGCGAGATGAGAGCCACAACCCCAGAGTTGGCCACGACTGGACCTAATGGTCAGGGGTCCCTTGACCTTTAATGCAGAATGTGTTGGGATGCTGTGGTCACCTGTTCCCTGCTCAGGAAATGGGATGGACTTGTTGATCTTTGGGATCCCTTCTAACACTGGTACTCTGTGATTCTTGGGTGTGTGGCTATTCAGGACGTGGCCCTTCCTTCTTCCCATGATCTAATGCAGGCTTCCTATACCTTGGCCCTCCAGATATTTTTGGCTTACAACTCCCATGATCCCTAGCTAGCAGGACCAGTGGTCGGGGATGATGGGAATTATCATCTCAAAACATCTGGAGGGCCGAGGTTGAGGAAGCCTGACCTAATGTTTAGAAGAAATCACCACTCTTGGAAGCTGAACCTGTTGAATGCCACCCTCTGGAGCAGATTTGCTCTATTTTTGTGACAGCTCTTCAGATATTTGAAGATGGTGGTCCCCAGTGCTTCTTCCTCATCTCTTCTCCAAGCTAAACTTGCACGTTCTCCAGACTCCAAAGCCTCGTTGCTGCCCTCTTCACACTAGAGTTTGGCTTCCCTGTGCTATATATTGTGGCAAACATTGTTATGTCAAATGCTGTTTGAAATGGTGTCCCCCTGACCTCTGATAACAGGCAAAAAGAGTCTTCTTAAAGGCTGAAGAGACTTCTATGGCTTAAATCCCATTGCCTTTCAGCCTAAATCTCTGGCCTGCAATGGCTCAAGGTCTTCTCACCTGGCCTTTTCTCTCTCACCCAACCTTCCCAGAATGCCTTGGGCTACCACTGTGACAAGGGGCTGCTCTCTTCCTTAGTCAGCTGGATCGTGGCCGGAAATGTCACGCCTTCCTTCATCGAGGGAAACGCAAATCCCGCGCAGGTAGGGAAGCGCCATAGAGTTGACGTCCTAGAATGGGCTTGGAGGGTGTTGCCCAGCCTTGCTCTCTCACTGGGAAGAAACAAAGATGGATTTAATTTAAATCACAATTTAAATAACCAGTCAATAAGACTTGATTTCAATCATTATTATTTTTTACAGAAAGACTCATTCTTGCTGGTATAATCTTAATATTTGCAACCAGGCAAAGGTTTCATTTTTGGAATAATAAATTTTCAGAGTAGTTTTTACAGTTATATTAAAAAAATCACTGATTTGGTTATACTGTTAGAAATGCATAGACAGATAATTATGAAATTATTGTGAGGTTGAATAAGTTAGCTGTTTATAGTTGGAAAACTTTTCTGCTATACTTTATTGGAAGGAGAAAAATAATCATTTCCTTAAGAACAATTTAAACAATTTATTTAACTAAAACAGTAACATTATGGCATATGTATCCATGTTTGTTAACTGATGTGGTTAAAATAATTTTAGAAAACCAAAAACTTAGACTTAGTTGTAGCACAAATGAAAAACCTAAAACAAATCTTTATTCCTGATGAATAGCCTTTGGACTATAATGTAACTTAAATAGAAAACTATCTTTAGAAAGATTTCCCCCCTGAAAGCATTTTATTTTAAAAATTCAATTTAAATCAAAACAATCTGATTTAAATAGAAAAAAATCCATTTAAAAATATATATTTTTTTAATTAAAAAAATTGATTATTTTTATCCTCCCTGGAAGAAACCATTTTGAGTCTTGATGGGCCTCCTGGGAACAGATGCTTCTCTTCCCTTGGTAGCCTTTGCTTTTATTACTTTCAGGTCTGGTTTGCGTGGACCATTCTGAATACGGAGTCCATCTTCGAAGAGGATTCCCAGCTTCGTAGAGTCGTGGAAAAGGAGTTGGTGATCAGCAATTCGGCTCCTGATCAGGCTCTGAAGGTAGGACCAACATGTCTTCTCTAGGCGATGGATGCCTTCTCTGAAAAGGCACCCGATGTTAGGATATAGTTCTGTTTCACCTTTAGAACAGGCATGTGGAGTTGTTGCATGTCACATGTCTGTTTACTTCCCGCACAGTCTGCTGGGAACTTCTGTTGTATATAGCTTTTGCCTATTGCTGTTTGCTTGGACACGAAGGGAAGCAGACATGTTTTTCCTCTGTCTTGATGCTGAATAAACGCTTGTAAATATGCTTACATATGCCTCTGTTCGCTACTTCTGTTGCAAAGAGTTCTTATCTCTGCTAGCTTGCATGCTCAGTCTCTAAAGGTCACAGTTTTGATGCTGTTCTGAGAACTGGAGTTCTCCTGGCTGCCGGTCGGTGGGCTGGAGCCAGCTGGGGGCCTGCCAATTGCCCGTCTCCCTGGATGTATCCCAGCACCCAGAACAAGCTCGTGATGGGGGAAATTGACTTCACAGATATTGGCATAACCTATTTGGTGTTTCGCAACTTTCTGACCAGTTGCAGGACCTTAGCCAGACCTAGCAGAGTACACGCAGAATCCACGGAAGCAATTGGCGACTTGGCTGCAGACAGGATAGACGAAGCAGGAACCAGGAACTTGTAGTTAGGTGTTTATTATATACAGTGGACCATAGCTGTCAACTTACAGATTTGAAAATAAGGGACCAGCAGCCTCAAAAATAAGGGATCAGCAGCCAAAATAAGGGATCAACAATTACTTTGATAAAATACATATTTTGTTGCATGCAAATGGCTTTAGATACCTATTAGGTCCATAAATTACCATATAGCATATATTCAACACAAAAAAACCAGCAACAATTTGTTGTTGACAAAGGACAGCTGGACATAGAAAGGGCCCCATTACAGTGGTACCTCGCAAGACGAATGCCTCGCAAGACAAAAAACTCGCTAGACGAAAGGTTTTTCCGTTTTCAAGTTGCCTCGCAAGACGAATTTCCCTATGGGCTTGCTTCGCAAGATGAAAACGTCTCGCGACTTTGTTTCCTTTGTCTAAATAATAATTCGCAAGACGAAAAATTCGCTAGACGACAAAACTTGCGGAACGAATTAATTTCGTCTTGCGGGGCACCACTGTACCTTCAGTAGCTTATTTAAGGGACATTATCAATAAGGGACAGCAGCGGGACATGGCGCTGGGATAAGGGACTGTCCCGCCAAATAAGGGACACTTGACAGCTATGCAGTGGACTATTTACAGGAACAGAACACGGATCTTTTGCTAGCTCTCTCTGACACGACTCACAACTTCTACACTGACACACAGAACTCTGAACCTCTGAACACTGAACTAACACATTCCAGTTAGTTATTTTAGTTAATTATCACTCCCTTGAGAGAGCTTGACCAATCAGGGAGTTGTCTCCATGTCTCTGTTATCACCAGGCAGAGTTACTCCTTCAGATTGACTTCTGGCTGTCTGCCAAACCTTAATTGACTCTGTGTGAGTAGCTGCACGTACACAGTTTCCCAACAACAGAAGGCGACGCAACCAACTTTCTTTTCTGTCTGCAGAAAGCTCAGAGCCAGCTGAAGCTGCCCATCGTCCCATCTCTCCAGCGGCTGCTGATTTATCGTTGGGCTCATCAAGCCCTCGCTACCCCCGCCGACCACCCGCTGCTCCCGCTCATCTGGCAGAAATTCTTCCTCCTCTACCTCCACCGCCCGGGGCCGCAATATGGGTGAATTCACATCTGGAGGGTTTTTATTTAATTATCGTTATTTATTTCATTTCCGTCTCGCTTCCCCACCAGGCGTCTTGAAATGATTTACCCTGTAATGACATAAGATAGAAGAACCGGCTAAAAACAATTGCGCACACACAGAAACAATTTTAGGAAACAACTGCAAATATAAAGGCAGTTTAAAGTGACAACATGACATCAATTCAGATCCCAGGCAGATACCAGCTGGGATGAATGTTTTAGGAGGCTCATTGAAAGGGGAACACATTTTGCTTTTTGGTTATATGGGTTGCTCTGCATGGAAAAGGCCTTTGGCTGCCTGTTAATACCTGGCAACATCCCCAAGTGAAAGGGTTCAGTTAGAGCGGGTGATAAAGAAAGGCAGCCTTCGGCCTGAGACCATGGGGAGCTGTTGCCAGTCAGAGCAAACAACACTGGGGGTAGACAGGCAAATAGTCAAACCAGTAAAAGGCAGGTTTTTTATGTTTGTGTATTGGGGACGAACAGGTGGCAGCTCAGGGGTCCTGGTTAAAACTGAAATATCTCTTTACCAAGACACAAGAACCTGCCTCTCTCCTGATGTACTGGGCTCCCAGCTCCCACCAGCCCAAGCCAGTATAGCCAAATATATTTAGAAACATGTATTAAGTTTAAATTAGAGAGCCAGCGTGGTGTAGTGGTTAAGAGCAGTGAACTCGTGATCTGGTGAACCGGGTTCGCTTCCCCTCTCCTCCACATGCAGCTGCTGGGTGACCTTGGGCCAGTCACACTTCTCTGAAGTCTCTCAGCCCCACTCACCTCACAGAGTGTTTGTTGTGGGGGAGGAAGGGAAAGGAGATTGTTAGCCGCTTTAAGACTCCTTAAGGGGAGTGAAAGGCAGGATAGCAAGTCCAAGTCCAAACTCTTTTGTTTGGGTATTTCTTTTAAAAAATTGCAGAAATTGGACAAACTTAACAAAATAACTCATGCAACTGGAAGTAGACTGATTTCTCCATTGCTAAGTTTCATTATAAAGGAACGTGGGTGGCGCTGTGGGTTAAACCACAGAGCCTAGGACTTGCCAATCAGAAGGTCAGCGGTTCGAATCCCCACGACGGAGTGAGCTCCCATTGCTCAGTCCCTGCTCCTGTTTTAGGGTTTCCCGAAGACATCTCTGCAATTTGTTTTAACATTAGTTCTTCCACTTCACGGACTTGGGGTGGTTCAGGAGAAGCTTGAGATTTAAGTCTCTGTTTTGGGAGTACTTCGGTGACTGTACCAATTATGTTTGGATTTACTTTGGGCTTTATTGGCCCTTTGTTGTGGCATTCTTCTACACAATCCTCTCTCTGCACAGCTGGCCCTTCAGTGCAGGAGGGAGAAGTTTCAGTTTCCTGCTGATTCTCACTCGGCTTGACTTTACCCCTATTCTTAAAGGGCCAAGTGCTTTTTGTTTGTGCTCCCTTTAGGGTAGCTCTTTTAGAGAGAGGTCTTAGATCACTCCGATAAAAGCCTGATGTTCTACAGCCACTCCTGGTCGTCACCATTATTTATCTTGTAAAAATCAAGTTGGTAAAAATCTCACCTCGGTTCATTAGCTCCAGAGAAAACAGCAAGTCATTCACATCAACAGGCTTCATCAGACATCCGTTGTTGCAATAGGACAAATTGAGCCGTAAAACAATAAAACAATAAACTAAAAGCAAAGAGAAGCGAGGAGGTGATAAAGCAGCTGGTAAGACGTTAAAACTGTGAGTTTAAAACCAAGAAGTGGCTAAAAACTACTTAAAAGCTTAACTAAAAGCAGAAGAGTCTGACTAGGCTGCTGTCTCCGTCGCCATCTTGGCTCCAGGCCCTCCTGCCAACCTGGCAGTTCGAAAGCACATCAAAGTGCAAATAGGTACCGCTCCGGCGGGAAGGTAAACGGCATTTCCGTTCGCTGCTCTGGTTTGCCAGAAGCAGCTTAGTCATGTTGGCCACGTGACCCAGAAGCTGTACGCCGGCTCCCTTGGCCAATAAAATGAGATGAGCGCTGCAGCCCCAGAGTCGGTCACGACTGGACCTAATGTTTAAGTTTCATTATGACCACCTTAGTCTCTTTTTCTTCAAAAGGGAAAAGGTCTACATAGCGCTTTTCTAAGGGATTTCGCTTGTGTTGGTTGTAAATGAGAAAGATTCTTCTTTTTAAGGTTACCTGTAGATGGATGCATTGGGAAGAGGTTCTTCCAGAGTCCCGCTCACCTGGGCTTATTAAGCGACCTGAAGCATCGCCTGATCGAGGCTGCAGACTTCCACCACTCAGCCAGCAAAGCCCTCAGGCTGGAGAACCCGGCAGGGGGCAGCGAAAGCTTAGCAGAGAAAGGAGGTGGCAAGAAGGTCTACCTGACCTCCCCTGAACTGCACAAGGAGCTTGTCAGGTAATCATATATCTCCAAAGAAGACCTTGTCCTGAAGCAGAACCCGGGGTGCTGTTTTTCTGGAGCATCTCCTTATGCCTCCAGCCACAGTTCACCCATCCCTTGCCTCTCCTGGTCTTCCCCGCAGAGGACCTTAAGGTCCATGAATAACCATAGCTTAGAGGTCCCGGGCCCTAAGGAAGTCAGACTATCCTCCACCAGGGCCAGGGCCTTTTCAGTGATGGCTCCGACCTGGTGGAACGCTCTGTCCTATGAGACAAGGGCCCTGCAGGATTTAACCTCCTTCCGTCGGGCCTGTAAGGCAGAGCTATTCCACCTGGCCTTTAATTTGAATTCAGCCTGATCTTTTATTTCCCTTCTCTTCCCTCCCCTTTTATGAAGATCACCCGCTCTGAGACGCCACAGCTAATTCTCCCCTGGCCTCCTCACTGGCCCAAGTAGGACCAATTCAGCCAGCTAGCCCTGGGGATTATCTTTTTGAGTTTTATTGTTATTCATGTTTTTATACTGTATTTTATGCTGCTTTTATAATTAAGTGTTTTAAATTTGTTGTCAGCCGCCCTGAGCCCAGTTTTTGAACTGGGAAGGGCGGGGTATAAATAACATCATCATCATCATTATTATTATTATTATTATTATTATTATTATTATTATTATTATATCCCTGCCTCAGGGATGGGCTCTAGATGCACAGTCTCCATGCATTCTAGTTCCGGAGAACCCTTTCTTCAACGACCTGCCTCCCTTAGATTCCCCTCTATGTGCTGCAAAGGATTCTGGGAAATGTTCTAGGGTGGGGGAACCCTTTTTAGCTCACAGGTTACACCTTCTTAGGGGAAGCCTCCTGGAGGCCACAGGCCTTTGCAAAAGCAAATGGAGCAATGCGTGCGAATGTTACCTTTGTACACACCCCTCTCTGACTGTCACCCAGGCATTGGCAAAGTCCAAGGGCACATAAGAACTCTTGAGGGGTGCAGTTTGGAAGGGTGTGTGGCCTGCGGGCTGCGGGGCGAGATAATAATATTTTTATTATTATTTATACCCTGCCTGGCTGGAAATAATAATAATAATAATAATAATAATAATATAATAATAATTGTATTATTTAGACCCTCTGGCTAGGTTTCTCCTAGGTTTTCTTTCTTTCGTTTTTAAATAAATTTTTAATTAGTTTTTCAGCATATCATTTTCAAAAACAATTAAGTGTACTTTTACATCTTATACAGTTTTTTTTTTACTTCCATCAATCACATCTGAAAATTTTCCAATCTATTCACTTAATTTACATTTCTTATTTTCGCTATGACGTTTATATCTCATAACTAGTATCTCTCTTCCTTGCAATATTTCATATATTCCTCCTTACAAAACTTCCTGTAGTCCTACTAGCGTAATTTGTTGATTACAGTTGCTTTTCAAATAATTAATATATTTCTTCCAATCTTCTGTGAATCTCCGGTCCCGCAGGTTTCGAATTCTTCCTTGTCATTTTATCCAATTCTGCGTAGTCCGTTAATTTTGTCTGCCATTCTTCTTTCGTCGGAATTTCTCCTTGTTATGCTTTTCAGGCTTTTCAACACGTTTGTTTTGTGGCTGGAAGAAGAGAGCTTTCAGAAGGGAGACACGTACATCCCCTCCTTACCAAAGCAATATGATGCCCACAGGCTGGCCAAGCTCATGCAGAACCAGCAGGTAATGTGCAGGGTCAAAGGTGAGGTTGCTATAACTCTGCCCCCCCCCCCGTAATACACCTCCAACTTAACAATTAACTTCGCAGGTTGCCATTCCCTGGAAAATGCATCAACCCCCAACACTTCATTTTTCTTGGACTCTGGCAGAAACCTGCCTGTTCCAGAAGACTTTCAGCTTATTGATCTCTTTGTAATTTTTTAAATATAAATGATGTTTCTAGTGGATGCATTTTAATGTAGTGCATCTTTTTCATGTACTGTAAGCCAGCCTTCACTTACCGGGTGCCTTCTATTTTTTTAAAAAAATAATTTTTATTGAATGATTTTGTGTTGCAAAAAACATTTCAACCATACTACCCCTAAATATAATTGAGAAATAAAAATTACATACATCAATATTTCATTTATTTGTTATTTACCGTCTTGTTTCCTCCCATTCCATACAAAACACACATATGTACAGACATATGTACATACAACTTTCCTCCCCGCCCTCCCTCTAATGGTTCTCTCCAGTAATTTTTCTATTGGTCTTTAACCTACTTCCCATAAGGTAACAATAAAGCTGAAAGTAAAGGGACCCCTGACCATTAGGTCCAGTCGTGACCGACTCTGGAGTTGCGGCGCTCATCTCGCTTTATTGGCCGAGGGAGCCAGCGTACAGCTTCCGGGTCATGTGGCCAGCATGACTAAGCCACTTCTGGCGAACCAGAGCAGCGCATGTAAACGCCGTTTACCTTCCCGCTGGAGCGGTACCTATTTATCTACTTGCACTTTGACGTGCTTTCGAACTGCTAGGTTGGCAGCAGCAGGGACCAAGCAACGGGAGCTCACCCCGTTGCGGGGATTCGAACCTCCGACCTTCTGATCGGCAAGCCCTAGGCTCTGTGGTTTAACCGCCACCCGCGTCCCCACATGTATATTACATATGGGGTTCTCAGGAAGCCCAGCTCCGTTCCCAAAACTTCATTCTTTCTTTGGGGAGGAAACCTCAACCCATTGGGCAGGTTATTGGACGGAATCCCCATTAGGGAGGAGCTTCATGCAAGCCACGCCCCTTTGGGGAGAGGTTGTAATTGCATTCCTCATGGTGGGGTTGAGCTTGTGAGAAACCACAACAGACCATGAGATGGACACCAGTGGGAGGTTCTCTGTTGCTCTGCTTCTCTACCCATATCCGATGCCCCTGCCGCCGTGATGTAAAAGAGACTGGGAGCGTTCCCTTCCACGGCCATCCATATTTGCCCACCTGTGTTTTTTCTCTTTCGTCCCATCGTAGGATTTGTGGATAGAGTTTGTGGACACTGAGCGCGTTCAGCATGAATTCCAGGAAGTGCTGGACTCTTGGTTTCAAGTCAAGGTAGAATCACATGCAGCCTCAAGTACTTTGTCTGCACAGACGGACTTCACGGACCCTCTGCTAGGTAAGCAATGCTCACTGTGCTTAGAAACACAACAACAAGACGTCAGTGTTTTAACTGAGACTTTTGCTTGCAGTATTTTAATGGCACAGCTGTTTTGGATCATTAATAGAGAAAAGGCATTTGTAACTCGTTTCCTTAGTAATTGCAGCAGTGATTATATTTATATACTTCTACATTTTGATGGAAAAGTAAAAAACCCACTTAGATTAAAATGCTCACAAGAACTTTTGTTCCTTAGGTAGGTCTTCGTGATAAACTTACGCTGAGCCTACAATTCCAATTTGGCAATCCCTGTAATCTGTTTCTGCAAAACTACACGAGTGTTTTTAGTGCAGTGCACTCTTGCATTTTTTAATTTTTTAAAAAATTGCTCAGAATAGTGAGTAGACGAACCTCTCATCATAATGGGAGACCGCTGAAAGAAATGATCTTCATGTTGTTTCCACTTTGATATTATTACATTAATCTTGCTTTCAGAGTAGGGTAGGCGGGGGGGGGGTTATTATTTTGCTGTTTTGTTTTACTTATTTATATGTTTTTATCCTGTGTTTTATTCTGTGAACAGCCCTAAGAGCTTGTGTTGAAGGATGCTATGAATGAACAGATGAATGAATGGTTGAATGAATTAAATCGATAAATACATTCATTCGTTCATTCATTCATTCCTGAGAAGGGTGAGTAGATTATCTAAATCTACTTGCTTGATAATTGGCTAAAACAGTGTTTCCCAACCTTTTTTGGGCAAAGGCACACTTGTTTCATGAAAAAAATCTCGAGGCACACCACCATTAGAAAATGTTAAAAAAGTTAACTCTGTGCCTATATTGACTACCGTATTTTTCGCCCCATAGGACGCACCGCCCCATAAGACGCACCTAATTTTTTGGGGGGAGAATAAAGAAAAAAAATTTTTCCCCTCCCCAGGCACGGGGCAGGCGCGGGGGAAGCCCAAGCTTCCCCCGACCCCAGAACAGCCTGATATCCGCAAGCCTAGGGAGCCACACTGGTCTCCCCAGGCTTGCGGAGAGGTGCGTGAAGCCCGGGGGCGCTCTTCAGCGCGCACCAGGCTTCGGGATGCAGGCAGCTCTGCGCTACCCTCCAGAGCCCCGTGCGGCTTCGCGTGGGATCCGGGGGGTGGCGCGGAGCTGCAAGAAGCCCTGGGGCGCAGGCAGCTCCGCACCACCCTCCGGAGATCCCCGCGGCTCGCGGCCGGTCCAATGGCTCGGAGCTAGAGCTGGCAAGGAATGCCCTGGAGCGCAGGCAGCTCCGCCACCACCCTCCGGAGCCCCGCGCGGCTTCGCGCCAGGATTCAGAGTGAGGTGGTGCGATGCTGCAGGAAGCCCTGTGAGCCCAGGTAGCTCCGCGCCACCCCCGGAAGCCCGCGCGCGGCTTCGCGCCGGATCCGGGGGTGGCCGGGAGCTGCAAGAAGCCCTTGGAGCGCAGGCAGCGTCCGCCACCACCTCCGCCAGCTTCGCGCCGGGATCCGGGGGTGGCGCGGAGCTGCAAGAAGCCCTGGAGCGCAGCAGCCCCGCGCGGCTTCCGCCGGGATCCGGGGGTGGCGCGGAGCTGCAAGAAGCCCTGGAGCGCAGGCAGCCCCGCGCGGCTTCGCGCCGGGATCCGGGGGGTGGCGCGGAGCTGCAAGAAGCCCTGGAGCGCAGGCAGCCCCGCGCGGCTTCGCGCCGGGATCCGGGGGTGGCGCGGAGCTGCAAGAAGCCCTGGAGCGCAGGCAGCTCCGTGCCACCCTCCGCAGCCCCGCGCGGCTTCGCGCCGGGATCCGGGGGTGGCGCGGAGCTGCAAGAAGCCCTGGAGCGCGGGCAGCTCCGCGCCACCCTCCGCAGCCTCCTACGGAGGGCGCCCCGTGCTCCGCGCTGCTGGCTGCCGCCCGCAAGCTGTGCACGCGGGGGGGGGGAGTTCCCCTGGGCGCGCAAGGCTTGCGGACAGCTGCGCGAAGAACGGGGCGTCCTCCGAAAGCCTGGTCCTACTCAGGTCTTCTGAGTTGTAGCCCATAAAGTTCTACTCAAGGTTGGCCCATTGAAGTTAATGGATGCTGGTTAGTCATGCCCATTAATTTTAACAGGTCCATTCTGAGCGGAACTAAAATGGGATGGAGCCCCATGTTTGGAAATTGGCAGTCATAGGAAGAGGCTGACTTTCACAAGCTTAGTACCAGGCAGAGGGCCTTTTTGGTAGTCGAATGCCGTCCCATCAGGTGTTAAGGAGATGAGTGATTATATAACATTTAGGACACATCTGAAGGCAGCCCTGTATAGGGAAGCTTTTTAAGGTTGAATGTTTTATTATGTTTTTATATACGCTGGAAGCTGCCCAGAGTGGCCAGTCAGATGGACAGGGTAAAAATTATTTTACTTATTTATTTATTTATACATACATACACACCTGAAAGCTCATAAGTAGCCATCTCCTCTTACGTGGTGGCCATTTAGAGTACAGTGGAACCTCGTGTTATGGACGGGATCCGTTCTGAAGGCCCGTTCATAACATGGAACTGACGCATGCTGAAGTGCCATGTCTGCGCATGCGCGTGGTGTGATTTAGCGCTTGTGTGCATGCACGAGCAGCGAAACCCGGAAGTAACCCGTTCCGGTACTTACGGGTTGCCGTGGGACGCAACATGAAAACACGTAACCTGAAGCGGACGCAGCATGAGGTATGACTGTAGTTAAAGCAAACCGGACTCAGACCACAGTTTGATATCCAGGTTTGTCGGATAACCTGCTCAGTAGAATTAAAGAGTAACTGGGGGAGCCGGGAGGCGCTGGTGGGGAATCCAGTTGATCCCGCGTTGTAATGAATGGCATTCTGCAGAGGTTCTGAGAGTGGTAGGTAAAAGGTAAAGGGACCCCTGACCATTAGGTCCAGTCTTGGCCGACTCTGGGGTTGTGGTGCTCATCTTGCTTTACTGGCCGAAGGAGCTGGCGTACAGCTTCCGGGTCATGTGGCCAGCATGACTAAGCCACTTCTGGCGAACCAGAGCAGCGCACGGAAACGCCATTTACCTTCCCGCTGGAGCAGTACCTATTTATCTACTTGCACTTTGACATGCTTTCGAACTGCTAGGTTGGCAGGAGCAGGGACCAAACAACGGGAGCTCACCCCGTCACGGGGATTCGAACCGCCAACCTTCTGATCGGCAAGCCCTAGGCTCTGTGGTTTAACCCACAGCGCCACCCACGTCCCTGTGAGAGCGGTAGAGACCTTCTTAAAGGTGTGAAACGATTTCTCGGTGCAAATTTTGCTTTCTACCCGTTGCTGATCAACCAGGAAGTGGTGTGACTGGTGACGGCTTCACATGTCTTCTCTTTCAGCCAAAGAGAGAATCATCAGCAGCTTAAAGAAGTACGACGCCCCCCAGCCCCCTCTCCCCCTTCAGCCGATGAAAGCTCCTGTGCCTGCTATTTCTCCTGCCAGCTTGGTGAATCAGAGAGAAGCTAAAGAGCTGGTTCGTGCAAACCTCAGCATCCTGCAGCACCGTGCCAAGTGAGAGACAGGCTTCCTTGTCGTTGTCTTTGTGCATCTCTCCGCTGTGTTGTGTTGAGCCCCTTTAAGCGTAGCCCAGCCTCCAGGCTGCCTCCTCCCTCTCTTCCTTTGGACAGGGAGAAACCCTGCCGCAGGCCTGTGTTAGGCGCTCTGGGTGCTGCACGCAAACCTTTGGGAGCATCACTTTCCCCTCATCTTTCTTATGTGCAGTATCCATGGCTAGAAAAAGAATCCCATGTGCCTAAACGTTTGAGGAGAGCTCTGTTATTATTATTATTTTGGTTAATGTATGGGTTGCTGCCGTTGTTGATTTTTCAGGTCTGCGGCGCTCCGAGAGTCCCAGCAAGTTGCTTTCAACAGCGAGATCCTGGACACGCTGCCAAAACTTTACAGCAACAGAGAAGAGCAAGTTACTCACCATCTGGAGTGTCGGGGCAGCTCTGGGAAAATTTGCCAGGGAGCAGCTCTCGTGACGATCCAGGTTGGAACAGACACCTCTCCCTTCTACAGTTTGAGGGCCTCGGCCAGCCCCAGACCCTCATTTCTAAGCGCTGTGGGGTGGGTTTTTGAGTACAGGGGTTGTATTCAACTTAGCAGTTTCCTAGACTGGTTGGACGCAGAGGGATGGTGGGAGGAACCAGCTGAGGAACCCCCAAGGGACTGGTCCAGCGTCACCCAGTAGTAGTAGTAGTAATAATAGGTGAAGGTAAAGGGACCCCTGACCATTAGGTGCAGTCGTGACCGACTCTGGGGTTGCGGTGCTCATCTCTCTTTATTGGCCGAGGGAGCTGGCGTACAGCTTCCGGGTCATGTGGCCAGCATGACTAAGTCGCTTCTGGCGAACCAGAGCAGCGCACGGAAACACCGCTTACCTTCCTGCCAGAGTGGTACCTATTTATCTACTTGCACTTTGACGTGCTTTCGAACTGCTAGTTTGGCAGGAGCAGGGATCGAGCAACGGGAGCTCACCCCCCGTCGTGGGGATTCGAACCGCCGACCTTCTGATCGGCAAGCTCTAGGCTCTGTGGTTTAACCCACAGCGCCACCCGCATCCCAGTAGTAATAATAATAGTAATAATAATTAATTTATTATTATTTATACCCTGCCCATCTGGCTGGGCTTCCCCAGCCACTCTGGGCGGCTTCCAACAAAATATTAAAATACAGTAATGCATCAAACATTAAAAGCTTCCCTAAACAGGGCTGCCTTCAGATGTCTTCTAAAAGTCTGGTAGTTGTTTTTCTCTTTGACATCTGGTGGAAGGGCGTTCCACAGGGCAGGCACAACTACCGAGAAGGCCCTCTGCCTGGTTCCCTGTAACGTGGCTTCTCACAGTGAGGGAACCACCAGAAGGTGCTCGGCGCTGGACCTCAGTGTCCGGGTAGAACGATGGGGGTGGAGATGCTCCTTCAGATATACTGGACTGTTGAGGGTTTTAAAGGTTAGCACCAACACTTTGAATTGTGCTCGGAAACGTACTGGGAGCCAGTAAGCTTCATGGTTGAGTTTGGGAGTTGAAATCTGCTCTCCCAGGTCCCAGTCCAACACTCTGATCCCCACAACACACACATGAACACTTTTTCTTCCTTATGCCTATGGATACTAGATACTTGCTCTAAAAGTTCCAGGGGGAGATTCTGTGTCAAGAGTCACATTCTGGGCCTCTGCGATGCTGCAGGCCTTTCATGGGCCCTGCTGTAACTCACTGTTCCCTCTTTAAGTTTGAAGGGAAGCACAAAAACGAAGCCATCGGTCAGCAGCTTCATTCGCTGAAGAAAGAAGTGAAGCAGCTGCAAGCAGAGGCCTCTCAGCCTCCTTCTCTGAGTGTGGTGGAAGCCGCTGTGCACATGGAAAACTTTATAACGTAAGTTGCTAGGGTATCTCTCTCTCAGGTCATGCATCCCTGGTCCTGATGATGTCCAGTGCTGGAAACTTCAGGCATACAACTGGAATCTAGCTCAACATCTGTTTGGTGGGATAAAGCAAAATACAGTGGTACCTCGGGTTACATACGCTTCAGGTTACAGACTCCGCTAACCCAGAAATAGTACCTCGGGTTAAGAACTTTGCTTCAGGATGAGAACAGAAATCATGCTCTGACGGCGCAGTGGCAGCAGGAGGCCCCATTAGCTTAAGTGGTGCTTCAGGTTAAGAACAGTTTCAGGTTAAGAACGGACCTCCGGAACGAATTAAGTACGTAACCAGAGGTACCACTGTACCTTTGTTCATCAGGCCGTGGGCAGGGCCCAAAGGACTCTATTCAAGGTTCAGTCCTGGTCTTGGTTCTTTGTAGCCTCTCATTCATACCACAGCCCCTTCAAATGTATTCTAAAAGGCAGCTTTTAATGTATCCCAAACATAAATGGAAACTTCCTTCATCTTGAGAACCATCATGCAAAATTTTATTATTAAGAGATGTCTGATCATACAAAGAACTTCTCAGAATGGGTAGCTGGTTGAATGGCTGCAGTGTGGCTTCCTGCATAATATGTTTCCTAATTTCATTTGGTTTTGCACAGAGCTTTGATAAATATCTACAAGCTTCAGTCTACGCCCGGGATTCACAGAGTCGGGATCGACCTGTTCTTTGCCGTGGTGGGATTTGTCTGTGACGAAACACAACGGCATCCGCCTACGAGGCAGTTCTTCACCTCCTGCATTGAGATCCTTGGCCAAGTAAGCTGGTCTTGCCTAGAATTCATTTTTGCTTGTTGCAAATGTTTTCTTTGTCATGGACGCTTTAGGCCTAACTTACACCTCCTTACCACCTTCTTGATGATATCCATGCAGCCGTGAAATTAAACCTCATAAATAAGTTTGAAGTGAGGATCTACACCACTTTTCTTTCCCCCCTTTTTAAAAAATAGTTTTTGTTAAGTTTTTCTAATTTACATTTCAAGATCATCATTTAGACAACCTTAAATCAATGACTTCCCTTCTTCTCTTTCCATGGTTCATTTTGCATACCATAAGTAAAGGTAAGGGGACCCCTGACCATTAGGTCCAGTCGCGGACGACTCTGGGGTTGTGGCACTCATCTCGCTTTATTGGCTGAGGGGGGCGGCGTACAGCTTCCAGGTCATGTGGCCAGCATGACTAAGCCGCTTCTGGCGAACCAGAGCAGCGCACGGAAATGCCGTTTACCTCCCCACCGGAGTGGTACCTATTTATCTACTTGCACTTTGATGTGCTTTCGAACTGCTAGGTGGGCAGGAGCAGGGACCGAGCAACGGGAGCTCACCCCGTCACGGGGATTCGAACCGCCGACCTTCTGATTGGCAAGTCCTAGGCTCTGTGGTTTAACCCACAGCGCCACCCGTGTTCCTTGCATACCATACATCCCTGCATATTTTACATGAACTAAACCATTCAATAATCCATTGTTACACCATCAAAACTCACTTACACTGTTGAACTTATCTTAATGCTACCAGTGTTTTTAAATGTACACAATTTTCACCCAAATAATCAGTAAACGTTTCCCAGTCTTCTTTAAACGTATATTCTTCTTGTTCTCTTTTTCTATATTTTAAATCTGCAAGCTGCACATATTCCATCAATTTAAGTTGCCATTCTTTGCTTGGGACGTCGGTCGTTTTCCAGTCACTTTTCTAAGTCCCATTAATAGGTCTTGTCTAAGGCCCTTGTATAAAATTGTCTTTGGTCCTCGCTTAAGTGCAGGTATATCTATTAACAGAGACTTGAACTGAAGACTGAGGTTTCGTATTCCAAGTGTAGGTGAGCTGTGGCAAAGCCAAGCAGAATACAGAAGGGTCTTGCTGTGCTGTGTCTTTGCTGAACAAACCCCTAGATCTAAGTCTCTTTCCAGGTGTTCATCTCCGGAACCAAATCGGAATGCAAGCCGGTGCTACAAACAATTCTGAAGAATCGGAGGCTCTGCACACTCCTGTCTCCTTACTTCACTCCTGTTGCCTCCCCAGGAGAATTCGTCAGCTTGTATGAGAAAGTTGTGTCTTTCCTTGGCGACGACAACAGTGATGTCATTTTCATGCTGCTCACAAAGGCAAGAGGCTCTCAAAGCTCTCCTTTTTATGACCCGGGAAGTTGATCTCGCATGGGTTTCCCTTTTTGAAGTGTTTGTTGTGGGTGCACAGATGGTGGAAGAATGTTAATGCAAATACAGCAAAGCTAGACAGGTTTGCTGAAACGTACTCATTTAACCTGTGGTTTGGAGGCTTAATGTGCTAAGATGTTCCAGCATAACAATACAAAGCGAACGTCCAGCTTCTTCCAGGCTATTGTAGATGGAACATCCCGCACTCTTAATCAGTGGCCTGATTCCCCATTACACTAAACTATGGCTTGTTTAGCTTATCAGTGGTTTGCTTGAGCACCTGAATGACGGTTTGCTGTTTCGAACTAGCTAGGGTTTGCTTGTGGCCCACAAACCAGAATATTAGAATTGAAGTTTACTTACAAATCTCAGCTTGTGTGAACCATAGTTTCTCGTTATGTCCAAACACACTACCCTGGGAGTAACTCTGGTTTGTTTTGATGCCCCTCTCCAGGTGCTTGCCTGGGTACAGAGACCCAAGGCAAGAGCAGTGAGTAAATGAAACCAACAGTAGGCAAACAAGCCATGGTTTCTTTGCTCGTCTGCAAGGCTGCCCCTGGTTTGTTCAATAAACCATGGTTTGAACAAGCTGTGGCTTAATGTTTGGGGCATACGCAACTAGCATTAAGAAATCCAGAATGCATGCTTGCATCCTCCCCACTGCTCTCTTCAGATTGTGAAGTCCTTTTTTTGTATCCCTAATCAGTGTTAACTTATGTTTTGAACATAAGGAGAAGAGAGGGAAACTGGAATCGAATAAATATTCAGGGTCTCCCAACTTGTTTTATGCCTCTGATCAGCAACAGTTTGGCTGCAGCGGCCCTCTCTCACACGTTCATTTTGAAGGGGCAGGCAGATTCTGATTTATTACTTCTTTGTCTGAAGGTTGCCCTTCAGGCGCTGGAGAACTATGCTCACTACTTCCTTTCTCGGATCTCCCCAGTCCCCCGCAGCCCCATCCTCAAAGCTCTTTGTGCAAATGCTTGTGGCGATCACACAGGGTCCCCGGACATTTCACCATCTATTGATCCCTGTGCCACCACTTGATTTCCCACTGCCACCACCCAGGCCCTACCTGGTACAATACTGAGTCCAGTCAGGGTTAAATTGGGACATAAACTTCTGTTTGTTTATTGCAGTTTAACAAGCGTGTGGTTTCATAAACAGTATCAGTCAATTACATTCATGGGGTGCCTATCCAGACCTATAACTTCCGCTCCCTGCTCTCACTCACTAAACCACCTCTCAGATATTTACTTGTCTGCCTAGCCCCTAACTGTTCCTGATTCAGCCTATTTCGCTACACTAACTCAACCTACCCACAGACTCTATCCCAGTTCACTCCCACTCCAACCAACCACCCAACTCCCAACAAACTCCCCTCTTCGCCCTTCCCAGAGCTGGTTTTATAGTCCCTCTGACTCCAGTGCTCCTGACTGGGCAACCTGTTTAATTATTTCACCTCCAGCACTCTCTCATATGTTAACGTCACAATGCTCTTCCTCCTTTTCCTCTTCCAGTTTGACCTCCCTCAGTGGCTGCACAGCTCAAAGCCCCCGCTCTCTGAGCGGACCAGACTTCTGGAGTCCATCCACTTGGCACTCAAAGCCTGTGGCCTGGAGCCCGAGGAAGACCTTCAGATGCCTTTTTCGATCTTCTGCAAGCACTGGACTTGCCTTCTCCAGTACCAGTTCCCCGACCACTACAGCAGCTACCTGCGGCTGCTCATGGAAAGTAAGTACCTGGTGGGGCACTACCTGAGAGTTTCCCGGCTGGCCTTCAGGCCGAATTCGGCCACCAGTGTCAAAACAGTTGAATTGCACCACTTCCACTGAAATTGGGCCCCATCTTTTGTGTGGGTGTTTCTGCATGTGTGGGATAGATGTAAGGTCCCCTGCCCCGAAACGCTTCACACCCTGCAAGGAGAAAAAGCAGATTTCTGTGGCCTGTATAGATGCACACTAATCATACGCAAACAAAGAGGTGCTGCTCAGCTTTCTTACATTTTAGGACTTATTTTTGCAATTGTTCCTTAGAAAAAGAAGAGAACGAAAGTTTAGATGCTCCAGTCTTTTCTTGGTCTCTTGTGGACCTGCTGCGAAATACATAGCATTATAGATTGTAGAGTTGGAAGGGACCACAGGGGTCATCTAGTCCAACCCCCTGCAATGCAGGAATCTGCCTGAACCCAGGACCCTGAGATTTATGAGTCTCATGCTCTACCGACTGAGCTATACACTGGTTAGCTTATACTAAGCTCCACCTAATGCAGCAACAGGCACCTTTTTGGCTTGGCGGGCCACCCCTGTGGACCAGTGTTGAAGTGGGACAAACTGCCTGTCAATCACTGTACATTCTTAAGAGTGCCACCTGAGAAACAGTTTCTACGCAAATGCAATTCTGGTTCTAAACGCAGCATAAGGGGTCTCTATAGTATAGTGTATTTAAAATGGGGTTTTAGAGTTTTTAGGGGGTTTTGAATATTTTATGTAGCTTTGTAGTAGTTTTATATAGTTTTGTGGTAGTTTTATGTAGTTTTGTAGTAGTTTTATGTAGTTTTGTAGTAGTTTTATATAGTTTTGTAGTAGTTTTGTAGTAGTTTTATATAGTTTTGTGGTAGTTTTATGTAGTTTTGTAGTAGTTTTATGTAGTTTTGTAGTAGTTTTATATAGTTTTGTGGTAGTTTTATGTAGTTTTGTAGTAGTTTTATGTAGTTTTTCAATTTCATTGTTCTGCATGGGACAATGACAATAAAGATATCGTATATCGTATATCGTGCTTGGCACATGGCTGGTAGTCAGGGATATGGGATCTGTAGTGTGGGGGGACTTTGCCAGCCCTGCACTTGGCATTTCACCAATCAGAGGGCTGGCGAAGCTGTTTTCACCACTAGTTGGCCTTCCCCTTGAGTCCCAGCCCCCTGGAGAACTCGGCTGCGCAGCCGATCTGGCAGGGTAAAACTGGCCGCCTACGGCCTGTGAGTTTAACCCTGCTTACAGAAGGGATCGCCTTCACAGCTGATCCAACTTTGTCTCTGCTTCCCACCCCTTATGTCAAATATAAGGATGGGCGTGAGACAGGTTGGGTGTGTTTTGAGCGAAATGGCCTCATGGGCCAAATTGGGAGCTGGGCTGCATTTGACCTGAGGGCCGGCAGTTCCCGACTCCTGCTCTCCTGTGATTTCTGGTTATTGGCACCTGTTACTTGGACAATCTGCTCTGGGCCCGCCCCCTCAGGTTCCTCGGATCAACTCCTGAGCCCTGACTGCTGGAAGGTGTCCCTGAAAGCCTTGGGCTGCGGCTCTGTGGCAGCGAAGAAAGATGCCGGGAAGGAGAACATTAGTGAAAATATCGCTCTGCAAACTTCCGTGCAGCTGTTTCTGTCTGCGGATCAGGTGGGTGGCTGTTGTAGCGTTGCGATGCGATCTCTCGCGAACAAGGGGAAGGGCTGTAGCTCAATAGTGGAGCATCTTTCTTTCATGCAAGGAAGGATCTAGTCTGAGGTTTCATGGGCACCAGGTAATGTCCCCCAAAACACCATTTAGCCCATGGGTACCATGCTGGTGGGACGGGGGTGGCGCTGTGGGTTAAGTCACAGAGCCTAGGATTTGCTGATCAGAAGGTTAGCGGTGCAAATCCCTGCAACGGGGTGAGCTCCCGTTGCTCGGTCCCTGCTCCTGCCCACCTAGCAGTTTGAAAGCACATCAAAGTGCAAGTAGATAAATAGGTACCACTCTGGTGGGAAGGTAAACGGCGTTTCCGTGCGCTGTTCTGGTTCGCCAGAAGCGGCTTAGTCATGCTGGCCACATGACCCAGAAGCTGTACGCCGGCTCCCTCAGCCAGTAAAGCAAGATGAGCGCCGAAACCTCAGAGTCGGCCATGACTTGACCTAATGGTCAGGGGTCCCTTTACCTTTACCATGCTGGTAACTTCAAGCTTAAAGCACAGGCACTACATGTCTTGATTAAGTAGGAAGGAGGGCTTTAAAAGGATCTGTGTGTAGCAAGGCTTCAGTGACCCTCTGCCCTTGTTCCATCAAGGCAAAAGCCGCTGGAAATTTAACGTCCTGCCATCTGTTCTTTTGGAAGGTAGATACAGAAAGATTCTGGATCTGTCCATATAAGAGTGGTCACATAAAAACAGTGAGCCGTGTTCTATTTCACTGTATATTTTATTCAGATTCCAGAGCCTCTCTCATAATGCCCCTTGTATGAAAAGTATCAGGGAGGACAGAGGAATGCTATTTAAATTACCTCTTGTCCGGCCAGAATTCGTACGTCACTAGAAATGTGGCTAGATTTTGTGCAACAGCCATAAGTCAAAGAAAGCAAAATAATACATAGCTGCATAAATCATCATAAACAGCTACAGTTCTTAGTTAAATCTCTTACTCTTTTAAACTTTTATGGCGTTTTATTCTCTCTGGACACATATTTCATGTACATTCCATTAGTATATTGATTGTTAAATCCCATATCTATCGTTTTTATTGCTTACGTAGAGAAATATGCAGAAATTCTGGTTTAATATGCTGGCTGTTTGCCATAATAAACATTGATTGATTGATATTTAGCTGCTAGATGGAACTCTGGTGTGTGGCAGCCTAAGGCAGTTTCTTATTTTCTTGAGTGACGCTGTTACGATGCATCATCTAAGGCAGAGCTAGGCAGGTGTCAGGCTGGAATCTACTGGTAAATCTCTGGGTCGCCTACAGGAGGCGGTCCAAAGTTTCCCATAATCTACTGGCGGCAAAGTAAAGCGGCAAGCTCTCCGTCTGGGACGACGAGCCATAATCTGCTTTGTACATCTTCCCAGGCCTCACAGCTTTCTTCCTTTGCAGGTCATGGAGACGATCGACTGGCTTTCCGACTACTTCCTGAAGCTGCGCTTGTCTTCGCAAGACTTCCGGAGCTTTGGCCTGTTCTCCAAGTGGGCTCCCTACATAGCTGAAGTGACCTGCTTCGCCGAGTATCTCGTCAACCGCCTGGTGGACTCGGAAGTCGCCAACTTGGCACGAGAGCCAGTCGGCAGTGGCAGGACTCTGGAAGGTAACACACAGGCAAGAGTCTAAAGAAAACTGGCACGGCCGTCCTGAGTTCCCTGTGTTTTGGGAGGCTGGCATAATGCCACATAAGGCGACTGCTGCCATTGTGGCTGCCTCCCTTTTTGCCCTTCTCCCCCCGCCCCCCCGCCCCCCCGTTGAAAATGTGTTTTGCTATCTCCTGGTTTCTTTTTTATTTTAAATTCATTTTTATTAAATTTTCCATTTTAACAACCGAATCAAATCACATTAAATATTCCAAATTATACATATACATATCAAATTATAATTTTTTTAATGGCACTTCCCATGCTTCAAGTTCGGAAGGTTCTGATCATCTCATATCTCTACTGCTTTTCATAGTCATTTCCACTAGTTCCTCTAATTCTTCCTGTTGTTAACCTTCCTTCTTTCACGGCCTCTGAGTTGTTCCAACAAGCAAGTTGAAACAAGCAATGATGTGTTTGTGTGGATTTTATGTCTATGATTCCCCTCTATAAGTTTGCAGCATCTCCTCACACGCTGGTGTTTCTGCCGAATCAATCCAAAGGTCTTTTCGCTGCTGGCAGCCGCCATCTTCACTCATTTCTGATGAAATCAAGTTTAGGCGTCTGCTCATTGATTTTCCCAGACCGATTGCATCAAACATTAGTCTTTCCAGGGGAGGTTTACCAAATCAAACTGGAAATATTAAAGGCTCATCTCCCCCTATGACTATTTATCTGCAGCTCAGTCTTGACTTCCATCATGGCAGATTTCCAAATTAAAAGTGTGTCACAACTCCCATGCAGATTCTAGGAAACCATCCAAAGTTTTTTATCATCTCTCCAGCGGCTAATGAGATCCTGCTTTTGTCTAATATCAACAAATTGGAGAATCTATTATCGCTATCTCCTGGTTTCTTGGCATACTGTTTTGCTGGCTTCTGAGAGGTCACTGGCATTCCACACTCCCCTGTGTACAGTCGTACCTTGGATCCCGAACGCCTTGTGAGTCGAACGTTTTGGCTCCCGAACGCCGCAAACCCGGAAGCGAGTGTTCCGGTTTGCGAACGTTCTTTGGAACCCAAACGGCCGACGCGTCTTCCGATTGAGCTCCTGCAGCCAATCGAAAGCCGCGCCTTGGTTGTCGAACGTTTTCGGAAGTCGAACGGACTTCCGGAACGGATTCCGTTTGACAACCAAGGTACGACTGTACTTGCAGTCTTAAGGACTACAGTGGTGCCTCGCAAGACGAAATTAATTCGTTCCGCAAGTTTTTTCTTCTTGCGAGTTTTTCGTCTTGCGATGCACGGTTTCCCATAGGAATGCATTGAAAATCAATTAATGCGTTCCTAGGGAAACCGACTTCAGACCAGGTCCGGGGACAGTCTGTCCCCCGACCTCTTCTGAAGGCTGGGGGGGGGGACAAGGGCTTTTCTTCCCACCCCCAGCATTTTAAAAAACCCTGGGACAGCGGAGGGCTTCTCCGCTGTCCGGGGCGATCTTAAAATGCTGGCGGGCGGCATTTTAAAATCGCCCCGGGACAGCGGAGGACTTCTCCGCTGTCCGGGGCGATTTAAAAGCCCCTGGGAAGGCAGGCAGGGGGGACAAAGACATTTGCCCCCCGCTCTCCTTCAGAAGAGGTCCAGGACCTCTTCTGAAGGCTGGCGGGGGCGAAAGTCTTTGCTCCCCCCCGCCTGCCTTCAAAAGCTGTCCGGCCAAGGCTTCACGGACCTCTCCGCAAGCAGCGGCAGCCCTGCCGCTGCTTGCGGAGAGTTGCCGGCATGCCGAAGCCTGCGCGCGCTGAGATCAGCGCGCCCAGGCTTCGCGGACCTCTCCTGCCTTCAAAAGCCGTCCGGGATAGCGGGAAGCGCTTCCCTGCTATCCCGGACTGCTTTTAAAATGCTGGCGGTGGGGAGCAAAGCCTTTCGGCCCCCGCCAGCCTTCCTGGACCTCTTCTGAAGGCCGGAGGGGGGGAAAAGGCTTTGCTCCCCACCGCTAGCATTTAAAAGAGGTCCCCGGAGATTTCCCTATGGGCTTCCGTCTTGCGAAGCAAGCCCATAGGGAAATTCGTTTTGCGAAGCGCCTCCAAAACGGAAAACCCTTTCGTCTAGCGGGTTTTCCGTCTTGCGAGGCGTTCGTCTTGCGGGGTACCACTGTATCAACTTGCTTTAATTAAAAGAAGCAGCATCAGCTGAAACTTGGGCTACTGAAGTTGCTGACAGCTCATAGATGTTAGATGTTTGTGCTGTCAAAATATCTCATTGCTATGTCGCACATGTGTTTTTTCCCCTCCTTCCCAGCACTGCGCTCTTTGCATTTGGTCATCACCAGACTTTTTAGGCCTTGGATCCTGGTTTTGGAGAGAGAAGACACAAGGTGAGCAGGGAGCCGAAGGGAAGAAACATTCCATGTGTCTGTGAAAGGGCATTTGTGTGATTCTGTTTGTGATGATCAGTCAGCTCCTCATTTATTTCTTTTTTGGGGGAAAAAAAGCTTTATTGAATTTTAATAATGATGAGCAAGTTATAGAAAAAAGGAAAGGGAAGAAAAATGGTCTTTAATTTTTTTTTTAAAATAAACACTAAGCTGTCACAATTGCCAATAAGGAAAGCAATAGGATACAGCTGTGTGATTTACTGAATCAATAATGAAACATGCCTGGAGGAAAATGATGTATAGTTGATACAATTCTATGACTCCAATGACAAAAGGTTTCATAGTCTAAATTGAAAGAATTACAAGTCTTTATTAAGAGATTTAAAAAAATAACCTTGGATTGTACTCTGGATCCAGAAACTTTGGTCCCTGGAACTCTTTGCTTATTGATATAAATGTATGTTTTTATCTATAGCTCTGTTAAGAATACAGTCGTACCTTGGTTTTCGAACAGCTTAGTTCTCGAACGTTTTGGCTCCTGAACGCTGCAGACCCGGAAGTGTCTGTTCCGGTTTGCGAACCATTTTTGGAAGCCAAACGTCCGACGCTGCTTCCATGGCTTCCAATTGGCTGCAGGAAGCTTCCTGCAGCCAATCAGAAGCCGCGCTTTGGTTTCTGAACATTTTGGAAGTCGAACAGACTTCCGGAACGGATTCCATTCGACAACCAAGGTACGGCTGTATTGTGTATTTACTTAATGAGCGTGCTTCCTCTTAAATACTGGGTATTTCTGTTTTTGCGTTTCCTGTGCTACACTGGGATAGATGGCCCACAATCGTCTGAATTGGCACAAAATAATTTTATAACCTTATATTGGTTGACCTCTTGAAATTGTGGCAGGGCACCAGGAAGCAGGTGGAGGGTAGTGGCTCTTGTCTAAAATCTCTCTTGCCTCTCTCCCTCTCTCCGCTACTCCTTCTTTAATCAAGCAAACAGACCTGTTACCCCTGGCTGGAGAGTGACACACCTGTGGCTTCAAATATGGTGCAGTTATATGCACACACCATAGGAGTTCTGCACGAAAGCTTTAAAGGTAGGCAAAAGTCCATACTGGCAGCCATTAAATATATCCTTTAATATTCATGCCCGGCATGAATGTCTCCCTTCCTTAGCCTTTTTCTGAATTGCACATTATTTGTGTGTGGTTTTTGTTCCCACTTGTGCTATCCATGCTGCCAGGAAGGTGTTCATCCACCCAATTTCTCCAACAGGCGAGGCTTATTTATGATGATGATGACGATGAAACTTGTTAGTTGCTTGCCATTCAAAGGTCTTCAAACAACTTTACAGCAACACACACACATCACGCATCAGAGAAGGCAAAAAAAAAGTGGGGGTCATCCATCTTTTTTCTTTTTTTTTAAAAAAAATTATTTATACATTTCACTGATTTTACAGTCATTTTGACATTTTGAAACTTGACATCTTCCCCCACTTTCTGAGGTTCCTTACATTTATTTTTAATATCTTCTGCATATCCAAATTAGCTTAACTTGTTCATTTATTCATCTTCTTTAAATATATACTCTTATGAAACTGCAGGTTATTACAGTAACCCTGCCGGTGCTTTTATCTATTTACAGTTTATCGGTAAACATTCAGTAAACCATTTCCGCTCTTTTATAAAAAGTTTGTTATCTTGAGTTCTTATTCTTCTGGTAAGTTTTGCCATTTCTGCATATTCCATAAGTTTCTATACCCATTCTTCCTTTGCTGGGACTTCTCCTCCTTTCCATTTTGGGGCGAGTCACATTCTAGCCGCTGTAGTCACATACATGAGTAAGTTTTAGGTAGTCCTGTCCCTATAATTCCCAAGAGAAAAGCTTCTGGGGTTTTTTAAACAAACACTACTTTAAACATCCTTTTCATTTCATTATATATCATTTCCCAGTAAGCCTTAACCTTACTACAAGACCACTGCATATGATAAAACAACAACAACGGGAAGGCTGTTAGAATTCCTGCTCCATGATTGCAGTCATGGGATTGTTGTCTTTCACATGACGGTATATGTTTTGACTCCACAGAGTGGGAAGTGACGGAGACAGGACGTTTGTGTTACTGTGTTCCATGAAGTGGGACTATTGTCCTTTGTTTATTTCTCTTTGCTGTCTGATGCTAGAGAGAGAGGGAGCCATGTTGCAGTGCTCCGTGTGTGTTTATATGTAAATAAAGGAGATTAGCCGAAATGCTGAGTTGCTGAGGTCTGTTATGCAAGCTGCAAAGACTCTGCAGATCCCTAAGTGTGCCGATGTCTGTTGGCATCGGTCGCTGTGATGTTCGGGCAGAAGAAAGCTTTTGAAGCTCCTGAACGATCGACCTGGAGGGAGAGAACATGCCAGTTGGGCATGTGTCTCTGCCAGGATCCTACTCGAGTGTAGGCTGAGCTCCTGACAAAGGCTACCTCATCTGATTCTATGGGACATCTTGTGGGCTTCCTATAGGCAAGTGGTTAGCAGATGCTAGGCTAAATTTGCCATTTCCGTTTTCCAGATAAACTGCTGCCAAGCCACCACGGGCCACTTTGGCTCCACCTGATGCACTATTGCGAGACATGCACGGCCCCCAAAATGCCAGAGCACATTCTCTACACGTTCCACGCCGAGTTTGGCCGCCTTCCCTGGAAGGAGATGCATCCGGACCGGCAACTCATGGAAGAATTCTTTAAAGTAAGAGGCAGGTGCTTTGGATAGAGAACCATAGCGAGGGAGGGGGAACAGGGAAGGAAGTTTGGAAGGAGCTCCCTGTCCTCTTCAGGTGGTACAATTTACGGGGCAGGTTATGCAACAGAGCCCTGAATCAGGGATGGCGAATGTGTCCCAGTGGATCAAGAAGTGGGGAAGTCTGGCGGGTTTAATGAGGGTCTGTGAGCCAGACGTTCCCCACCCTAGTTACTATTGGCTCCCAGTACGTTTCCGGGCACAATTCAAAGTGTTGGTGCTGACCTTTAAAGCCCTAAACGGCCTCGGCCCAGTATACCTGAAGGAGCGTCTCCACCCCCATCATTCAGCCCGGACACTGCGGTCCAGCTCCGAGGGCCTTCTGGTGGTTCCCTCACTGTAGTGCTCTTCAAAGTGTGTTCAAGGAAATCGTGGGCTCCTCAAATGCCTGATAGGGGTTTGTCAATGAGCAGAACAGCAAGGTTCCTCATAAGACAGGTTTCTCCACTGCTGTCGCTGTGTGTCTGCAGGGTGAGCGCCCCTGGGAGGCATTCCCAAATTTTGCCAGCACCCTCCCTGAACTGTACACCTGGAGAAGAGGGGTGAGGAGCCAAATTCTGTCCTTCTGGCCTCTCCCCCTTCAGACGTCCAGCGCCGAGGACCTTCTAGCGGTTCCCTCCCTGATAGAAGCGAGGTTACAGGGAACCAGGCACAGGGCCTTCTCGGTGGTGGCACCTGCCCTGTGGAATGCCCTCCCATTAGATGTCAAGGAAATAAACAACTATCAGACTTTTAGAAGACATCTGAAAGCAGCCCTGTTTAGGGAAGTTTTTAATGTTTGATGTTTTATCCTCGTTTTTAATATCCAGCTGGAAGACGCCCAGGGTGGCTGGGGAAACCCAGCCAGATGGGCAGGGTATCAATAATAAATTGTTGTTCTTTCCTTTTCACTTTTCCAGGTTGAGAGAGGCAGTCCCAAAAGCTGCTTCCTCTTCCTGGGCTCAGTTCTATGCGAGATCAACTGGGTCAGTGTCCTCTCTGACGCATGGAATCCCAACCCGCCTCCCGGGAACACAGGACATGATTGTGTGCCTGCTTTATATGGTGGTCCTTCTGGCAAAGGAAGAGCAACTTATAACCAGGGAGGTATGTCCCAGGACTAAGCAGCTCCCCCACCCCGCCCAACAGTTGTCCGCTAGACCCTTCCCCCCCCCGAATTGAGCTTCTCAGACGTTTTCCTGTGTCAACCAAAGTTGGTGCTGATTTCTGCTCCACAAATGGTTGCGTGGAAAAATTCCATATCCCGCAGCAGCAGGAAGATGCTACTCTCCAGGTCTCTTTCCACAGGACTCTCCTTGGGCCATGGCAGCTCACCGGCCCTGCTCTGCACATTGCAGAATTGCTTTTGCCCGGCTGGAATATTGTCCTTGAAAGGGAATGTTCGTGGGCCCAAATCTCTCTTGAATGCTTTTTTTTTTGGGGGGGGGGTGTTTCAAAACTGCAATAATCTGATTTTTATTTCCCTTCTCTTTCCCTCCCCCTCCCCTTTTATGAAGATCACCTGCTCTGAGACCCCACAGCTAATTCTCCCCTGGCCTCCTCGCTGGCCCAAGTAGGATCAATTCAGCCAGCTAGCCCTGGGGATTATCTAATTGATTTTTGAATTCTGTTGTTATTCATGTTTTCATACTGTATTTTATGCTGCTTTTATAATTAAGTGTTTTAAATTTGTTGTTAGCCGCCCTGAGCTTGGTTTTTGAACCAGGAAGGGCGGGGTATAAATTAAAATTTATTATTATTACTAATAATAATAAGCAGAGGCTCAGCTGGAATGTATGCCACAGGTCAGGTAAAGGCACCAGCAAGGTTGAGAGGTTGTCAGCAAGGCTGAAAAGGAAAGGCAAGGAGGGTATTATGGGCAAAGAAGACTTCCTTTTCAGAAACAGGATTGTGGTGTTCTGTTCTATACCCATTGAAGTTAATCCCCATGACAACCTTAGGCCCACTGATTTCAGGAGGTCTGCTCTGAGTAAAGGTTAAAGTTAAAAGGACCCCTGACCATTAGGTCCAGTTGTGACCGACTCTTGGGTTGTGGCACTCATCTCGCTTTATTGGCCGAGGGAGCCAGTGTACAGCTTCCAGGTCATGTGGCCAGCATGACTAAGCCGCTTCTGGCGAACCAGAGCAGCACACGGAAACGCCGTTTACCTTCCCGTTGGAGTGGTACCTATTTATCTACTTGCACTTTGACGTGCTTTCGAACTGCTAGGTTGGCAGGAGCAGGGACCAAGCAATGGGAGCTCACCCCGTCGCAGGGATTCGAACCGCCGACCTTCTGATTGGCAAGCCCTAGGCTCTGTGGTTTAACCCACAGCGCCACCCGCATCCCATGTAAAGGTTAGCTGAAGGCAAAGTGTGGTACTTTGGTTGAGTTAACCATGAACGAGATCTCCATTTCCCCCCAAACGTCAGGAGTCTCCACTGCTGAACCTCCTCGGCCAGACCAGCTCACTCCCTTGGCAGCACGTCAGCGTTTTGTCCTATCAGAGCATCATCGGCTACTTCAACACCCACTATCCTCCCTCTATCATCCTGGCCAAGGAGCCGGCAGCCGAGCTGATCGTCAAGCTGCTCAAGGCATCGGCGGGCTTTGGCGCTTCCTCCGACAGCCACATGCATCTGGTAAGGACAGCCCTGCGTGGGTAGGGACAGCGGCGGAATTTGGGGTCCCGAAATCAGCAGCGCTCTGTGCGAGGCCGAAATTTGACTCCCACCACCACCTCTCGCCTTCCATTCTGCCTCATAGTTGCGGCTTCCCCAAGGCTCTGCAACCAAACCGGCCCTGATCCCCTAAATCTGCTCCTGGTGGGGAGGAGAGAGCTGCTCCACCTTGTGGTTTCTGTGCTATGAGATCGCCTCACCCCATAGGTGCCCATGTGCCAGCTTAAATCAGCTAAATTAGCACTTACAGGTGCCACAAAATGCCATTCTGCATTTGTAAGGGCTCAACCTTTTAGTTGTTGTTGTTGTTTAGTTGTGTCCGACTCTTCGTGACCCCATGGACCAGAGCACGCCAGGCACTCCTGTCTTCCACTGCCTCCTGCAGTTTGGTCAAACTCATGCTGGTAGCTTCGAGAACACTGTCCAACCATCTCGTCCTCTGTCGTCCCCTTCTCCTTGTGCCCTCAATCTTTCCCAGCATCAGGGGCTTTTCCAGGGAGTCTTCTCTTCTCATGAGGTGGCCAAAGTATTGGAGCCTCAGCTTCAGGATCTGTCCTTCCAGGGAGCACTCAGGGCTGATTTCCTTCAGAATGGATAGGTTTGACCTTCTTGCAGTCCATGGGACTCTCAAGAGTTTCCTCCAACACCATAATTCAAAAGCATCAATTCTTTGGCGACCAGCCTTCTTTATGGTCCAGCTCTCACTTCCATACATCACTATTGGGAAAACCATAGCTTTAGCTATACGGACCTTGGTTGGCAAGGTGGTGTCTCTGCTTTAATGCCATTCTGCATTTGTAAGGGCTCAACCTTTTAGTGGCGGTGAATAAACTTTCAAACTGCCAGACTATTGACATCAAGCAGGCACCAAGACATTTTGGCGTCTGCTAGAAAATTTTTTTTTTAAATTTAAAAATTTATTAATTTATTTATTTAACATAATTATTACAAAATATAAGCAAAATATTGCAAATACATACAAGCATATATATATTTCAGATAAGCGCACATATATAAAAAAAGAAGAAGAAAAGTTGGAAGAATTTCTTCCGAATTTATTCTACAAGTATCTCAATATGAAAATATTAATAAAATTTCATTGATTGACTTCCATTGCTTACACTGCACTTCCTATATACATTTTTAAGCAAAATAAAAAAATAAAAAATAGAAACATTTTTGATTAGGCAACGCTACTCAGGGATGGTGCAAGTTTTAATCTGGGTTTTAAAAAGATTAAATAAATCTGCAGCCGTACCTTGGTTTTTGAACAGAATGCGTTCCGGTAGTCCATTTGACTCCCGGAACCATTCGAAAACCAAGGCACAGTTTCCGATTGGCTACAGGAACGTCCTGCAGCCAATCGGAAGCTGCGCCGGACGTTCAGCTTCCGAAAATCATTCGGAAACCGGAACACTCACTTCTGGGTTTCGATCGTTTGGGAGCCAATTTGTTCAGGAGCCAAGGTGTTCAAGATCTGAGGCACAACTGTATTGTTAATCTAACTTATAGAAAGTCTTGAGTTGTTGCTGTTAGTTGTTCTTATTAGTATTTTTACCTTTTTTTGGAAACTGCTTTGAAGCTTTAATATACAGTGGTACCTCGGGTTACATACGCTTCAGGTTACATGTGCTTCAGGTTACAGACTCCGCTAACCCAGAAAAAGTGCTTCAGGTTAAGAACTTTGCTTCAGGATGAGGACAGAAATCGTGCTCTGGCGGCGCAGTGGCAGCAGGAGGCCCCATTAGCTAAAGTGGTGCTTCAGGTTAAGAACAGTTTCAGGTTCAGAATGGACCTCCGGAACGAATTAAGTATATACCCAGAGTACCACTGTATGCGCTTAGAATTAAGCGATGTATGAATTTTACTAAACAAATAAATTTAGAGCAGCTTCTGTGGAAAACAGGGAGGTGGTGAGCTAACTGTTTCCCCCTTGCCTTTTCCTAGGATTCAACCCTCAAGTGCAGGGCTTACATTCGCCAGGTCGTCCATTTCCTCAGCATCCTGGAGCAAAATGGGAAGATAACCCTGCCTTCTCTGGAGCAAGAGATGTCAAAGCTGTTGGATGATATTACCATCTTTAACCCTCCAGGTTGGTCTCTCTGTGTGTGTAGCTTGTGGACTGCTAGGTGGGCAGGAGCTGGGACCGAACAATGGGAGCTCACCCCATTGCAGGGATTCGAACCGCCGATCTTCTGATCGGCAAGTCCTAGGCTCTGTGGTTTAACCCACAGCGCCACCCGCGTCCCGTATATGGCAGGTTAGCCTCCCCTATATTAAGATTTAACAGAAGTGAGGCCAGGCAGACATTTTGGAGGAAGTTCTAGAGATTTAAGGCTGCTGGAGAAAAGGCCTTTCACTCCAACTTTAAGGGTCTCTGGTGTTCAGGACTGGAACATACATTGAGTCCTGCTGCCTCCCGTTATTGGTAATACAGTAGTACCTTGGTTCTCAAACGTAATCCATTCCGGAAGTCCGTTAGACTTCCAAAACGTTCGAAAACCAAGGCACAGCTTCCACTTGGCGCAGGTGACCCAGAAACAATAGCTGACAGCAGCATCGGACGTTCTGCTTCCGAAAAATGTTCAATAATAATAATAATTTATTATTTGTACCCCGTCCATTTGGCTGGGCTTCCCCAGCCACTCTGGGCGGCTTCCAACAAAGATTAAAAATACATCAAAAACAGGAACACTTCTGAGTTTTTGGTGTTTGGGCCAAAATGTTTGAGTACCAAGGCATTTGAGAAGCAAGGTTCCACTGTACTGAGCAAGATGGCATCTTCAGAAGTTGATGGGGGGTGAAACTAGAAATTCAAATAATTTCAGCTCGTTTTGCAGTACTGGGGTTCAGCGGAGCTGTTTTTCACCAGTGCTGGCAGAGCGCTAGATCTCATGAATCTCCATTTGTGGAGTAGACGGGAACAATACTAAAGAATATAAAACTGTGTGGGAAAAACGATGACTGTATAAACAGTACAATGAGAATGATTGAAAGACTCGTTTTGTCAGAAGTCTTTTTTATTTAAGTGCTTATTTAAGTATTAATTAGGAAGATTAAGTATTTTTATGTAAGTAAATCTGCTTTTTCTTTTTTTTTCTGTATTCGCTTTTCTTCTTAGTTTTTTTCTCTTTAATTTTCTTTTTGTAAATTCTTTGTACAGTGGTACCTCGGGTTACATACGCTTCAGGTTACATACGCTTCAGGTTATAGACTCCGCTAACCCAGAAATAGTACCTCGGGTTAAGAACTTTGCTTCAGGATGAAAACAGAAATTGTGCTCTGGCAGCACGGCGGCAGCAGGAGGCCCCATTAGCTAACGTGGTGCTTCAGGTTAAGAACAGTTTCAGGTTAAGAACGGACCTCTGAAATGAATTAAGTACTTAACCTGAGGTACCACTCTATATGTGTGTAATTCAAATTAATAAAGGGTTTTTTAAAAAAAAAATCTCATGAATCTCAGCCCAGTGCTTTATGCAGAAAAGCCACCCTTCCTCTTTCCTCCCTGTGATTTCAAATGTTTTGCTTGATTACTATTTTTTAATTAAAAAAAATTCAAACCTTTTGCTTGCTGCCTTTGCAGACACGGACATGCAGTCTCGCCACTTGGCCTTAAGCAGCCTTTTCACAGAAGCCCTGATGATGATGAATAACGCCAGCGTCGCCACGGCAGAGTCTCTGCGTGTCAGTCTGCGAGGCTGGATCGACGGTGCCGTGCACGGCTTAGGGGTGATGCCTCTCTTAACAGCTGCGTGCCAGAGTCTGGCGTCGGTCCGGCACATGGCAGAGACCACGGAAGCCTGCGTCACGGCCTATTTTAACGAAGGTGAGAGAGAGGAACATAGCTGTCAACCGCCCCTTATTTGGCGGGAAAGTCCCTTATCCCAGTGCCGTGTCCCGCTGCTGTCCCTTATTGATGATGTCCCTTAAATTTCCCGGGTTTCAAAGGAAGCAGCTCCTCTCCCTCCCTGCCTGCTGGCCAGGGAGGAGGGAGGCTCCAACTGTGTTGCTTACCCAATAAGGAATCTAAGAACGACTGAGGGGGTGGAGCTTGCATGCCTTGTGCCGATCAAATTGGCCGCGTTGCCTGGGGCCTTGCCTTTGCTCAGCGCTTCCCAGCGGAGAGGTGATGGTGGTTTTCCTTGCTGCATCCCCTTTGCTGGGTTGCTGCGCTGTGGGAACCACCGCTTGAGGCTTCGTTTGGCTGCTAGCTGGGCTTTCTGCCTTTGGCTCAGAGGTGCTCAGATGCTGAACATACCTGTGCTTGGAAAATCCCTTATTTTGGCTGCTGATCCCTTATTTTCGAGGCTGCAGGTCCCTTATTTTCAAATCTGTAAGTTGACAGCTATGGAGAGGAAGGCTTTTGACTATCCTTCCTCGTGACTCACTGTCGACTCAGGGTGGCCCTGCCTGTCTGTCTAGCCATGGTGGTTTGCACCCAGTGAAGCTGTCCTGTTAGCGCAGCGGTTCTCAACCTGTGGGTTCCCAGATGTTGTTGGACTACAACTCCCATCATCCCTGAGCTCTGGCCTTGGTAGCTAGGGGTGATGGGAGTTGTAGTTCAGCAACATCTGCGGACCCACAGGTTGAGAAGGGCTGTGTTTAGTGCAAGGACTTCTGCCTTTGTGACGATACCTCATAGAATCATAGAACTGTAGCGTTGGAAAGGACCTGGATTTTGTTGTAAGTGTATAGGTTGCAGCATCCCAAGAACCTAAGGATTTAAACAAAAACCCAAGCTTCTAGTCCTTATGTTACCAAGATTGTAGCTGGCGCCCATCTGTCTCAGGAGACAATAGAAGAGTATGCCTTTGTGGGTGAGGTCAGACTGTTGGAAGGTTTTTGATTTTTATTTATTTATTTATTGGTTTGCACATATTATATTACATTACAATACAAATGTACCAAAGCCAACATCATTTCCTCCCCATTCCCCCCATACATTTACATTTATATTTCCTCAATCCATCATATTATTATTTTCTCCCTCCCCCCACTTCCCTCCCCCCCACTCGATTTCCTCCACATTATGCAATTTACAATAATCTTTGCATTCTACAGTCTTCTCAAATCATCTGCATATTCTTATTATCTTTCCTTACTAATTTTTCTTCCATCCAGTACTTCACATTTTAATCCAGGGATATTAGCATATCTTTTTTGAGCAATATTTTGCCATATATTCATCAAAACATTTCCACTCCTTTTTAAAATTTTTGATTTGACTGATTTCATATTATTGCAGTCAATTTTGCCAAAATTAAATATTCGTTTAGTTTACAAATCCATTCCTCCTTTGTGGGTATGGTTTGTGACTTCCACCTAGCAGCAATCACTATTCTAGCAGCTGTACTTGCATATAGAAAAATTCTGCCCCCCCCCGCTCTGTGGTATCTCTTAATCTATCAATCCAAGGAGATATGTCTCTGGTTTCTTTGTTATTGATATTTTCAATATCTTCTTTAGTTCTTCATGTACTACTATCCAAAATTTCTTAATTTCCTCACACCTCCACCACATATGTATTGTTCCTATTTCTCCACCACATCTCCAACAGAGGTTGGATTTCAATTTATATATCTGTTGGAAGGTTACAAGGCCGGCGGTGGCTGTAGAGACCGATATGGGAGAGACATGTTTTGTTGCAGCTGGGGCAGCTGGAGGAGTCCGGTTGTGCTGCTGCAAATGCCCCATGGCGTTTCTTCTCTCTTATGTAGATAAACTTGAAAAATATGGATGTGATGCAGGCAGCTGAGGGGATATTTCACTGCCTGGGGATGAATCCTCAGTGCTTCACACAATTATTTGTTCCTTCCCCACGGTAGGCAGAATCAGACTAAATTATTCACTTTTTTCCTGCATATTTACCATATTTTTCGTTCCATAAGACGCACCTAGTTTTTAGAAGGGGAATGCCAGGAAAAATATTCTTTAAAAGGAGTGCTGAGCAGAGCCTGTATGCATCCCAGGCTCTGCTCAGCGCTCCCTTTCACGAGCCGCATGGAGCTTGCAGGCTTTTCCCCGAGGAGGGAGAAGGGCAGCCCGTCCTTTAAAGGGAGCGCAGCTCTTGGGGGCTTTTCCGGGAGGTGGGGGAAGAGACTGAGGGGCTCTCGGAGTGTGTGTGCGACTCTTGGGGGCTTTTCCCTGAGGAGGGAGAAGGGGCTGCCCACACACGCTCCACGCGGCTCTTTAAAGGGAGCGCTGAGCAGAGCCTCCCGCCTGCATTCATTCCATAAGACGCAAACACATTTCCCCTTACTTTTTAGGAGGGAAAAAGTGCATCTTATGGTGCGAAAAATACGGTAAAATTGTACTGTTTCTTAGAGAGGCGGTTTATTCGGAGTGCAGATTTGACCCTTTTGGGGTGCCATTTGGCGCCGTTCATACTATATTTTGTGCTCCCTTTGCCTCTTTGGGTTCTCTGTTGGAACTCATGGATATTTACAGATTTAAAGGAACTGCTTTGGAATTAAAGGAACATCTCTGAGCTCTGTCTCATTTAGGTCTTCTGACCGCTTTAGCCTAACAGTGCTTCGTCTCCTTCTCTCTCCTCCCATCCCAACTCCCTCTTTGTACAAAGATTCTCCACTCAGCCAGGATTTGGGCTGGGGGCCAATCGTGGCCTCCCTGCAGGTCCCCGAACTCACGGCCGAAGACTTCCTGCAGGAGTGCCTTTCACTGGGCAGCTACCTAACTCTTTACGTCTACGCTCTGCAGCGGTTGAACGCCAAGCAGACTCTGGACAATGAAATGAAAGTGGTGCTGACTTTAAGCAAGTGGCTGGAACAGGTGTTCCCCAGGTACAGACATCTTGTGGTCGGGAGGGAGATGAACTTTAACAGGGAGAAATGTAAAGTATTGCACTTGGGCAAAAAAAAATAAAAAAATGAGAGGCACAAATACAAGATGGGTGACACCTGGCTTGAGAGCAGTACATGTGAAAAGGATCTAGGAGTCTTGGTTGACCACAAACTTGACATGAGCCAACAGTGTGACGCGGCAGCTAAAAAAGCCAATGCAATTCTGGGCTGCATCAATAGGAGTATAGCATCTAGATCAAGGGAAGTAATAGTGCCACTGTATTCTGCTCTGGTCAGACCTCACCTGGAGTTCTGTGTCCAGTTCTGGGCACCACAGTTCAAGAAGGACACTGACAAACTGGAACGTGTCCAGAGGAGGGCAACCAAAATGGTCAAAGGCCTGGAAACGATGCCTTATGAGGAACGGCTAAGGGAGCTGGGCATGTTTAGCCTGGAGAAGAGGAGGTTAAGGGGTGATATGATAGCCATGTTCAAATATATAAAAGGATGTCATATAGAGGAGGGAGAAAGGTTGTTTTCTGCTGCTCCAGAGAAGCAGACACGGAGCAATGGATCCAAACTACAAGAAAGAAGATTCCACCTAAACATTAGGAAGAACTTCCTGACAGTAAGAGCTGTTCGACAGTGGAATTTGCTGCCAAGGAGTGTGGTGGAGTCTCCTTCTTTGGAGGTCTTTAAGCAGAGGCTTGACAACCATATGTCAGGAGTGCTCTGATGGTGTTTCCTGCTTGGCAGGGGGTTGGACTCGATGGCCCTTGTGGTCTCTTCCAACTCTATGATTCTATGATTCTAGGACAGATGTTTGGGGCAGGACTTCTCACCTTGGCTACCGATTGCCAGGCAAATTCTTCTCTTTGGGCCTTCCAAAATGCTCACTGGTAGTCAACGTTCCACAGGGTGGGCGCCACCACCGAGAAGACCCTCTGCCTGGTTCCCTGTAACCTCAATTCTTGCAGTGAGGGAACTGCCAGAAGGCCCTCAGAGCTGGACCGCAGTGTCCGGACTGAACAATGGGGGTGGAAACACTCCTTCAGGTATGCAGGACCAAAACCGTTTAGCTGTTTGTCTCTTCTCTGAGGCGGATTTAAGGACCCTCTCCAAAATGGGGGCATATCTCTCCCACATCCACCCTGGTTATCTCTGCGAAATGGGGATAATCTTTCCTTACAATACGATACGATAATCTTTACTGTCATTGTCCCATACAGAGCAACGAAATTGAAAAAATCTACATCAGACATTCAAAAACCAGCAAGCCTGCTATCCCAGCTATCCCAGCCTGGTTAGCCCCCTAAAAACTCTTATACTCCCACAGAGACTACCTTACACTGCGTTTGAAACCAAAATCACATTTGGATAGAAACTGTTTCTCAGGCGGCTAATCCTAGTTTTTATAACCCTGTACCTTCTTCCAGAGGGACGCGGGTGGCGCTGTGGGTTAAACCACAGAGCCTAGGACTTGCTGATCAGAAGGTTGGCGGTTTGAATTCCCGCAATGGAATGAGCTCCCGTTGCTCAGTCCCTGCTCCTGCCAACCTAGCAGTTCGAAAGCACATCAAAGTGGAAGTAGATAAATAGGTACCGCTCCGGCGGGAAGGTAAATGGCGTTTTCGTGCGCTGCTCTGGTTCGCCAGAAGCGGCTTAGTCATGCTTGACCACATGACCCGGAAGCTGTACACCGGCTCCCTCGGCCAATAAAGCAAGATGAGCACTGCAACCCCAGAGTCGTCCGCGACTGGACCTAATGGTCAGGGGTCCCTTTACCTTTTTACCTTCTTCCAGAAGGCAGAAGCTGAAAGAGATCATTTCCGGGGTGCGCGCTATCCTGCGCTATCTCTGCAGCTTTCTTATGACACCTGAATGAAACTGGAATGTGGGGAGTGTTTTAAGAGCTTAAATAGCAAGTTATTAACCGCACAAGCTTTAAATCCCCAGAGGGCGACTGGGACGGAGAAAGGATGGACAAGGGAGACTTTTAATCCTGCCTGTGGTTCCATCAGAATTGTTCCATCATTCAGCCCAGCTGTGAGTGCGGCTGCCAGTCACGCGCTGGTGCTTCGCCTTGGAAAGTGTGGCTTTGACAGAGACGGGGTTATTTTTGGAAGCCTTTAAAAAATAGCCAGCAGGGGAAGTTCGCCCTCGTGGCTCAGAGCTGTGCGGTTTCTGTTTCTGCAAATTGCATAGCAGCGATCATGTTTAAAATCCTTGTAGCTAGATCAGAGATAGATGGACTCAGGAAACTGTCTGCCCACACTCCTGGCTATTCAAAATAATAATAATAATAATAATAATAATAATAATAATGATGATGATGATGATAATAATTTATTTTTTATACCCCGCCCATCTGGCTGGGCTTCCCCAGCCACTCTGAGCAGCTTCCAACACAATATTAAAATACAGTAATGCATCAAACATTAAAAGCTTCCCCAAACAGGGCTGCCTTCAGATGTCTTCTAAAAGTCTGGTAGTTGTTTTTCTCTTTGACATCTGGTGGGAGGGAGTTCCACAGGGCGGGTGCCACTACCGAGAAGGCCCTCTGCCCGGTTCCCTATGGTTTGGCTTCTCGCAGTGAGGGAACCTCCAGAAGGCCCTCAGCGCTGGACCTCAGTGCAGTCAGTTGTTTGTGGGGATGCCTCTTCATGTACTTGCATGCAGAAGATCCCGGATTCAACTTCTGACATCTCTAGCACTATCACTGCCTGAAACCTGGGAGAACCATTTAGGTTGAGTCAGCTTCTGCTATTTAAATCAGAACACTGATGACTAGAACCTTGCTTTATTTTTAGGGAAAGGGCCATAGCTCAGTGTCAGAGCACAACTGGAAGGTTTTAGGTTCAATCCCTGACACCTCCAGGTTGAGAGAGACACCTCCCATCTGCCTGCAGGTATATGGCAGATTAAGTTGACGGATTATGCCGAAATGGCAAAAATGAGCAGAAGAATCAGAAATCAGGAAGACCAAAGTTTTAATAAGGAATGGGGGGAATTTCTTTTAAAAAAAAATCATTTTCATTGATTTTCCAATAAAAAACATCCAATTAATAGATCCAACCATAATAAAGTTAAAATAAAAAACTAAAATAAAAAAGATCAAATTATAGTCCAAATTGTATTTATTAATTTCTCGGAGTGCCCCACGGTCTGGATCTCTGAAGCATATCTCCACATCATAGTCCTGCTTCTCCTAGTTGCTTCCATATTTTCTACAACTTGATTTTGATGCTCCATAATTCTTTGTCCCTGGGTCGGTGATTCTCATTCATGTCTAACATCATATACTTTCATCCGCCAAATACAGCTTTGTTAATATATATTTTTTCCAACTGTCTTTTTATCAGCTCAGCTTCCTCTGATTCCGTTCCAATCTGGAATGTTGTCCAAATCTGTTATCTTTGATGGTGCAGCAACTCATTAATTGTCCAAACCTTCCTTTGAAGCTTTATTAAACCAGTAGGAATGGGAGAAATTTCTAATTTACCTTAAAAACCATTGTAAACGATTAAAATTGTCAGTAGCATTGGAACAATGCTGAATTTTGGATATAAGGAGATGTAAAAGGTTTGGCAGGAGGACACGATAGGACCCATATCCTGGAACATTGCTGCCTCCAGCTGTAGAGGCCAGTAGCCATAGCTCTCTCCAACTCCATGATTTTCTCTAATCCTCTTTTAAGTGATCCAAGTTGGCGCCATTGCTGACTCCTGAGGGAGGGTGTTCCGCAGTTTTGTTTTTATAAATAAATTTTATTAGATTTTCCACGGTGATAAAACAAACCACAAAGCAAAATGATACACAAAAACAGAAAAAGGAAAAAGAAGAAAGAAAGAAAAAAAAAGGGGGGGGGGGACAATAAACAGATAAACAATAACAACAAACTATTTCCAGTTATAGTCCATCTTATTCACTTTTCTTAACATTCTAAATCCCATTAATTAATTATAACTTAATTTAATCCTAGGCCTATTTGTTTCTTTCAAGTAATTTCTAATCTTTTATATTACAACATTATTCAAATAGTCCTTGAATTTCCTCCAGTCCTCTTGAAACTCCTCTTCTTTCTGGTCGCGGATTCTTCCAGTCAGGTCAACTAGCTCCGAAAAGTCCATCATCTTCATTTGCCAATCTTCCACTGTTGGTAGCTCTTGTGTTTTCCAATTTTTAGCAAGTAATATTCGGGCGGCCGTTGTGGGAGTTCCGCAGTTTCAACTGTACGCCGTGGGAAGAAGGACAGTCTTTCTTTGGCATATACCGTATTTTTTGCTCTATAAGACTCACTTTTTCCCTCCCCAAAAGTAAGGGGAAATGTGTGTCTGCGTCTTATGGAGCGAATGCAGGCTGCACAGCTATCCCAGAAGCCAGAACAGCAAGAGGGATCACTGCTTTCACTGTGCAGCGATCCCTCTTGCTGTTCTGGCTTCTGAGATTCAGAATTTCCCCCCCTCTTGTTTTCCTCCTCCAAAAACTAGGTGCGTCTTGTGGTCTGGTGCGCCTTATAGAGCGAAAAAGGTACTTCTCGCAAGAGGGATAGCAGCTAACGGGAAGTAACACTTGGGGTGACGGGCAGTTTCTAATGGTGTCTGGTTTTGTCTGTGTCTCTCCCCCCTTCCCTCCCCCCCCCCCAAATCCTCACAATTCCCTCTGAAAGTTCCACCAAGGACGAAGCAAAGCTGTTCCTTTGGTGGCACAAAATCCTGCAGCTCTGCCTCCTCCAAGTAGACCAGGACGATGCCATCCTGATGGAGTCGGTCGTCCGCATCCTGATGTCTCTGCAAGGCAGACAGAACCTCCTGGCCGAAGAGAGGCTCACCTCTGGAATCCTGGGTGCTCTAGGGCTGGGCAGGAAGTCTCCTTTGTCAAACAGGTGAAAATGGGTTGTTGTTGTTGTTATGATGACGAAGGAAGGTAAAGGTAAAGGGACCCCTGACCATTAGGTCCAGTCGTGACCGACTCTGGGGTTGCGGCGCTCATCTCGCTCTATGGGCTGAGGGAGCCGGCGTTTGTCCGCAGACAGCTTCCAGGTCATGTGGCCAGCATGACTAAGCTGCTTCTGGCGAACCAGAGCAGCGCACGGAAACGCCGTTTACCTTCCCGCCGGAGCGGTACCTATTTATCTACTTGCACTTTGACGTGCTTTCGAACTGCTAGGTTGGCAGGAGCTGGGACCGAGCAACGGGAGCTCACCCCGTCACAGGGATTCGAACCGCCGACCTTCTGATCGGCAAGTCCTAGGCTCTGTGGTTTAACCCACAGCGCCACCTGAGTGGGCCAAAATAAAAAAGATAGCAGATACGTAAGACTGAATGTTTAATTATTAAGATACAAAAGTGCAATCTCAATAATAACGTTATAAAACAATAACAAGGAAGTCACACATGGGTGGAGGGAAGACACAGGGCAAGGATTAAGAAATGGATAAACGTTGGTACATAATGAAATGTGAAAAATGTGAATTTACGAATATAATGTACAGTGGTACCTCGGGTTAAGTACTTAATTCGTTCCAGAGGTCCGTTCTTAACCTGAAGCACCACTTTAGCTAATGGGGCCTCCTGCTGCCGCTGCACCGCCAGAGCATGATTTCTGTTCTTATCCTGAAGCAAAGTTCTTAAACTGAAGCACTATTTCTGGGTTAGCAGAGTGTGTAACCTGAAGCGTATGTAACCCGAGGTACCACTGTATATGTGTCATTATGTAAAGATTTCATATATGTATTGCAACAATAAATAAGAAGAAGAAGAAGAAGAAGAAGAAGAAGAAGAAGAAGAAGAAGAAGAAGAAGAAGAAGAAGAGAAAGAGAGAAAAAGAAAAAGAAGAAGATGGGCTTTTTGGAAGGCAGGCAAGAGCGGCTGCATATGTTGCAATGTGAAGGGCTTGCTGCGTGGCTGGAATCTGCTCCGTTCCCGGATACTCCATTCCATTCCCACCATCAACAACCAACATTCTGCCACCGCGGGGCATGTCCATTCCTTGTTGGGCTGTTGAGAGTTTCCTCCCGGTTCTCCACCCAGTTTTATCTTCCCTCCCAAAGTCTGCTGATGTCTTCCTCTTGCATGTGAAGGAGAGGGCAGGGTGTACTGTCCGCAACAAAACCTGCACAAGAATTATTATTGTTATCTCTCTTATTCATTCATTCATTCATTCATTCATTCATTCATTCCCCGGTAGTGGCACCCGCCCTGTGGAACGCCCTCCCATCAGATATCAAGGAAATAAACAGCTATCTTATTTTTAAAAGACATCTGAAGGCAGCCCTGTTTAGGGAAGTTTTTAATATTTAATGCTGTGTTGTTTTTAACACTCGATTGGAAGCTGCCCAGAGTGGCTGGGGGAACTCAGCCAGATGGGCGGGGTATAAATAACAAATTATTATTATTATAAATTATTATTATTATAGAAAGTGCAGGGCAAAATGTTGACAAAAGGATGCCAAAGATTCACCCTTTCCTCTGAAAAGGCCAATATCTGCGTCCTTGGTCTCCTGCTGTCCTCAGAGCAGTTTGCAGGGCTCTGTCTTGCTCTCTCCTCGTCTCCTGGGACACAGGTGGCGCTGTGGGTTAAACCACAGAGCCTAGGACTTGCCGATCAGAAGGTCAACAGTTCGAATCCCCGCGACAGTGTGAGCTCCCGTTGCTCGGTCCCTGCTCCTGCCAACCTAGCAGTTCGAAAGCACGTCAAAGTGCAAGTAGATAAATAGGTACTGCTCCGGCGGGAAGGGTAAACAGCGTTTCCGTGCGCTGCTCTGGTTTGCCAGAAGCGGCTTAGTCATGCTGGCCACATGACCCAGAAGCTGTACGCCGGCTCCCTCGGCTAATAAAGCGAGATGAGCGCCACAACCTCAGAGTTGGTCACGACTGGACCTAATGGTCAGGGGTCCCTTTACTTTTATCTTGCCCTCTCCTCTCTCCTGCCTCCCTTCTTATCCTCACCATAACCCTTCCAGTAGGTTAGGATGAGAGAGATTGGCCATGATTGTGCAGAGACGTAATGCAGGGCAAAAATAAACCTGGGCCAGAACTGCGTGTTTTTAGGTGGAACTTGTAGAGAAAGAGCTCTTTGTGTGTTTGTGTGTGTGTGTTTCTCTGTTTTCAACGGAGAGAGGAGCTCCTTGCCAACTCCCTTCCCTCTTCATGTTCTTGTTGAAGGTTCCGTGTTGCTGCCCGAAGCATGTCCGCCTTCCTGCTGGTGCAGATTCCGGTGGAGAACCAGATCCGCTTGAGGCCTGGCGTGGAACTGCACCTCTCTGCCAAAGCGCAGCAGGTAGATTGGATGCATCCTGAGTGGTTTAATCTGGTGCCTGTATCAAGAATGCTCGTTGTGCCCCTTGGTGGATGCAGGGTCCTTAAGGTCCATAAATAGCGACACCATAGAGGTCCTGGGCCCTAAGGAAGTCAGATTAGCCTCAACCAGAGCCAGGGCCTTTTTAACACTGGCCCCAGTCTGGTGGAACGCTGTGTCTCATGAGACCAGGGCCCTGCAAGATCTGATTTCTTTCCGCAGGGCCTGTAAGACAGAGTTATTCCACCTGGCCTTTGGCTTGGAATCAACTTGATTCCCTCCCCCTCTTCTTTTTTCCTTTCTCCTCCTGTGACAGAACTCCTATTTGGGGACTTCCCTGGCTTTTTTCTGGCCCACGTAGGACCAGTCTGGATAGTTGGCCTTGGTGAAGTCCTGACGTTTTCATCCCCAAAAAAGTTTTTGATTTGAGTTTCCATTGAAATGAGGCTGTATTTTAATGTTTGAATGTTGTATTTAAGTTGTATTTCAATCAATTTGCTTTTATATCGGGTGTTAGCTGCCCTGAGCCTGGTCTTGGCTGGGGAGGGGGGTATAAATAATAATTATTATTATTATTATTATTAATAGCTCGTTTCCATCTTTGCAGGCTCTGAATGCTCTCGATTCCATGACTTCAAACAAACAGTACGCAGAATACCAGGAGCAGATCTCCCAAGCCTCCCAGTTTGTCAGGGACTCCCGCCGCTGCCTTCGCGATGGGCCGAACCTTCTGGCTATCCTCGTCAACACTTTGTACCCAGAAGTGCATTACTTGGACGCCATACGGTAGCAGCAAGCGAGGGGAGGTGGCCTCATCCTGCCCCGCATTGCAATCGTGGATTATCTTCAGTTTACAGTCGGCGGTGACGTTGCACAAGTAGCTGCCATTCACAGGGTTTCACTTTGTCAAAGTGGTGGAAGAGAGAGAGAGAGGGCAAAGATTAGGTAGACTGGTTTGAAAGCCAGCTTGGAGGTTTCCGTAGCTGGGCTTTAACACCTGCACAAATCTCTCTCGCATTTCTGCCAAGCCAAAATACTTCTCTGGCTTTTCTTTGTTTTAATACAGTCTTAACGGCGTGGTTCAGGGCTTTGCGGGGCTCTGGTTTGATTTTTCCATGGACTTTACAAAGACCTCCGTTCTGGATTGTGCTTGAAGACTGTTAAGTGACTTGAGTGCTTCACCATTTTGGAAATAACACAGGGTTTGTTTGCCCCAGCACTAACTTGGTTTTGCTTTCTGTGCCTTTTCTTCTTTCTTTGTTTGGCTGACTGTGAAATTCGTGGGCCAGTCGGGACTCACTGGTCGTCACCTAATCAGGATTTTGGACCATCTCCCTCACCACCCCGCTGCTCTTGCTTAATTTGCCTCCATCTACTTGTCCTCAGTGCTTCTGATGTGTGATAAAAATGGAAGCTAGTGAGGCAAACCTCCTGCATCTTTGCCCAGCCAAATTGACAGAAGCTGAATTCATTTGTTTAAGGGTTCTGGGGAAAGAGAGAGAGTCTCCTACGTCACTTCCTTATCATGTGCATGGAACAAGCTATCGCTTTCATACTTCTTTTTTATTATAAGGCAGTAAAAGGAGCAAAGAAGAACAAAAAATTTGTCGGATTTCAGTAGCATGGAGAAGACAGCAGCGTCCTAATTACTGGAGTGTTCTTAAGAGTTTAATTAGGAAAATTATGGTTTTCTTGTAATGGTATGACGGACCATCGACGCTGGCGGGGGAGAAAGCCTGCAAAGTGCCCAGGATTCCTGGAGCAGATACAACTCACAAGCTGGCTACCCTATCCTTAAAACACATCATTTGAATAGCTTGGATTCTTTCTGTCAATACAGCAAAGCAAGTTTGATTTCTCCCCACCCAACACCTTTTCCCTAAGCTGAGGTCACTAACCTGTGGTCCTACACGGAGAGATAAGCTTTATAGTAATCAGTTGAACATTTACTGCTGAATGTCCTAAGGAAGAGTCCGTGGAGCCTTTTTGTGAGGCTCGGATGACACTCCAGAATGGTCTGTCCAAATCTTGCAATATACAGAGTACAGCTGGGGTTGTGTGTGTGTGTGTGCCCTTTATTTACCTGTGTGTATACGACGTGCCTCTCAAGCTGCGTTTCCTGGCTCACTGATTTGTTCAGTTGCTGTCGCTTTATTTGAGTGAGTTTGCTAAGGTTGTCCCCCTTCCTTTTGAGAGAAAAAAAAAGAGATATTGATCACCTCCGCACACACTCTTGGTGCAACTCGCTATGCCTGGCATAGCCCATGGGGTGCCCTGCAGATGTTGCTGAACTCTCCACCCCCATTGGCCCCAACTGACATGGCCGGTGGCCACAGAGAATGGGAATTATAATGTAGCATCGTCAGGGGGCGAAGATGCTCAGTTCATTTCAATGGGCTGACTTGCAACTGTCTTTTGAGTCTCATTGAAATGCACTTGGACGGTGAAGCTGCTATGCTTTGGAAACAGGCCTTTCAAATATATATATATATATATTTATTTATTTCCTGGGATTTCATTTGCTCAAATATAGATTCCACTTCAGGCACATTCTGTGCATCTCTTGGGAATCACCTCCAGCCCCTTTTTGGGTTTAAAGATGCTTTTCCTTTCTGAGCTCATCAGTAAAAACAAAACCCAAGAGCGCAATTCTGTTTGTGTACCTTCCTATTCATGCCTTTAGCTCCACTTGGCAGGCAAGGTTTTCTCCTAACTTTTCAGCGTCTCGCACCGGCAAATGATATTGTAGCGTTTGCCTTCAGCTAACGATTTCTGAAACTGCAAATCCCACCGTCTTTCCTTGCGAAATTGCCAAATTATGCCAAATAAGGTCCTTGTGCAGAACTCACGTTGTGGATTGAGCTTCCAGATATAGGACAAGGCATCTTGCCCCTGTGGTGCACTGGTAATGAAATATCACTGCTTGGGTGGGACTTCATGTTTAGAGGACCTCACAACTGGAAGAATTATTATTGCTGCTTTTTAGAGAGAGAGAAGAGGGAGAACAGAAGTCTTCTGAGATGTTTCTTTTCCTCCCCCTCAGCTCAGAATTAATAAATTTATCTTTAAAAAAAGACTGTGAAAAGGCAGAAACTATTATGTGTGCATCGGGCGTGGTAGTTCTGATATGGGAGCTATTGTTTTGCCTGTGGTTTCGACAGGACGTGTGTTTATAGTTGTTTGTGTCTGCAAGGACCATGTGAAATAAAACAGTGAGAAACACTAGAACGAGGATGGAGACTCTTATTGGGGATAGGCTGTTTTGTCAGTTGGGGTACCAGTTCCGGGGTTTGTGTTGGGGCAATGGGATTCACTTCCCTTTATGCGAGGCTTGCTGAACATTTGAGGCAGGACCCTTGGCAAAATATATTGTTACTATTATAGTTCACCTTCCATCCAGGAAGAAAGCCAAGGCAGGAAATGTTAGATAAATTCAGCTCCGGTCCTCCGAGCTGATACGGCTCATCTTGGCTTGAGGCCAGCAGAGTATAACCCAGAGTCCGCAACAGAAGGATGAGGCAGGTATGGCTACATTGCTAGACTTTATTTCTAAGCTATGCTGAGAGCATACAAATATACATCTTGTCTCTGTGAGAAGCAGAGAGCAACTCCAACAAAGAAACGACAGTACAAAGGAAACAGGAAACCAGTAAACGTCACATCCCGTCTCCCTTTCCCGTGGGAATCCAACAGTATCTGGACTGTGGAATGAAAACATAGTCCTGTGACTACCAGCAGCTGCTCAGTGAGGGAAACGGAAACCAACAGAAAAATCACGTGATCCCCATACTGGTGCCCATCCAGGCATTGACCAGCCCCAGCCTGGCTTAGGTTCATCAAGATAGGGATTTCGTTTGCCTTCAGACCAGACCTCCTGAGATTGACTGAAGGAACCCCTCACCTCACAAATTCAGGGTGGTCTGCAAAGCAAAGCACTTCGGCTGATGGGTGATGGACAGCTACGTGGCCATGCCAGTGCAAGCTTGCTGCTGTTGATGTTTATTTAATTCATTAGGCGGCCGCGGCCCAAAAAGCAACTTACAACATGTTTGAAAGCACATACTCTGGTTTCTCTTCAGATCGTATACAAACCATTCGCCTTTTACTGAAAGCACAAGCAGAGAGGCATTATGGTGTAAACACATTAACACAAAACCACTTTCAGTTCATAAAAAAAAACCCATACAAAGCAAAGCAAGCCTCAACAATGCTAGCAGAAAGATTCAGCGGCACAATTTTAACAGCAACAAACAACATCCTGGCCCATCAAGATGTTCCATCGCAAGGGAGTTGCAAGTTTTTATCCACTCCTGTCATTTTGCATCACAACATCTGAGAGTGATAACGCTCTGGGTGTATCTCTGCTTCGCTGCATGAAACTGCCTGAGTGCCACATAGCTGAGGATCTTTTGACACCTGTGCACAACATTGTTTTAGTTCTTCGTGCATGTACTGCTTAATGCACAGATGGCTTTCTCCTGTCTCTTTCACTCGGGCAGGCTTTGACTTATGGAGTTGATCCTGCGGTTGAGGTTTTCGTATGGAGAATCTTGCATGGCTTGCCTGCCGGTGAAAAGTGTCAACAACATAAGTTCCAAGAAGCGGGAAGCAGGGCATGGCGGAAAGCGATTATTTTTATTTATTTTAACACAATTTATATAACAATCTTTTTTTTTTTAAAACCCAAACACTTTTAGGTCGTTTACAACAAAGAAAGGCCAACTGCTTAAAAATCCATTTGACTCCCCGCTATTTTTATGTCCTGTTGAGCAACCCTGTGGATTCTACTCCAAAATAATTGAATTTTACTCCAAAAACTGAATTTAATGGACTTCTAGGTTGCAAGTTAATTCCCCAATGGAAAAAGGCAGTGAGCTTTGGCTGGATCGTGCCTGAAAGGTTTTAAAGATGTTGCCATGAAAACAACCACTTGATTCATCCAGATCAGTGAATTGGTGAAGCTTGCTTGCTATGGTGCCAAGGTTTTGTCTAATTCCATGTTTCCCGAACTTGGGTCTCCAGCTGTTTGTGGACCACAAATCACTGGTCCTTCTAGCTAGGAATGGTGGGAGTTGTAGCTGAAGACCAAAGTTTGGGAAACTGCTGGGTGAGGGAACCTGTGGCACTCTAGGTGTTCCTGGACTCCCCCAGTCCAATTTACTGTGGCCAGTGCTCACGAATGGCGGGAGCTGCAACTTCAGGAAGGCCATAGGTTCCTCACTCCTGTTTTCAAACCACCTGCGGCAAAGAGACAGGGAACTGGGGCAGGGCTGTAGCTCAGAAGGAGCACATCTGCCTTGCATGCAAGAAGGTCTCAGGATCAGTCCTCAAGTAAGGCTAGGAGAGAGACTGGGTCTCAGACCCCAGATAGCTGCTGCTGGATGGAGTGGTGGATCTGATTCATCATAAGGCAGCTTCCTACGTCAATTACCATATTTTTTGCTCTATAAGACTCACTTTTTCCCTCCTAAAAAGTAAGGGGAAATGTGTGTGCGTCTTATGGAGCGAATGCAGGCTGCGCAGCTATCCCAGAAGCCAGAACAGCAAGAGGGTTTGCTGCTTTCGCTGCGCAGTGATCCCTCTTGTTCTGGCTTCTGAGATTCAGAATTTTTTTCCTCTTGTTTTCCTCCTCCAAAAACTAGGTGCGTCTTATGGTCTGGTGCGTCTTATAGAGCGAAAAAATATGGTATGTCCTTAGAGCTGAGAGTAGTTGGGAAGAACGCTCTTCTCAATTTCATCTCCCGCAAACAGGTTTGGCAAAGCTCTGTTTCTCAATTCCGCCAAACCTGTGTTTCTGGAAGGCCAGCATATTGGGAATTGGCACGATGGCCCAAGCAAGCCCATGAAACCCTTCCTATAGCTCAGGCTTCTTCAAACTCAGCCCTCCAGATGTTTTTGACCTACAACTCCCATGATCCCTAGCTAGCAGGACCAGTAGTCAGGGATGATGGGAATTGTAGTTGCAATGCATCTGGAGGGCCGAGTTTGAGCAAGCCTGCTCTAGCTTCTGGCACCCACCCAGACCTGCTGACCCAATTTGAAGCTGAGATGTAAGAATTTCTTACCGTGATAGGCTGGTTGGAGCCATCAAGTTGTCTGTGATTTGATGCAAGAGACAAAAAATAAAGAGTTTATCAGTTTTCTTACTGCATTGAAGAAGAAGAAGAAGAGGAGGAGGAGGAAGAGGAGTTTGAGTTTGGATTTGATAAACCACTTTATCACTACCTTAAGGAGTCTCAAAGCGGCTAACCTTCTCCTTTCCCTTCCTCCCCCACAACAAACACTCTGTGAGGTGAGTGGGGCTGAGAGACTTCAGAGAAGTGTGACTGGCCCAAGGTCACCCAGCAGCTGCATGTGGAGGAGCGGGGAAGCGAACCCGGTTCACCAGATTATGAGTCCACCGCTCTTAACCACTACACCACACTGGCTCTGTTGTGTAATGTTCAAGTGAGCAAATACTGGAGAGCCAGCAAAAGCCCAAGTCCTTGATAGACCAAGACCTGGTTCTTACTGAACCTGTGTCTGGACCTGTGTCTGGGCCATAGTATTTCAAGCTGCTTGTGGGTGTCAGCAGATTGAATGCTCCTCTGCACAAAGGTTCCCTGCATGTAGAAAACTAGATGTCAGGACGAGGGCTCCCTCCCTCTTTGTAGCCTAGTCTTCTCCTTGACACGCCAGTTGTCCATGCACAGGGATAGCTTCATCATTGAGGAGCTCAGTGTTCCTTTGTAAAGCTCAACCTTCCCCCAACATAGTTCACTCCACCTGGTGTTTGACTCTCCAGCATCCATTGTCTCTGACCATTAGCCATGCTGGCTGGGGCTGATGGGAAATGGAGTCCCACAAGGTCTGGAATTCACACCCTGCAGGCTGCTTCTGCAACTATGCTTGCAGCAAAGATTTCCTGCATGTCGAATTTTAGACCATAAACTCCTCAGGACAAGGGCTTGACCTTCTGTACGCTAAATTAGGGTTTTCCCAAACTTGAGTCTCCAGCCATTTTGGGACTACAATTCCCATCATCCCTCTGGTCCTACTAGCTAGGGATGATGGGAGCTGTAGTCCAACAACAGCTGGAGATCCAAGTTTGTGAAACTCTGTTCTAAAGCATTGGTCTTCAGCTGGCCTGATCTAAAATGGGTCCTAACAGCAGCAGCACACATCTTTTGAATATAGTGCAATATTTTAAAAAAGAAATGGGGCCTAAAAGCATGCATGGGTTAAAAGTGATCAATATGATCAAGTTGACGACACAAAACACCATGCATGCTGATGGTGCAAATATATAAAAAACAGTGCTCCCTCTGCAAATCCAGGCTGCAAAATTGGAATGTGAAACTGGATCTAGATTTTCACCCCCTTTGGTTTCTCAATGAATACCGCTGCTGTTCCTGCTACTACTACTACTACTACTACTAATAATAATAATTTATACCCCACGCTCCCCGGCCAGAGCTGGGCTCTGGGCAGCTAAACATAATAGGGGAGGGGGAAAAAACACAATTTAAAATATGGGTTAAAAATACAGTCATACCTCGGGATAAATATGCTTCAGGGTAAGTATTTTCCGGTTGCGCTCCGCGGCGACCCAGGAGTAACGGAGCGCGTTACTTCCGGGTTTCGCCACTCGCACATGCGCAGACGGTCAAAATGACGTCACCCGCATGTGTGGACGCGGCGAAACGCAACCCGCGCACGCGCGGATGCGCAGATGCGCACTCGTGCCCTACGTTCTATTCAGGATATGAACGGGGCTCCGGGCAGGATCCCGTTCGCATCCTGAGGTACCACTGTACAATTTAAAATGCAGCCTCATTTTAAAAGTAGCCCATAGATCAAAACCATAAGGGGAGGGAAACATAAGGGTCAGACTGAGTCCAAACCAAAGGCCAGGGGGAACAGCTCTGGCTTGCAGGCCCTGCGGAAAGATGTCAAGTCCTGCAGGGCCCTAGTCTCTTGTGACAGAGCGTTCCACCAAGTCGGGGCCAGTACTGAAAAGGCCCTGGCCCTAGTTGTGACCAATCTAACCACCTTGAGACCTGGGACTCCAAAATGTTGTCATTTGTGGACCTTAAGGTCCTTTGCGGGGCATATCAGGAGAGGCGGTATTACTTTGTTTAATTAGGAAGCATCTCTGAGTGATTGACAACGCAACAGAAACATGCCCCTACCTCTCTTCCAGAAAGCGCCAAACCCCAGTATCGCCACTAGCGCCAGCATCTTAA